CTGGCGCGCTGTAATGCATGGATAACCAATAGCTATTCATACTACGTATCTCCTCATGAGACGACAGTACTACCGCATGTTTTCCACCTTATACATACTTGCTATGGCAAAAACCGAGGTAAACTGACTCTAACATCCACTGTGCATTGTCTCAAGGAAATGGCGGGTCAATACTCCAGAGTATCTTTGATTTCGAGTCGCCGCGGTATTGATTCCACGGACCTGTTTTGTTGCTGTGGGTTCTAGTGTGAGTGCTGATTCAATAGTGGAAAAGGACATCGCGATATTTGTACTCACGGATGATCACTCGTTCAAAACCAGTACAAGATGTTTTCAGTTCTGGCCAAGTATTTCTTGAGTCTCCGCACCACGAGTGAAAGCTCTGTCGTCGCCTGTGAATGACCGAATGGGTACTCGCAAGACATTTTGAGCAGGGCTTCGTCCACACCTTTGAGTGAGCAGTGTGTTGGGCTTGGAAGACCTGCCTCAATCGGTAGTGAGAGCTCCATCGTCATCTGTGAATGACACTGTCCTTAGGAATGATGCCTCGCATAGAACTACGTAGGTAAGTAGCCAGACGACTGTTGCAATGCCCGAGATTCTGATTTCTACGGTCGAAGTGGTGGGTATGGAAACCGGCCTCAATGGGTAGTGAGGGCTCCATCGCCGCCTGTGAATGGCTGGATGGGTACTCGCAGGGCATCCCGAGCCGGACTTCATCCACATCTTTGAGTGGATAGTGTGTTTGGCTTGGAAGACCAGCCTCAATGGGCAGTGGGAGTTCCATCTTTGCTTGCGAATGGCTGAATACTAGTATGTACCCGCAAGATTCCATCCCGAGCAGCACTTCGTCCACATCTTTGAGTGAGCAGTGTGTTAGGCTTGAAAACCCAACATTAATCGCTAGTGAGAGTTGCATCGTCGCTTGCGAATGGCTGAATGGGTATCCGCAAGACTCCACATCTTTGAGTGCACAGTGTGTTAAGCTTGAAGGACCAGCCTCAATCGGATGTGAATTTATATATTTGCAGGATGTTTAGCAAGACCAGACATATTTACCTTCGTCTAACAATAACAACGGTGGTAGGTACCACTTTCACGGCATTCTCGAGCTCGAGCGTAGCGTACAGCGAGAATAGGCCTTAGAAGCAGCTGCGGCAGCCAGATGCAACCAAGCTGGATACTTGGATATGGAACTGGTATCATACGTTGTACTGGTATGCATCCTCGGCCTCGCACCACCTCTCCTCGGCCTACCGTACTACGGTATTGCCGCCGCTCTCGCCAACACCACAACCCGCACCACAACCCGCACCATCCCCTCGGCAACTCCAAGTCTCCAACACCGACACCGCCTCCGCCTGCATCTGCACCCTCCCGTGCCGACATCCGCTCGGGAACCTCCTCCACCTCCACCCTCCAGTGCCGATATCCGCTCGGAAACCTCCTCCACCCCCACCTCTCAGCGCCGGTTACATAGAGTACACTCATCCCCCGGTAGCTCACCTCCCCCGAAACCCGCGCCCCCCCGAAACCCCTCACCTCCCCTACCCTCGTAGTTACACTCTAAGTAGAGCCCCATGCACGCCAGCGGCCAGCAGCCAACCACGCGCTGCCGCCTGCTCCCTTCGCATTCCCGCCTGCCATTCCCACCTGCCATTCCCGCCTGCCATTCCCACCTGCCATTCCCGCCTGCCATCGGAACTGCACGCTTCGCCTACGAATCTACGATTCGCGGACGAGGCTACGGGGCTACGGCACGCGGCGCGCGAGTTCTTGATGCGGCTGCGGGACGATCCTGACGGTCCCGGAGCACCCTCCGGGTCTCCGACGCATGTCTGGCAGGTCTTGTACAGTCCTGTCGCCACGGGTTGCGCTGCAGACTGCGGGAAAGATGGGAGCATACATATCAGCAGCAGCAGCAGCAGCGGCGGCGGCGGCGGTGGCGGTGATGGTTGCAATGGTGATGATAATGGTGATGACGGGTATGTGGAGCGAGAACGTACGAGACCGGACACGGGGAGGTGGGGTGGGGTCGCAGTGGAGAGAGGCATCAGTATTCGTGTTTGATGCGTTTCTAGGCATACTCTAACCGGTTCTGCGGCAGCAGGGGAGGATGTGATGTGATGAGGTCGCGTGGTGAGGAGTACTTCTGTCACCTGGCTGGACTCGTGCTATCCTATCCTAGCCCGATGAGAGGGAGGCCTCAGGTGCTCTCAGGTGTTCATGGGTGAGAGCGTTGCGGACTCCGGAGGTTATGCAGGTGGACGGGTGTGGATGCATGCATGGAATTGTTCCTGCGGCTCGGTGTGAGATGATAGATCGCGGAGGAGTGGCACATGGTTGCAGGGGGGTAACTACTAGCAGGTGCTTGGATGTTCAAGTCTCAGGAGGGAGTCAGGAATGAGTTAACCTGTAGTTAGTGCTTATGTTATTGTTCACTAGTCCGTAGAGGTTCATTTGTCACCGTATTGAAGAGCGAGAGCGGGATGCTGAGGGAGATCACGCCACTCTACGGTTGTATACCGAGCACCATCGGCCCATCACATCAGCAGCAGAACCAGACTTCACTGCTCTCACCCGCGCCCCGATCTAGTGTTCATTGGTCTCCAGAGGCTCATTTGTCACCGTATTGAACAGCGAGAGCGGGGCTCTGAGGGAGATCACATCACTCTACGGTCGTATACCGAGCACCATCGGCCCACCGCATCAGCAGTATGCATGTATGTAGAACTAGACTTCACCTCTCTCGCCTTCGACGATCCCGAGTGACACCGGGTGCCTCCATAGTCCTTCACACAGGCACGCACCCCTGTTTCTCCACTTTCGCTACCGAGGGATCCACCCGAAACCGTCGGAACCAGATAAGGTAGTACCGTAGTGGGTTACGTCGTTCAAATCTCCGAGTGCCCCCCGCCCGCCCCGAGTGTCCCGACCCCGACCACCCCGACCTTCCCCCCGACCCCGTAATTGCCCCCAGAGCAGGAAACATCGATGATCCCATCCCCACACTACGAAACGCAACGCAATTCAACTCAACTCGCTTACAACTGCGGACAACACACACAAGATCTACTTGGGTCTATAACGTCAATAAAATGATTCCCCCCCCCCCCCCCCCCCCAACAACGCACACAACACAACACAACACAACACAGCACAGCACACACTCAATTTAAATGACGGAATGGGGATGAGTCGACTCATAAGTCGCCATTCATTACTGAAACCGGCAAAGCGCTCGCTCCAAGCTCTCTAGCTGGGCCAACGGAGCATTATACACATCATATCATATCATATCACACATATGCATAACGGAAAAATAAATCCCATCATTATAATAATAATAGCCAAAAAGCCATAAAAGTAGCTCCGGATTTCCCCCGAAGTTCGCACAGCACACCATGTCAAATCCAGTCAGTGATCCCGCGACTCCCGAAACACCACCGCGCAAAAGCAAAAGCAAAAAAATCGTCCGTCCGTCCGTAAGTCCCACCATAGAGTACGGTAGGTAGAGTAGAGTAGAGTAGAGTACATGGTGAAGCGCAATCCCCGAAAACCCCCAAGCCCGATTTGCCCGAAACGAAAACGAGCATGCAATAATAAACACGCAATAAATGATGAAATGCAATTGGAAGTGGAAGTGGAAGTGGATATGGGAAAAGGTAGAGTAAGCTTGAATAAAGTCTAGTGAGAGGTCACAATGCGACGACGACGACGACGTCGGGAAGAAGAAAAGAAAAGAAAAGAAAAAAACATCACGCCACTCGGCTCGGCTCGTCCGACACATACAGGAATCAACATGACATATCGCTAAACATCAAACAAATGTCAAAAATCCCCAAATGAAAAAGGTTCGTGAAAATGAGTTGCAAAAAAAAAACAAAAGAATGAAACGCACGCCCGAAAAAAAAACATCGAACACGCTCCGAACACGAGCTCCCGAACCCCCCGAACCCTCCGAACCTAACTCGCATCACTTCTCCATCGATGGGATGAAACTTGGTGATGTCTTTGCTCTGCCATCAGTGCGGTCACTGCTCCGCGTCTCCATCTCGTAGGAAACACGGGAAAAGTCGCCAAGGTGGACGATTTTTGCTCCTTTCCTCCCATATTTGCCCCTTGGTCTTTGCTTTTTTTTTGCTGCTTCATCTCATCTCCCCATTGTCATTGCTCGTATGATGCCAACGTTAAATCGCTTCTTCTGCCCACCCCTCATCGTCACTTCTTTTCCTGAGCTCGCTTCGACGAAATATGTTATCGAATTGAACTGTGAGCGATGCTCATATTTCTCTTTGGCGCTGGCTATGCTCCAAGCATGAAGCCGCTTTTGAGCAGGCATGGCTGTCGTGATGCGTTGTGGCTGTTGATAACAAAATCAAACAGTCGACACAAAAATGCATGCAAAAGAGAGAAACGTCGAAAACCCCTTGAAGAGTAGTATGGCATTGCCGAACGAGCATGATAGCTGCCCCGTGATTATTTTTTGTTGCTTGATGTTCTTGATTCTGCTGAGCCCGTTTGCCCCGGTGAAATGTTTTTTTCAACCGCCAAAACCGTGATCTCAATCAATCGAAAAGAGAAAACCAAGAAAAAGAAAATAGAGACAGAATTTTGCTGCCGGCAAGCGGTAGGCAGGGCCGGAATCGCTTGCGAACACTGTGTAGTGGTGAATGTGCAATGATGATGGTTTGTCGAGACTGCCGTGGTGAAGCTGCGTGGAAAGAAACCCTCAGCAACCTGCCGAAGCAGTCATCCCGCTGCAGGTTACTCACCTCAGGGAGGTTCTGCAGGTGCTACCTGACGGCGGTAGTGTTTTTGTGTAGGAAGGCCAATTCGTAAAAGCCGTTCCCCAGATGAACCATGACAGCAATCGAAGCAAAGAAATGCAAAGATAAAGAAGAGAAAAGAAACGAACATTGAGGTCATGAAGTCATTTCACTATTCTCATCTTTTCCTCTCCTTTCGTCAAGTCATTAAAACATCAACTGCCTTCAGCGTTAGAAAGGACTGTCGCTTAGTGGAGTCATGTAAAGATCCGACGGCGACACAGTGCTGCCACCAACCCCAACAGAAAAGTCATGTGGAAGTCGGTGGTCTTGAAGAAGATGCCGGTGGAAAGGGTATAAATCCGGCGATGTGCTGTTAAACATCGTCGAGCCAGAAGCAGATACCGCCGCATGGCTGATTGTGTGTTGAGAGACCTCGACGGTTGTACCATCGGTGCCCCGTGCTGTCTTTCCTGCAAACGCAAAGTGCTCGTCGAATTGCATCCAATTGTCGGAAATGCCAGACAGCACGGCTTCAGTGGAGAGCTGACTAGCTTTCCTGAGCTTATCCTCGCGACTAGCGGCAAGTTGCTGAACGTATGACGCAACAGGCTTGGTCGCGACACCTCCTTGATCTGTGCTCGACGTTACTTCGTACCCTTCCTCTTCCTCTTCCTCTTCCTCCTCCTCCTCTTCCTCTTCTTCCCATTTCGGCTGTTCGCCTTCTGCAGAGTCTTGCTCCACCTCTCCCTCTCTTTCCGAACTCTCGAGCGACTGCCTTTCCTTTTCCTTTTCCGCTTGGCCTTTGTTCTTCTTTCCTCCTCTTTTCCGTGCCTCCCCATCGACCTCAACCTCAATAGCCTCGATCCAATCGCGAATGTTGTCGGGAACGACTACACCTGGTGTCTTCTCCGGGTTGAAGTGCTGCCTTTTGAGATGTGCGGTGGCGTTGTAGTCGACGCCGTAGTGTCGGTCGGTCGTACACGCCTTGCATCTCGAGAGGAGTCCGCTACCCGATCTATCCCGTACCACCCACACTCTCTTCTTCCGGGCATGAATACGTTCGAAGTGGCGTCGGTATTCATGGTCCCCTCGAAATCCGTTGTGTCCGTCGGGACACAGTGGGCAGAGGACTCGGGGGTGTCTAGGCCGGACGTAGACGCCTCTCCCCCAGGTTGAACTGCCTGTTCGGGTTTGCGAGTTGCCCCGTTGCTGGGGCTTGGTCCGTTGGTTGCTCGGGGGTTGGTCCTGACCTTGGTCTTTTGATCGTCCGGTAGAAACCCGTTTCGCTGCTTTGGTCTGACACTTCAAACTGCTGGTGAGAGCCTTCTCCGCTTCCGCTTGATGAAGCTCCTGAACCGAAACCGCTGCACTTCGCTTGGTAGAAGTGGACAGTACGATGGGTGGCGAGCTGTACTCGAAATCCTCGAATCCATGGCCGATTCCGGAGATGGCAATGTCGTCGTGCTCGCCGTACGAGGAATTTTCACCGTGTTGTGTCTCAAAACATGCCGAATCGAACGCACCCGTCATTCCGGTGGATCCATTTGAGTTCCTGCTTGTGGCCGTGTTGAGGAATGTGGCCAACTCGAAAGAGGGAGGAGCATCGAAATGCTGTTCCATCGTGGCCGTTGTCGTCGAGCCGAGAGTGAACGTTGACGACTCCCAGAGATACGAGGCGTCATACTGGATATTGGGTGCACTCCGAATCTTCGCCTCCGAGGGTTGGCATTCTTCCGGGAGATATATCGGATCGTTTGCCAGGGGCTGGCCAAGATAATTCTCGAGGGCCGGCGACCACGGCCTTGCTGCTGGATGTGGTGGCGGTGCCGCATCGGAGAAAGAGTCGGGTGTAGGCGGAAGGAAGTCGTAGGTTGGGCTTATCTACTGAATGTGAGCCATGCGCCTAGACACAGACCTCCCCCGCCTCGTACACGGACGGATATCTCTTACCGTCGAGTGCTTCGGGATCTGTTGCGGTCTTGTTGCGATGCAGCTTTCTGCAGTCAACAGAGTCCGTGCCTCTTCTTCTTCTTCATCTTCTTCCGAGCGATCATTATCGGCAAAGAACACCTTGATCGCCTGTTCCGCCGACACGTCCGGATTCTCTTTGATATACCGGGCGAACGCCCGCAATGTCGGTTCCGAAGGTGTATGCATTGTTGATATTCCTGTTTGTCTCGGGTGGTTCAGGGATTGAAGGAAGCGATGGGAGATGGCGATGAGGGAGGGGGGTGGGGGATGACGATTGAGTATGGGGGTGGGGATTGTTTACGGAGGTCGCGCTGCGTTGTCGATGCGAGTGCTGCTTTGGAGGGGAGCTGAGCTTGGGGGCTGCAAAGAGGGAAGAAGTCAGCCGTAATATTCATTTTCAGCTCTCAGAGACTCCCACGTATTGCACATACATCCTTGGATCGATAGATGATCGCCGGTAACTAACAGCGGAACTATGTTTGGTTCTTATGATACGTATCTAACCGTCGAAAGTGGATGATATGTTTCGTTGGGAGGAAACAGAGGAAGAAGAAAGCTCCTTCTTTAATCCCACCCACCTGTTAGGCTATCCGTACCAGGATACGGATGCGCTCCGATGAAAGGTGCTAGTCTTATGCCGTAGTGGGTGTGCTATTGGAACGGGAGTGTTCATAGTGTCGGAGTTATGCTGCGAGAGAGGTTTCGTCCGCCCTACTTTTTGGGGCGGACTGGGGGGGGAGAGCAGTACTGGGGGGAGTACGACGTTGTAAGACGCCCAACCCCGGCTGCAGGAAGCCAATAAGAGACTCCGAAGGAGATACTACGTTGTGGCAGGGAGATCTGCTTTGGCTCGGGGTACCCAGCTAACTAGTTGGCTAACCAGTCCAGGACTGCTGCCAGTGGGGGAGAGGGGAGGGGGCGGTAGGGATGAGTAGTGAGTCAAGGTGAGGGTGTCTGTACCTGCTCCAGGGGCCTTTCGTTCCAGTGTCGTCGTCTCTCCATCGGGCAGTGGTGGTGGTGCTGCTGGTGGTGGTGTTGCTGGTGGTGGTGGTGCTGCTGCTGGCGGTGGTGATACAGAGTAGTTATTCCGAGTAGGAATGGCACCTACATGCGTATGTAGAGCATCTTGAGCAGCAGCCATACAGCAACGTGCACAGCCCTCCACCCCCAGGGCGAGAGGATATTGGCCTGCATTCGATTCTCGACGACGCGACTGACTGGAGTCGAGGGGAGAGCGGAGTAAAGTGTTCGGGGCATGGATGCGAAAGTGTCATGGGGGGTGAGGAGGGGAGGGGAGGGGGTGAGCGGCGATTGCGGAGGGGTGTGGTGGGGAACGCCGCGGATTTGCTGGAGCGGTGGGAGTGTGTGTCGGTGATGGCTGTGGTGGTGCGCTGGACACCTCAGGCCATATCATCACCGTTCTTGCCGTGCGGTGAACGTTCCTTCCTTCGCCAATGACGAAGTTGATCCGACCCGATTGGCGCAGACGGTGGCTTCGCGCAGGGATCGATCGCTTCACCCTCCACCACCAACACCAACAACAAAACCTGGTAACCTTACTTAGGGATCCGGATGGGACCGTGTGCTACTCTAGACGGGCACTGGGCGGCAGTGTCGTTCTGGAATTTCCGGCTCGCGTGCGTATCCGTCGGACCGAGAGCAACACACGCACACAATGTGACAACCCTGGCAGCAGAAACAATGCAAACCATGGCCGCGGACTGCGACCCTGTCAACCAACGCTCATCAGATGCGCCATGTCCGAACGACTAGTACCGACCAGACAACCACCTCCGTCCGATTCGCTTTTCAGGAGGCTACGGTACTCTACTAGTAGTGTTTGGGCGCAGCCGGATTAGCGACCCTTCACCGCCCACGGAAACGTGACGTTGTCGAAGATATGGTCCGGAATGCTCCGGTAGGCACCAACGGTATCCAATCCACCTCTCTGCTGTCAGCGTTACGAATCACGATACCTACCTTCCCTCATCTAGGCCACCTGATGATGTAAAGTAAAAACAGCAACTGTCTCCTCCGCTGCGGCGGTCTTCCTCGCTCTTGTGGACCGCATTAGTTACCGTAGGTCCGTAACCGACGACTTCAAAAGCAATATGATAGGTACGTGGAGTACGTAGTCGGTATGTAACTCTACTAACCGCTCGTTCCTGGATGAATCCTGAACGAACGGTTACCTAGGTCCTAGGGAGCGCCTGCGAACCAGTGTCCTGACTTTCCTCCTGGATTATCTGTCACACGCGCCGTGAGCGCCACTGAGCGCTCGTGCGGTAACAAATAAATTATCTACCATACACGAGTAGAAAGATGGATACTCGAGTGCTGGGTAGTCTAGTTGGTTAGTTAGTGGGTATGTCGGATCAGCATCGCCAGCTCATCGACAAGGAGCGTGACGTCCCCGTCCCCGTCAACAATGATCCACTGGAATCCGGATCATCCAGATCTCATGTGCGAGCGAGCAAGCATGGAGCTAGAGTAAGGACTCTAGTAGAGTGATCACGGCCAGGTTCATGATGCTTCGTCCAAACTCCAAAACCTGCCGGATTTTTCCGCGTATCTGCGTCAATGTTTATAATAGCTAGTACCTAGGTCTAACTAGCCTCTTCGCTCTGCCAGCGCGAGTGTAGATGTATCTGATACCAGTACATACCAGTACATACAGCGGGGGCTTAGTTATGCCTCTGAGACGAGGGGCCTCGCGTACGGTATTCACGGCCGTGGATAGGTAATGTGTTTACTAGTATGTAGCTTGTACGATCGTGAGACGGTTTACGGCATCATACCTGTCACCCCGAGCTACAGCCTACGGTGCCGGCTTGGATCCTCCGGCGAATGGCAGCTTACCGAACGAGCAGATTCCAGATGTGGTACATCTATAATCTGGAAAGAGGCTTGGGTACATGCCTAGACGGTAGACAAGATCCTGACATTCGGCGATGTTTATCCAAAGTGGCGGGCTTAACGCAGGCGAGTTCGAGGTATTATGAGTAAGTACTTGGTCCTTCTTCTCAGCCCTTGATAGGATTAGGAGGTAGCTTGCCATGGTAAACAATCCCCTTCCAACCACAGGTTTTTCCAGCGCATGACAATTTTGAAGGGCACGGTGGAGAACATCGTAGGTATGTATACCATAGCGAGTACCGACTGCTTGGACGGCGGAACGCACGCGCGCACGCACGCCCGATCCAGCATCTACGGTACTCTAGTTGCCTCTCCCGTACATACCTCGTGGCAAATCCCCCTATCTACTAGTACATAGCTGGCCGCAACTTACCTATGCATAGCACGGTATTGCCCGCGGAACATCGCCGAAGAAAACGGCATCTCCCTCCGTCTTGTCTTGTCTCATATCTCAGCAACAACAGGCGCAGTCTTGACTCGACGAAGGAAGGATGGATCGGATCCAGATTCCACAGTGCCCCCCTGCGCTGCCTACTCCCCCGAGTCCCCCCTCTCCACGCTCTCCCACTTCCGCGAACCGAAGCGTCACTAGAGTTTCTGGAGTTTCTGGAGTACAGGCCTATTCGAGGAGTCCTCCGGCCCGGGTCCGAGCCCTCAGCCCAACAGTCTACAGATATGTACATATACTTGGTATCACGACTGACCGCAAGCCCAGTCGTCACTACTCATCCACTCTCAAGAACAACTTCGGCACAAGCCAAATACGGTACCAACAAAGGCGGGGAGAGCTACTTGGAAGAGACATATGCAAGGAGCGGTTAAGACTCAAGAAATCATCACATTTACATTGGCAGTGGCCACTGGCTGCATCGCAGAGTGGAGTGGAGTGGAGTGTTTCGGACTCATGATCTCACTCGTGCCGAGCCATCCGCCACGGAGGCAATGATTAAAAAAAAAAAAACACAAACCACGTGCACCCTGTGGCTTTGCGCGCGGTGCCCAGCGAAATTGATTAAAGAACTGGAAGCAGCAGTACGCATTCAGGCGTCCTGAGGGTTGAGCTGGGACAAAAGCCAAGCACTGCTACCTTGTACAGATGATAGGATACCTCAGTACCTACTCTACTCTACATAACTACTGCGGATTTCCGTAGGCACATACATGCATCTTACACAGCAAGATGTCATGCTCGCAAAGGAATTCACATTTCAGGTTGAGGATTCCCTTCCAGGTTCACCATGATTTGCAAGCTCCTGCGTATGTATGGTGTGGCGTGTAACTCAGTAACTAAGCAAGCAACACTGTAGGTATATAGAGCATGCATGTAACAGTCCAGCTCATCGATCGCTTGGCAGGCACGTCTCTGCTCTGGCATCATCCCCATCATCCCACATCTAGAGTACATAACAAGTCCTGGGTATTGCTGCCTAAGTCCGCGCGGGGGGCGGGAACCAGCAGAGCGGTGAAAATCGAAAAGACAACCTCGCACTCGCGTAACGTAGAGTAGATACCGGTAGGTAACGATCCCTTCTCACCGCTCAGCTCGGATCCCCCCGTCGTCGCCGTCACCGTCACTGGCCGACGCAACGCAACGCAACGGAATACTTAGAAACGCGTACATACGGAGAACCGGTTTTATGCTGTGAGTATGCTGTGAGAGTGAAGTGCTCGTTCCGATGGGCCGGCGACTGGACGGGATGGAATGGAATGGAATAGTTTGTTCGAAGGAATACTTACATAAGAACTTACTCTTACATACTTGGGTAACTCGGCAGGTAGGGCGCAGCTTTGGTGGAGATTAATAGGTATGAATGCATATCGTCACTATGGTGTTCTTGTGGCAGCCAAGATGCAGAACAACACCCTCCAAAGCGTCACAAACGTTACATCGAAGAGACAAGGCAGACCGACCGCCGGCGAGCGATAGATATCTTCACCCTCAACCACATGTGGGATTTTGGCATGTACGAGCGAAGGTTTGTTCAAGGCTCCGCGGACTCTGGAGCCGGTGGAAGGCACGCACACACACACACACACACACACACACAGCATATTGAGCCACGACACATCAAGCCACGACAGCTGAGCAGGCTGAGCGATGGGCTTCTCGTGGAGAGAGAGGTAACTACATCAGTAGTTACTCTGGAAGCAGCGGAAGGTGGAGTAGAGTTAAGCGTATGATGGCACTGTGCTTACTGGCTATAGGTCCTCTAGGTATACTTGCCCTACCGCCGATCCGGCTAAACGTGCGAGGCCGACAGTCTCCAAAGGCACATTCACGCCTGCTGGCTGCTGCTGATTTCCTCAGCCGGGAACCGCAACCTCTATCTACCTATCCACCCAGCCGTGATCCGAAGGGAAATGTGAGACCAAGCGGCTGAACTCGAACTCGCGCACCGTTGGATTTATGGAAATCGGCATGTACACATCTTGTACATATCAGCGTAAACTCGCATCGGCCTCGAGGAACATTGGTACGCAGCGCTCGGTTACCTAGCTGGTGATGCCAAGTTGCCAACTGACTACCGTAACTACAGCCCAACATGTGATGCTTTCCCGCCACAGCTGAGTTACCGTGAAGCCTTCCGAGTGCGTTTGCGCGGCGCCACTACGGTATCAGTCATGTTCTTCCACCCGGCACTTCTGCCTACAAGCGGCATGTGTATGTACGAGTAAGCAACATTTCCAGCAGAACATGCGCATGCACAAAAGCCAGGTACGGTACGCCGGTATGTATGTACGGAGGCTCGGCTACCCCATGCTGCTTTCCCCTCCATCATGCACGAGGGTTTTGCGGCTCTTCGTCTTTCACAGATGCCTAGCGACAGCCAGTTCTAGGCACGACGATTTGCGCGTGCTACACGACGACGACGGGCCCGCGAGAGAGAGAGAAACCTTCTTAAAAGTTTGCCATCTCCCGTCTTTCCGACAGAGTCTCCTTGTCCGAGTAGCTTTTCTTTCATATACAATACAGAATTATTCGGAAACATCCGATCGAATCGCCGCTTTTTTCGATGGGTATGTCCGGTTTGCTCCCCCAGAGTACGCCATGCCCGGCGACTTTCAACGAATCCTCCGGCTAACCGAATGGATATGCACATCAGACGTCCCAGCAACATCTGCCGCAGCGGAACGGGGCAATGCAGTGGTACATGGCCCTTCTGCAATCCCACTCCGTTAGTTAGCCTCGCCTTCTAACCGATATCCATCCATACGAGTAGCCATTTACTGCCGAAGATGCACGCGCTGGCCTTTTCGGGAGCAGAGCAGATGTTGGCCAGGCGGAGGAGATACAGCACCCACATCAATATCACCATCACCATATCCGCGGACCTGTGGGAAGCCCCGGCCAACACCTCTTGAGCGAATCTCCACCTCCTTTTGACCCATATGCCAAAACCTTGCGGTGTAGTTGGGCGGACTGTGGCTTCACATGCCATTTCACTCAGAGTACAGGCTGGAGGTATGTACTTGCCACTAACCATTCTCCATCTCACATCATACTACTATGGTCAGCTAACCGCTTCGCAGGGAGCATAGGAGGTCTCGGGGCGTCTGCCGTTCTAGTCGGAACCGAGCACGCTGCTGTTTCACAGCGTGCAATGACTCTTCGTCATCTTTCGCCAGCATCCAAGAGGCATATATTCACGAAGACACGGCGCACACCATCTGGGTGTGCATCAGTTGCAAATATGCCTTTTCGCAGTCCAACCATGCATTGAGGCATATCAAGCTCGAGCACCCCATGATCGTCGTAGCGGAGACGGCGATCAAAGTGCTGTGGATGCTGCATCGACCGGCTGGACATGCGTTTTCGATGGAGTTGGGATCGTGTGTCGACCTCGAACGCCCATTGGTGAAATTGCCCTTCGAAGAGGGAGTCTCGCCAAGTAACACGAGGCTGCTGCTGCTCCACGATAGCAATAATCCTCCGGAATATATGAAGGCCGCCGTAACGCGATACCTCGCGGCCAATATGACGACGTTGAATGCCTTCTTGGCGGATACACTTCCATTGGATGATGCGAACGGGAGATTTTTGACCGGTTATATCGAACAGCAGACCCAGATTCCGCTCGGTCAAGCCGGCGAAGCAAAGCCTTGGGGCAACACCGGTAGCGTCCCAACAACATCGGCGCGGCTATCATCGGTGCAGTCAGCGTCAGTTCAGCCGACTCCGTTATTCACTGACCCGAATGCCAAGCCAGCCTTCTTCGACGCACCCGCCTACCAGGCTCGCAGGCCGCACCGCGAATCATCATGGCACGTGCCACAAGTCCTCACATCCGGCGAGGCACCGGAGCCGCGTCCCCGTCTTCACCGACGAACCTCATCGGGGGGCTTCGAGCCGCTACAAGAAAAGTCGCTCTCAGGCGAGAAGCAACGCGAGTATTTCCTGCAGATGCAGGACTGCATCGTCGAGGCAGCGTTCGACTTCTACATCCGGCACCACAAGATCCTCGACACCGTGACAGACCGGAAGCGACGGCCGCTCTGCTGTGCCACCGCGGGCCGCGAGCGGATCACGAACAAGAACGACCTCACCCTGCCGCAGTGGACGCATCTGCTCCGGCGACTGTCGGATGCGAAGGGCCTCCTGCGCAACATGGTCTCGCGCCTCGAGTCGTTCAATGGCGAGATCCAGCCGGTCGACGAAGTGCGCCACGCCTATTCGAAAAAGAAGGAGAAGTCGGATCGCGACGTGCTGGCGCTGGTGCAGGTGACGCGGTGCTTCTGCTGGCAGCTGAGGGATTGGGAGAAGTGCAGCCAGCTCGACGACCTTTACGAGACGGTCGAGGCGCGCATCGCGCTTGCGAAGAGGGAGAAGGAGTGGCTGATGCAGGGCGTAGACGCGACGCCACTGCGGCCGATGCCGCCTACAAGAACGAGTGCGACGTGGCCGAAGGTCGCGCAATAGGCTGTGGGTATGTCAATGAATGGTATCTACATAACGTGGTTGGAGCGGAAGAACACCATGTGCCGTTTAGGGCTCGGATGGGACTTTTTGGGCGAACAGTTTGTTTTTTCTTCTTTATTTTTCTTTTCTTTTTTTCTTCGGAGTTCTGGGAAGAGGAAGGCGGTGGGTGGCGGTGGGTGGATACGTAAAAGTTGCTTTGTTTCCAGATGTTTTGTGAGTATTTTGGGGGGTGGGAGTCTTGGAGAGAGTGGGCTGAGCTGCGCATGTGGTCCGGCCAGCCTGATCTTGGCTCGATCGTCAGCCAACTCATCGGTCGATCTTTTTTGGGGAGTGCACACCCAATCATCAATGTACGATTGTTCCTTTTGGAAAATTTTCCCCGCATCGCATCGCATCACAAACGTCAAAGTTCAGCCTTTCAGCCTTTCAGCCTTGTCTCGTCTCCACCTCCCCGATCTGTCCATCATCCCCCAGTGTTGTGACAACAGCCACGGCGGGATTCGGCGCCCACCCTCCCGCTCGTCCGTCAGAATTGGGGCGAGAGGTGTGCACGGTATACCTACCGTCACCGCATGCATCACCATTCGTCGCTCGCTCGTGCGTCCATTCGTTCGTCCGTTCATTCATTCCAAACTTGAGGCACGAGAAACTTGTGGTCTGCAATGCACACTGCACCACCTACCTCTTGGCCTACCTACCGACCTATTGTGCACTTGTATCGTACCGTCTCATATCGTCTTCCGTTGGACCGGAACTCGGATCTCCGTCCGCGAAAGCCTAGCAAATATGTATCTTAGGTATGTAATCAGTGGTTCGCATCGCCATTCTGTGCGATCAAATCGAATCGCAAACCGCCGAATCGTTTTTCGCGCGCGTGAGCGTGAGCATCAAAACACTGCGCGAGGAGTCTCCGCCAGCCATCCACATAAGTAGCCTGTAGGTAGGTAGGTAGCTGCCCATGCACCTTTTCTGCCTGTGTAACAGGTCTGTCGCCCGGACTAGAGCAGACACGGACTGGCTGTCGATATATGTGATCGGGGGTTGAAGCAAGAGAACGTTGCTGCTAGGGCTGGCGATGAGGTTTGCGGGGTCACTGGGCTTGGTTTGGTTGCATGGGTGGGTTGGTGGGTGGGTGTTCGCTGACTGGTAGGCTGGTCGTTATGTTGGTCGGCGATTAAATGGCGGATGTGATTTGACGAATGAACGGACGGGACCGGGCAGGTGGTTTAAACTTTACTCTAGAATTTTCGATGGAAGCCGCAGTACGTACTCTACATACATTCCTATGGAAGTATGTGAGTACGGTAGTTACGGGTGCGAAGAGTCGCAGTGCATGAGGATTCGTCGGTGCAAACCACTGCCCTACCTGAGTACATACCGTACTCGCTCTTTATCGAGCGAGCGATCTTTCTCCTCCATTCATTCATTTATCCACCAAGTCTTGTGCGCATGAGCGAACGAACGAAAAAGAAGGAAAGAACAAAACGGAGCGCCATGCGCGCGTCGCACACACAAGAAAAAGCTAGAGTTTTGAGGATTCGAGTTTCGAAGCATGCATGGAAAGCCCACTCCATCTTGGCGCAGGCGTAGAGTAGCTACCAACTACAGTAGCACTAGTAGTAGCATTCGTCGGACTGACGTTTCAGCCTTGCGGGGTGCAGTGCGGTGCAGGGAGGGTGGCTGAGCACGCATGCTGAGCCTGCAGAACATCCTGAGCATCCTGAGAATGCAGAACACCGCGCCGGTTCGATTCGGTATCGAGCGGTTTGATGCGGGAATTCTGCTTGCTTGCCTGCCTGCTGGTCTGTCTGGTCTGGCTGGTCTACCTGGCTGGCTACCAGTCTGGCTCCCTGGATACCTGTGTACCGTACGGTAGGTATTATATTGTCTGGCCCCGGTTACACACGTCGGGACTCGGGAGTCCGCTGCTCCTTTCATCTCCTGGCGTAAACCTGAAGAGTGAGCGGCAGGCGTGATCAGTCAGCGTGGCTGCGACTCATGAGATATCACTCCGTCTTTGGTACCATAGCAAATGCGTCAAGTTGAAAACTTGGAATGCGGGTTTCGGGGAATACTCTAGGTGTCCTGGAGAGGAGGGTAGAGCAAGTAGGTAGGGCGCTCCTCTCGAGGCTTCGGTGTCGGGGGAGTCGGATTTAATTCGCCACGGCCCACGGGCAGAACTGGTCGAACCGTGAACGCGGAGCGCTGGAACAAAACAACAAATCGGGCAACCATAGATATGGAGCCAAAGAAGAAAAAGAAAGAAAGAAAAATGGGAGGACTGTCCATATCACACCTATGCATCACAGAAGACCCCCGGTGGTTCTCGAGCTCGTGATAGGTATCATATCTGATCGGACGGAGGGAGAGGGTTTCCAGGTTTTTGACGATGACTGACACTGACGGCATGCAATTGGAGCGGCTTCAAGCCTCCTTCTTCGTACATAAGAGGTATGTACATGAACCAACGCACCCATGATAACATGACAGCCTTCTGCAGCCTACAGAGCACCGGCATTTCCCCATACTAGCACAACATGCCCTCGGCTTTCCTTCCTCAACGCATTATACCTTCCAAGCCTATGGAGACGGAACTTGGAAGGCCTGGTGTCGGCCGTCCAGTGACCAACATACCTGTTCCCGCCGCACCTATCAGAGAAGACCTTGCCCGCCTGGTACCTACTGCGCTGCGCACTGGTGCGCCGCCACTCCACGCCACTCGGTCACTCGGCCACCGAATCACGGCACGCCGCACTCGCACTCGCACTCGCACGAGTCGACTTTCCGCCCTCGCTCGCTCGCCGCCGGAGAAGGGATAGAGTAGATATCTCCATGGTGATGGCTACGCGTTCGAGATGTGAAAAGCTCGGCGCTCGGCGCTCGAGAGGCATAACTAGAGGTGCTCGGCACCCCCCGCTCGAGGCGGTCAATCACAGCACCTGGTAGGTACGCGGATGGCAACGGGTACACCGCGGTCCTCGCAGCGGCGGAGTGGGGAGCGGGAAGCTTGTGTTATTGCCCGCTGTGGTTGGCGGAGTCAGCTGCGGACCACGATATGATACGACTACCGTAGAGTACAATGATGACATGTAATGGTACGGAATCATGAATGGAGCAGTGTTCGACATAGTCCGGTCCGTCCGTCCTGGGCCTCGGACCGAACTGGGCTGTATCTTGTCAGTCCGTCCGGGCGCAGTGTTCGGACAGACTAGTCCAAAAGATTTTGAGGTCAGGACGGACTGCAGTCGACTGCAGTCCCCTCCAGTCCTCGGAATCCACGGACGGGACGGACTACTGTTAGGCAGTCCGTCTGAAGGGTAGTGTTCTACATAGACCAGACCGGTCTTGGTTGAGTAAGACATCGACCAGATCTTCGATTTTCCGGTCGGGGTAAAATTAAGCAGACCATACCGTGGCTTTGGTCGGTCGGGATATAAGTAGACCGACCCGACCTCTGTCAGCAAGGTCGGCCTAGGTCGGCCGACGTTGGGTTAACTGTTAATTCTATCAGCCGCAAAATTTTCCTTAGTTTCCGGCGGTAGTTAGAGCATTTCCGACGTCAAATGTTGTTTCTTAGCCAGACTTATCCCGACCTATGATTGGTCGGTCGAGATATATCCCGAATCGACCAGACCCTACCCCAATTTGGTCGAGACTGGTCTATGTAGAATACTGCCGAAGGGCCGGACCAGAACAGATCTTGGCAGTCCGTCCGGTCCGGACTGTAGTCCCGACCGGACTATGTCGAACACTGGAATGGAGGTGGTGGACACTGAATATTGTAATTTGTGTGCTGCTTTTGGAGGGAAAATTTGCACCGTCTATAGTAGCTGCGTTCTGGGTTTCCGGCTTCTGTATGTAGACGGGGTTGGCGAATAGACAGCCTTTTAGTCCTTTGCTTTTCGTTCACCAATCGACATGGTAGTATGATACCGTTTCGCCGAAAAAACGGGGATCTTCCTGTTCTAAACGGGTAACTACCGTACTCCTTAGAACCAGCTGGTTACAAAGATTTCGATCCACCACACGAACGATACTTGGAAATTGGAATTGCACTGCGGTACAGTGTTCTACATAAACCAGATCGGTCGGCAGACCGGTCCAAGTCGGTCTTCCAAGGCGCATATCAGACCTGCGATTTTCCGGTCTGGATAAAATTAACCAGACCAGACCTATGTAGGCTTTGGTCGGTCTGGATATAAGTAGACCGACCAGACCTTACCCTGCTACCTATTTAGGTCGGCCTAAGTCGGCCGACATCGGATTAACCGTTAACCCTATGCGTTAATAATGGTAGAGAGAGAGTGAGGTTTTCAGTTTATTTCACATGCAGCCTGTCGACTATGGCGAACAAAGTCGAGTGACGTTTAATACTTCGCTTGCATGAGTGATAGTACATGAATAAGATAGTCCAGCCGGCAGAAGTTTCACTCCTCTCACTGCGAGGGCATGTAGGCATATAGTTACAGCGTGCTAGGGGATCAATGGGCGGCTGTATCTCTTGCGCCGATAGCGAGAACAACGGAATCGAAACTGGTACATACCTTATAGAAAGGGAACACAGTAGTGGACTCGGCGGACACTGACAAGGAACACTTTCGGGCCGAAATCGGAAATCATAACCAGTCCAGCCGGTTTAGGGATGCGTTCTAGGCTCTAGGATGGTTACATGAGTTGAAACGTCGATCACAACGCTAAGCACGGGGAGGGGGTATGAGACCGCGGAGAATCAAGCTATCGAATCTCTAATCGCATGCCCCGACCCCCTAGGAGGCAAGCGGGCGGGGGTTGTCAGATCTCTTTCGCTAGACTAGGGGGACTGTGCGCGCACACCAGTCGGAGATCATACAGCGGAAGGTAACCTCGCCAAGCGCAGTTGTTCGAACTTCGAACGGGCATGGCCGATTGGGAGGTCCGTTGCGAGATTCGAACGGACTAACTCTAGACGCTGTGGGGAGAACCTTGCGTGTATGCACATACATACTGTGACTTACATGGTCTGCCGTTAGCAAGGAAGGAACATGAAACGAAGAAGAAAAAAAACGATACCGGTATCATACATACGAAGACAAAAAAACTCTCCATACAACAAATATTGCGGTCGGACGCACCTCAACACTCTCTTAGTAGCATCTTCCCCCTTAATTCAAGCATCTCAGTGGTGTCCTTTCGTCTCCGGACCGCTCGATCTAGCCGCGTCTGTAATTGGGGACGGCGAACTCGCCACGAAATTTAAGGAGCGGCTGGTATGCAAGACGGAACATGTTCTGCGAGGCTGCTCGAACGCGTTGCGCAGCATAGAAGCCTGGACCCATGGGGCCCTTTCCTTTTCTTCCCACACCCCGTCAGCAGCAGCCTGCAGACAGACTCGACGAAGGCGTACATACGGTAGGGTATTCTGTGCCGTGCCACTGTGCCAGGGCCCAGCAGATTCACCGCCATCTCGTTGCATCGCGGAGGCGATTCCCCGGGGGGAGGGGGAGGAGAACACAACTGAATGTCTGCGGCGGGATACTCATCGCGCCACGTGGGAATGTAACCTGCCCCCCTTCTCGCGTCAGCTCTGCAGTCTGCGGGAAGCTTTGCATATGTAGAATGTAACTATTGGGTCTGAAGTACCGTACATGTACTACATCCCATATGTTACAAACTTGCATACATCAGGTACATACCAAAAATCCAAGGTACGTATAGGTCTCAAAGAGGTGGATATACATAGAAATCATTCCATCCCCCCATCCCCCACTAACCATTCCCCTCCTGATTTGGCGTAGTCGCAGGTTTCAACGGTCAGCGCACTGGCCACATACCCTACTTCTAGTTTATTAGCATTTATTCCCGTACCCTGCCCAGTTCCCACGTGGCGGCCCCAACCGCGTTTAAGTTCTTTCTGGTTAAAGGGAAAAAGCGGAAGCGGGGGAGAGGCGCATGGCAGGGCATGGAATGGCGTGCACTCGCTTCCCATCCACTTGGCGAATCCTACGCGAGGGCAACTATGGATGGATGGAACCTAGAGACTAGACTCTAGAGTATGTACCTCGACAGACCCCCGATGACGAAGGATAATGAGAGATGAGATGTCGATATTGTTTCCCGGAGAACCCGTAATTCGAGCCGGCGGCGTGCGTGTGCGCACGAGGTCATGATCCCGCTTCGGGACTTGGGCCTTCGGCGTGGATTGTTTCCCGAGACGGCGCGGACGCGTCGAGCGCATTGTTTCGCTCTGACAGTGGACGGCGGATGTTCGTCAACAGTTAGGTGGGTTGACTTGTATGTACATACTTACGCAGCGTCAATCAAAAATAGCTTTGAGCGGAGGATTCACGCGCCGTTGCCTAACGATCGTCGTCGGCTCGAAGGAGGAGGAAAAAAAACCAAAGATCAAAATAGGAACGGTGAAGAATTAGAATATGTATGGAGAGGAGAAAATCCCCGAAATAACAAAACAAAATAAACCCCCAACCCCTATAGCAGTAAAAGCAAAAGCAAACCCCGCCGAACGATGCAATCCCAGCTCCCGAATAGCACCCCCATCTTCCGCGATTTTCCGTATGCACCCGATCCAGACCTACATACATGCACGCAAAAAAAGGAAAGAAAACGGAGATAGAAGCGTCGGGTAAAAGAACGAAAAGAAAACAGAAGAAAACAAAAGTGGTAGAGATCCAAAGGATTGAGCATCACGAGCGCTCGCTATCATCCTCCTCCTCCTCCTTTGCAGCCGAGGAGCAGCCCCTCCTCGCAAGTACCACCGCCGGGTCTTCGTTCTCACTCTGGCCCACGTATCGCCGCAGCGGATCGATGGGTGACTGGTTCCCTGTGGCGGCACGACCTCGGATAGCAGCGGGCCGCGGCGTCGAGACCGCCCGGTCCAGTGCCGCAACATATGCTTGGAGATAGCGGAGACGCTGCGCGGTTTTCGGGCTTCTTGGTGGCTCGGAGGCTGCGGCTGGCATGCTGGGTGTCGGAGCGGTATGTACGCTGTGGTGGTGGTGAAGGGTACTGAAGCGTGTATATCGTCGGTGCCCGAGAGGAGGCTACCTATGTAGGTATCATCGTGAGCGACGGAACTCGGTCGACGGTACGTAAAACAGCAACACACCTACATACCTGGAACAGATTTTCTCGGCAAGTCGAAGTTCGAACGATGTGGTGTCGACGTTGGCTGGTTCCCGTGCGATGGAACTCGACGAGCGGGCGGGCGGGCAGCGACAGCTTGGTAGGTAGGTCGGGCTCTGATCGTTGGTATGCGGATTCGCGGAGACTAGACTGGACTGGATCAACTGGACGGGGCGAGACGGAAGACAGACAGACAGACAGTGTTTTATAAACGCCGCTCGCTCGTAGACATGGCTGCACGAGACGCTATGTATGTAGGTATGTAGTAGATGAATATCCCGTTCACGCATCGTATTTCGTCGGACTGTTGGCTGGCTGGCTGGCTGGCTAGCTGGCTGTAAGTACTCCAAATATGTACATAACATACGTAGGATCTTCCAATTTCCGATTTCGGGTGAGGCTCGCGCGGTAGCTTCTTACGTATGGAGAGCATCTGAAAAAAAAGGAAAGAAAAAACGCAAACGCCACTTCCAGAGACAGGCGAGTGCAAGGCTGCGTCAGCTCGGCAGAACACCTGCGAATAGCGATTGGATTGGCCAGAGGCGAGTGCTCGATAGCGTTCCGGGATATGCACATCTGAAACGTTGGAGCCTACTCTAGTGGAGGAGTGGTGGTGGTGATAGTAATGGTAGTGGTAGCAGTAGTGGTCGCGGTAGTGGCGGTGGCTGGTGGTGGAGAAAACTGTTTCCGGAAAGAAAAAACAAACGTGTCTGAACCAACGGGAAACTCTTACCATACATCTAGGCATGTAGAGTAAAGCACTTTGCGTCTAGTCCGATCTAGTCTCGCTTCTGAATCTAATGACATCCAACTATACATACGGCATACCACCGAGCAGACTACAGGTGAGTGTCCTTGTCCCGGCTATATGAGGCAAGTTGTTTCGCCCATCGGCTGGCCAGAGTCCGCTCTAGGTGGACTATGTGCAGATGCGGGTTCACTTCGCAAAAGCATACGCCTCGGTGGTGGCTGCTGGTCGCATCGATCAGTGGAATAATTATAGGCAAGCTGGAGTAAATGAAGGATCCAATTTAAACCGTTCAGGCCTGTTACATACGTTTTCGGCGGGAGAAACGGATGTGGTTAGTAGTGGACTTCTTCTTCGTTTTCGTCTTCTTTTTCTTCTTCCACAACGCATACCTACCGAAGACAGCCCTGCGCGTGCGCGCACCTGTGACTCTTCCTTTCCCGGGGAGGGGGGACGATGGGAAAAATCGCACCAGAGATCTGACTGATAATCGATTCAAGCAACAAACGCGAGTACGCTGTAGGAGCGCATGTAGGGTGGGGTGGGACGGCAGGTGAAGCCTGGACTCTGGAAGTTATGGTATGTTATCACTGGCCACTGCAGATGTGGTGTGGCCGATGTGTGTGTGGCTGAGTCTGTGGCTGGCAATTTTTAGCATGTCCCGGCATCGGACAGTCCGAGTTCGCAAGTCCTATCTTAGGGCATCACATACTATCTTCACCAGTCTGATCTACACGTACTTGCTGGGTAACCAAACTGATAGTGCTTATTCTACCGGACGGCAAACTTGAACGCAACAATGTAGGCCCACAGGTTGACCGTTGACGCCGGATAAATCTGGGAACATTCAAAATTCTTGAACTTCGGTTGCTGACAGACAGAAAAGGAACTGTATTAACTACGCCGCGTGCGCACTTCCGTACTCTACCGTACAGTGGAAAGAGAACGGGGAGTGAGTCACTGGAGTCTGGAGGTGCTCTGTAGAAGAAAAATGAGATTGTCGGAGGGAGGAAGGGAGTGAGCTCAAGTTCCTTCCTTTTTTTTCTGCATTCTTACGCGTTCGTCTTTTTTGGTTTAGAGGAGAAGATGACGGGCTCCACAGCGTCGTACATACTGTACATAACTCCATACATAGAAGATGGGTGGGGGTCACGACTCACGACTAATTACTTATGTAAGATGTAGCTGCCTGAGTGGCCGAAAGCGGCCGGAAAAAAAGACGATACCAAAGGAGACGAAAGAAAGGGAGAGAGAAAACGGCTATATATATGGGGGAGGGGGATCACGAATCGAAATCGGGGTTTCGTCCTGTTCCTAATCCTCCGTACACGGTACACCTTCGACTCTTCCCCAGAAGCACCTACCGGAGTATCGTTTGACCTTGTTGGTAATGCATACGTACGTTTGTTCGCGAGCCTCGGCCGTGTTTGCGAACCCGCGACTGGCATTGCATATCATGTATGTGGATATAGTAGGGGCAGTGCTGAGTTCTATGGGCGTGGTGCGAACCGTCCTGTAGTATAGCACAGTCGCGCATAGCCGATATGCGCTGTGTGCGCGGTCACCGGAGAACTTGATGAGAACATGATCGACCTTAGGAAACACTCGGACACACGACTCGACTGGGATAAGGCCGAGGCCTGAGTAATCATAGGATCGCACTCGGCTCCACCGTCATTCCAAAACATCGACGGTATGTTTTGCGGAATCCCGACTCGAGGGCGCGGGGGCAAGTACGAGGGCGCGGGAACAAGTGCGAATAGTGAAGAGACATACTTTCGCGAAAGGCCAGGGCGGAGGGCAGGGAAAGCCACATCGGGCCGCCTGACGAAAGTTGGGTTGGACAGTGGCGTGGAAACGGGGGGCACGTGTAGATGACATTGCCATGATCTAGATAGGTCGCATGCAATCAATGGCTGAACAGAAAAAAGTTTTGAGGAATCCGATTCGCTTTCCCATCCATCCACCAGACGGCACTCTGTGTTGCTTCCTTACTTAGCATCCGGGCACCTAGGCATCGCGAGTACATATGGAGGATTTAACGTTTCGCTTCAACGTTCCGCCGGCTTACTGTGGAGTGCAGTGTGCTGAATGATAGTCGCCTTAATGAAGGCCATCGATTTCCACGATATTACTAAGTTCGCCTCGCAGACTGGAGTGTTCAACTATTCGCGGGCGGGTGGGCGTGCAAACCAACAAGCAAGCATGGATGATGGATCCTTCGACCGCTAGTTAGCTGGCTCCATCTTGCTACGTCACAAGGTGCTCGATTCGAAAATTTCTCACTCGATTTCTCTTGACAACTTCAATGATGACACCGTGCATACTTCCTTTGTAGTGAATTGGATGTACAACACACAATGAAAGATTCGCCCGAATTGCGAACCAACCAAACTCCTGTTCTCAATTCGCCCCCTCGCCCCTAAGGGTAGCTAGAGCACATGCAAGCGATAGCGCACCTGATACCTGATTGAGCACAGTGCACAGTGCACACTTGCACAGTTGCACGCTGAGTCACCGCTGCTCGGGTTCCTTCCAGCCAGACTAGTGGTGCACGTTTTCGGCATCGGGCCGGAGCCTTGTGGGACAGGCAGTAGGATGAAGGATGGTCTGAGCACCGCGGCGTCGTCAGCGTCCACCGAACCGAACCGTCTCGGGGATCGGGATGCTGGTACCCTACCCAGCCGGACTCGGCATGGCTGAGCTTTTTCGGAGCCTGGTTGTGCATTTGCACAACTTTTGGTTCGGGGGTATTTACTTCGGGAAGATCGATGTCTGGAAAAATATTCTCCGTGTCCGCTACCCACTCCTGTGCCGACCGACCACTGCTTCCGTCCTGCTACTATTCATACACTCCTCGGGCTTCATAGCATTCAGCCCGGCTTAAGACTGCTGTTTGCTCGTATTTTTATCCAATATATCCGCGTCCGTGGTTGTCACCGTGCAACGTTTACCTCTCGGACTCGGTCTTCGACTATCAACCCTAACCCCACGGGTCGGGCCCTCGCAGCTCCCTCTCTCCCGTGCGTTCTCAGCGCTGCATTATCACGCTCGGTCGTAGCCTACCGTGGTCTATTACCGCACGGGTAAGCCCACGGAGCATCTCAGATGCGGGTTGAACGCAATGCTGAATCCTGAAGCAGCCACAGTTTTCGGCGGCCCCTCCCAATTCTCACTCGCCCTCGCTCCCTCCAGCCAGCCCTTAGCGCCGTGAGCCATGGCATCCACGGGACCACCCCCGTCGCCGCCGCCAGGCTGGACCATCCTGCCGGACAATGAGTGGCTGACGCGCACGGCTGCGGTCCTGCTCGGCTACATCCAGCCGTCGAGCCCGCTGCTTCCCGGGGAGCTGACCAAGATCGCGACGCAGTACCTCAACAGCCGGAACAGCAACAAGCTGCAGGGCTACGAGATCGAGTACCTGGAGGGGTACATCCGGAAGCAGCTGCCGGCGCTGGACCTGTCGGCGTACCACCGCGTCGGCGGCGGAGCCGGAGCCGGAGCCGAAGAGACCCATACCCATACCCATACCGACGCCATGCGCAGCGTCCTGGACTACTACGGCGGCGTCGTGGACCACGGTAATTCTGAGGCAAGTGCGCTCAACGCCCCAGCCCTGTGTTTTCAGGGCACCAAGGATCTAGGGATTTTCCTGCGTGAGAATGATGCGATGGATGATACCGACTACGATGACAACGACGACGGGTCGTCGGCGCAGACCGTATATAGCGAGGTGGGTACCGAGTGACCGTGGGGGAAAAAAGATACCCATCTGGCGCCAAGTGAGCCGGCTGCCGGCTGGCTGGTGGGGGAGGGGATTCGGACCTTTACTTGGCGGGATGGATCCCGGGTAAAGGGATCACCGTTTCTCGTCAATGATACATTATGTACCTACATATGTGCCTATCGGCACATGATGGCAGAAACTAGTACGCTAACCATGGTCCTCCACCAGATTACGAGCCAGTATGAGCTCGCCACGGTAGCAACCAGCGTCAGCGGTGCCAGCGCGTCGCCGGCCTGCAAGCGGTTCGGCTGCGGCTACTGCGGGAAGGAATTCAGCAAGCGATTCGAATTGAACCGGCACTGGATCGGACTCGCCAAGTCCTGCACCGAGCGGCTCGTCGAATTCCCTCCGTCATTGTCGCAGTGCAGCCGCTGCGGCAAGAAGACGTCACAATCCGGAACCGGCATCGACAGTATCGCCGAGCACGACGGTAATTTCGGCACTCAGGTCCGAACCGATTCCCTTCCGAAGGGGTGGAGACGCGGCTACCCAAAGCTATCGGAGCAGGAAGAGGAGGACGATTTCTTTGAACCGACCGAGGCGGGCTATCCTTCGGCCCGGCCCACGATGTTTGCCGGCCGGTTCAGAGAGTCGGAATCGGCGGAGTGGATGCCTAAGCACGTGCAGTTCAAGCACAACCCGAACGACCGAAAGCCTGCTCGGAAGGCGGGGTGTGGTAGCGGCATCGGGGATGCATGCGCCTGAAGCGCGCCGTGAGTGATCCTTGATGATGCAGAAACTGCGTACCCGATCGATACGTTACCGGCTAACGGAGGTCACCCAGAAGCACCAGACGCGTGCGACGACAAGCGGATTTGACGCCGAAGCATGCAGCGTAAGCTCGAGCGGGGTGAACGTTGGGATGATTAAGATCCTGCGTTGGACTTGCTCTTGCTTGCTTGTGGAGAGCCCCTGTGTCTTTGAGTACCGATTCGATCTGCCGAAGTTCTTTCGTGTCGCTTTGTTTGCTGTTGATTATTTTTATGTACATGACGAAACATGATTATTTTCGCGCATGAATGGAGAGTCCGCCACGAAAGGGACGGAAACGCATATCGTATGTGAGACCACGCAACGTAAATCCTGTCAACCGGCGACGAACGCAGGCGGAACTCCAATGAAGTGAGGGGGTGGGGAGTAGGTGGTACCGTAGTAGCTACCTAGGTTTCGGACGATTGCTGAACACTTCTCTTCTGCGAGTGGATGCAAAGCAAGCAAAGACGAACAGCTCTAGATATGGGTACCTGGGTTTTGCCCCATGATCGTGGCTCCGCTTCACCGGAAGGATCGCCATGGGACTGTTATTGGACGCGCGCGGATCGGTACCCCGAATCTGTACATCAACACAGTCTGAGCATGGGGAATCATCTTATTTAGCCATCCATCCATCCATCCATCCATCCATCCATCAAGTGGGGCGGTTGCAGACGTGCGGAATGGGCGATGGCTACTTACGTACGTAAGAGCCATCGCGGCGTAGGCATTGCTCCACGTCAACCCGCTGCATACCAGTAATCCCCAGTCCCGGCAGGTTTCTAGGAGTACAGAGAAGCGGCGTTCACAGTACTTGGAGGGGGGGCTTCTGGAACACCGATGCTAGCTCGATAATAGACTTGTGGTAGTGGTAGACTAGTAGCAGATCCATTTGCCGGCCGTCACGGTGAACCATGCCGGTCGGTGTGTACGACATGTACGTACTGTAGGTCGCGGAAACCGGTGCACACGGAGAAAAAACATGTTCCCACGCAACGAAACGTGACGAGTTCTGTGCAACTTGATGCGCAAGAGCAGATGGGGCTCGAATGACCACCGATCTCGCCGAGCGGAGCGGACGCAACGGACGATTTTAATTTCATTGTTGGGTACCCGCCGCACGGTAGTAGTCGCTCGAGGGTATCGAAAAATCTAACGGACGTTCCTGATTGAACAGCGGATAATCGATGTCTCACATGCTAACGCGCCGATTAGCTTTCTACGAGGAAACAAGCAAGTGGACGCGCGCCGGATGGAGGGGGAAGGGGAGGGGGGACTCGGGCCCGCCGCGACAAACGATATCGATAGCCACGATCGGGGATCGCATTGAAGCTCCTCCTCTACGTCCTCAGCATGTCCGCGGGGTACATACTAGCATGTACCGTGGTATGTACAGAGTTACCTACACGACCCATGGAAGATCGCAGCCGTGAAACTCACCGGAAACTTTCCGGCCGCGTAAGCGATAATGTCCGTAGGTCGTAGGCGTGATTTGAACCAAGTTTCCGAACAGCCGACAGGGACTTTCCATGGCACGGCTATGGGCATTGTGAGCACTGTCGTGAGCTATTTTGAGGAGGGGGAGGAGGAGGAGGAGCAGGATGCGCCGACTACCATCGTCTCTTACAAGTTACGGGGGTTGTCCCTCCCTCTCTCTAGTCGCCCGCAAGGTTTCTCATGTGCCGAAGTCGAGCCAATAACTGCAATCTGCCGATTATTCCTCGCATCTGGCCGAGTGCCTGCGATAGGTGGTGGCAGTGGTGGTGACGGTGGTGGTGGCAGTGGTGGTGGTGGTGGTTCACAGAGTCGTTCCAGTTACATACCCCCGTCCTTCGTCCCCTCTCGACGCAGGTGTGTCTCCACCGCAGCTCTCGGACCAATTGGCAGTGTGCTTCGTTCGAGTCCGCATCCCGGGCATCCCACAAGGAGCCAGCCCTAGATAGATGAATGAGTCAGGCCAACCGGTTAACCATGCACCAGCCAGTCCTGCCCACTATCGCAGATTATAGAGTATGTAGAGTAGAGTAGAGTGAATAGCAGTCAGTTAGCGTTTGCGGTGGTGGTGGTGGTCTCTCCATTATTATCGAGCACTCCACGAACATGATCGATCTGGGGCTCCGCCCCCCTCACTACTCTATGTATTGTACTTGGGTGGCTGTCGACTGTAGACTGTACATACATCATACATCATACATATACCACATAGTGTCTAAAAGAGCCTCAGTTGGTCTGCGTCTGCGTCTGCAGGGAAGGGAGTGGATTGAGAGCCGCCGAGGCTCTGCGGGTGCTCGCATGCATCGGGGAAGAGTTGCCAAAGCGGAAGGAGGTCGGGACAGTCCGCATGCCGCACCATGGTTAATTAGAGCCGCAAAAAGTTTGACTGCATCGCTCGCAGCTCGCATTCCAGGATCGTTCATTCGCATTGAACGAGGGCCGAGACATCCCCCGCCCCCGCCCATCCACGGCCAGCGCCGGTCTGTCCCACCAATCTGCCCGGACCGTCGCTAAAAAACTTGGACTTCCCGATTTCGGGCCCCGCTCACCCCACTCCGACACACCGGCTATTCGATCGCGAATCGACTGGAGTGGTTAAAACTCACATACCTACGTGTGGCCCCCATCGCGGCATGGCGGGCCACAGCAGGCAGGCAGAAAGAACCCCAAACCCTGGAAACTGCGTGTTGGTTAGCTTCACACTACACATATGTGAGGTCTAGATACTTGCGTGGGGGGACGGACAGGTAAGTCTGTACTTGCTTAGGTAGGTCTCGTACTCTATCGTGGCAGGGGGCTTCCGAGCCGGCCATGCAAATCATATTGCGAAGGAAGGAACATTCCAATCTGCAATGCGCTGCTGAGCCGCAACTTAACTGGTCGGCCCACCCCATATTTAGCCGTGGGACTAGTATGGAGGGAGGTAGTAGCAGTCGGAGTGGATGCCACTGATACATACACACGGTAGTAAGCACTGTGGAACGGCCGGTGTCGGTGGAGGTGACAGTTCGTGGCCATGGAGTTGCGTGGTGTAGCACGGAGCTCCACAAATTTGCCCCAACTTCCTGGGAAATGTTGATAAATTTACTCTCTTTTTGTGGCTATGCCCCATGTTCTCCCCTCGGCGACTTTCTCGTAGACATAAAGACATAGCCCTTCCTTCATGGGCCCGTGAGCTGGCCATCCCCGGAGACAGCGCCCGAGGCGTCCGTGATGACGGCTCCAGGGATCGGCTTGCTGGTTCGCCCGGGTGTGGTTTGCTCTGCACGAGACACCCCCCCTCCCCATCCCCCCAATGCACTCAGAAGCTGGAGCTGACTGATGCTAGATCGCCGTGGCTCGACGCATTGACTGTCGTCGAATCCGAATGGCTGTGGTCCGGAGGGGGAGGGGATTTCGCTGATATCAGAGCGGTGGCTGGGCGGGTCGCTCTTCTACTTTCCACAAATGACGGCCACTCTGTGAGCTGCTCCCGCAACATAAGTCAGTATAGTACGGTAGGTAGCGGACGACGTATCGGAACTCTCATTCAGTGGCCAGTTGTGGGCTAGTTAGCTGACATAGCCGTGATGGTTTTAAGCCGCCCACCACGCTATGCATGAATGCAGGTCGGTATCCTAGATTGAACCGCTAACCCCAAGAAAGTGCTTGTTGTACGTGAAGCAAGCCGCAGGCTCCATGAGAAATTCTCGGCGGCGCAGAGCTGCGGGTGAGCCTCACGGCAGGGGAAGGGGAAGGCAAGAGAGGGTGGGGAGAAAGGGCGCCATACTAGCCCCATCACGCTGCCGATAATCATTTGTCCACACTGAGACCCCTCCATGGCCGAAGTCCTAGAAAAGCAACGCGGAATCCCTTGGAGGCTGAGAAGAGGCTCTTCGTTTCAGGGCACCAATTCGACTTTCTCTACCGGCAAAAATAAAAACTGTTTATATCTGCTTCTCTGCCCTCTTGTTGACCATGGATTCGTCCTTCCGTTCCAGCATCCACCTTCACCAGACTTCCGCCGCCGACGCTTTGGAACATGCGCTTGACCGAACAGCCGCAGAGTACCAGTTGCATACACTGAACCTGCCGTCCTCGCCGCAATCCTTGGACATGCACGAGTCTAGACACCAGGCCCGAAGCTTTCAACTGTCCCATCCCTCCGTCCTCACGCCGCTGCACAGCTCGTTCGGATCTCGAAGCCCGTCCCCCTCGGCCTGGCAGCTCTGCTCGCACAACACTCCCGTCCGGCCATCTTCGCCAATCTCTCTGGACGGCCTGGAACCGTCTTCCTGCGATTACCAGCGGCACGCCGAGTACCAGCGATATACATCGCCGCTATTGTCGGACGACTTCTCTACTTCCGAAGACCAGCTATACCCCGCGCTCATGGCTTCCAACGGTCTAGGGACGCCGCCGGGCTCGATAAACGGGAGCACTACGGAATTGGATCGCCAGCCCCAACTCTACATGCAACACTCTACTCCCATGCCTGGCGACTACCTGACGCCGGTGGCCCACGGCCATCCCTACGGAGACCCGACCTACGGCCGTGAAGCTCCCAGGGAGATCCATCACTCCAGAAGCGGTATGTTGACACCCCCCCACCTACGCAAGCCTGCAGGTTGCCGGTGATGCATGTGACTAACATCGGACAGGTCATTCGTCCTCCGCCCCATACGTATATTCGTCCTACGGGATGGATCCGCGGTCGCCGCAGCCCTATCAGCCCAACGATCTGCCTCCGCTGCCTTGGTCCACGACCGTTCCAAGGAATCTCCCGCCGCCACCCGCGGTAGTTGGGCAGTACGTCGGGCAATCGCAGCAGTGGGGCGAACGAAGTCCCATCTCATACCATGACGACTTGCAGGAGAGCAGTTACCGGTGCGCCAGTGCGCGCTGCCGGTTTACGGCGAGCTCCCCGGAGCAATTGACGTGAGTAATCCACGCACCCTGGTGCATACGTACATACATTGTGTCTGACATCGCTGTTCAGTAAACACCAGCAAAAGCACCTAAAGATCCACCACTGCCGGTTCGCGTCCTGCTCTCGAACCGAAGGCTTCGCGACGCCCAACGACCGCGAGCGCCACGAAAAGTCCATCCACAAGATCCCCGGCTGCTACTGGAAGTGCCTCGACAACCACTGCAGCAGCTACGGCAAAGAGTTTAGCCGCCGCGATAATCTGAAGGATCACCTGCGCCGCATGCACCCCGTCCCTGAGGGCATGAGCGAGAATGAGGCCAGCGCCCTGCGCAGCAGGATGGCGGACATGTGGCGGTTTGACAAGGGAAGCGATGCGCAGGTCATGGCGGTGGAGAGAAGATAGCAGCAACACCGTAGTCAGTCCACTAACGATGCGGGAGTGATGTGTACGATTTTTTTATTTTTTTTTGTTGGTTCGGGCATATGGAAGGAGTTCATCTGTAAAGGGTTTTGGGGTTTTATTTGGTTCATCCTCTGTTTTTCTCGACTTTTGTTTTCCTGGTGTATCTGGGCTCCGGTATTGGTTTGGTATCTGGTTTTTTCGGGAAAGAGTTTCTTGGGTTTTGGATGATTCGCACAGGGCAGAACAGTTCGAGCAGGACAGGGCAGATCTGATGGGGATGGAGGTTCTGTATGTAACGTTTTTGACCGTCAATTGTTTTTGGGGGGTCTATCTCTAGTTTTTTTGTTTCCTATTCCAACGAAGAATACGTTGACTTCACGGATGAGATTGATCGTTCAGTTCAGTTCGGTGATTGGGTAACAAGCAACCAAGGTATCCACTGCTATGTGCCCGTTCCTTCTTTTTTGATCACACCGGTGACGGTGACCGGCGGCTCCGAGATGAACACCACCGGAAGGTGGGGATGTACTAAGGGTCCTCAAAGTGACTGGAGAAGCAGCTGGCTGGACTTTAGCGTGCCTAAACGGGGACGGAGGTGTGGTGGAAATTCAGTGTGATTGGCCGACGTAACCTCGAGTGCCGTGATAGGGATAGAGCAAAAAATGAAGTACTCGCACACGCGTTGCTACGGTGATATGAGAAGCTTTTGAGTTCCGGATACTATCAAACCTCCAACATCATGCCCCACGTGTCACGGAAAAAATACGCGCTTCAAACAATCAACACAACTGTACGAGAATTACAAATTATCAACTTAATTTTCGACAGAAACTAGGTATGATACAGACCCTTTCGCAGAAGATCTATCTGCCATTCGCGATATTACAACAACCTGATGAATCTGCGCATTTTCCCACCTTGTTCTGAGTAAAAATCGTACGAAGAGGATTGTATTGGGGGTGTGCTCTAATTTCTGGTTGAAGTATCTGATGCCTGGCAAAGCTGGTGATGTGTGTGTGTACGGAGGGTAACTATTGTCTGAACGCGTGCTCCAGATTCGTCACTCCATCCAGCCAGCTCCCATCCAGTCCCCAGCCGGTCGCTCAGAGTTTATGGGCTTTATTTGGTTAGACTGTCCCAATACGGGGCGTGACGCTAAAGTCCAGCCAGCTGCTCCTCCAGTCACTTTGAGGACCCTTACTATATACCTCCTACCTACCTACCCGCTCCAGTCAAGTTGTAGTAGTTGGGTCTGTAATTCGCGGCTCTCAGAGTCGCAGCTCACGTTAGTTATGTAAGTGCGGATGCTTCGCTGGCGAATATCGTCCGTCTGCAGACCTTCCTTTTCTCCGCACTCAATTCCTCCCCTGCTCTGCGCTTCCCTGCCTGGCTTTCCCCCATCCCAACCGACCGACCGACCGACCAACCGACCGACCTCCCTGTGTGCCCTGTGGGCACAATCGACTCGATCTCAAGTTCCCAGCTGCCTTCCAAGTCCAGGGATGGGATGGCTGGAATAGTCGGTAGCGGACGTACTTTGCGGACCTATGTAGCTACCTAGCGGGCGCACGGAGCGATAGCTGCCGAAGCTCGAGCTGCCAGTCTCTAGGGCTTGTAGGGCTTGTAGGGCTTGTGTCTACCTACATGAGAGATATATGAGAAGGACATATGAATGTATGCTTGTATGTATGTGCCTGCAAGATTGTGAGATTGCGAGATTGTGAGATTGTGAAGGATCCTCAATCGATACCCGCTACTACTATATAATGTAGGTATGTACTTTCCTCACTCGCACGTAGAGTACATAAGCACACACCTCCCATTTCCCCCACGACGGTATTTCCGAGGAGCAGTGATACATCAGGTATATCCTCAGGGAGCTGGTGGGGACGGGTACATATGAGGTATGGCCAGAGATCATCGAGGTAGTTAACGGGGTTTGTCAGCACCTTTGCACTTTTTCACCTTTTTTCACCTTTTTCCCTTTTTCCCTTTCGACAGACAGGCAGGCGAAGACTCACTCACACCATCCAATCGACCAGCCGTCCTGCTGCTTGTGGTAGTCGGTGGATGACTTTCGATGTGGAGGATGCGGAGCCGCCCTTACGTGACTACCTATGTCAGATGCAGATACAGATAAAGATACAGATGTAGATGCGGCTGTTAGGGCTGCTACATAGTTAGGAGGAGGTGGTGGAGGAGGTGGAGGAGGGGAGACGGCGATGCCCGTTGGGTGCATACATGTTACCTGATTAGTTATCCGATCCAGTCGTTGGGCTGGCCAAGTAAGTATCGTATCCACCCGCATCGGAGCAGTCAGAGCAGTAACGATTCCCGACGCCCAGCAGTGACAGTTCGAGTCCGATCAACGGTCGTCGGTAGATATGATGTGGATGGCTTCAAGGTGTTGCACTTGCGCCCTTGTACCCGTGCGAAGGTTGTGTAGAACTGAGTTAGCTACCTTCCGCTCCGCTGAGCTCAGCACAGCACCGCTCAGCTCAGCTCAGCACAGCCAACACTGGGCAGCATAAGACTTTGACTTTGACTTTGACTTTAACGCAAAACTAAGCCCTACGGTAGCATACTCTAACTGCATACCTCATAGCCAAAAGGGTATTGGCCCCGAACGGCGCGATGCGATGCTATGCTATGCGATGGGGCTGAAAACTGGGCTGAACTGGGCGTTCGACGTCGGTGCGGGCGGGCGGACGGGTGACGGTGGATCATCGCAAGGGTGTGTGCAGTGTGCAACGTTGCGACTGACTGACTGAGGGGAACAAGGCACGATTACGTCGGAGCTTTCGTATCGTGATTCATCGCAGCCAGGACATTCGAACGTCACGTCGACCTTCTTCCTTCTTACTTCTTCGCCGAGTGGGCGTGGGAGCGCGGGGGAGTGGGGGGGGAGTACGAGCACTAACTCTGTAACTGCATTGTGCGATCTCACAGAGTCGCAGGCCGGGGACAATTTACAAACAGAACAAGCGGTCGGCCACCACCACCCTCACCACCACCACCAGTACCACCCCTACCGTACTGCGTACGGTACCACAAACAGCATGGAAGGGAACTTTTTCCCCTTTGTAGCGCGCCCAACGTATCGTATGTAGGAATACCGGTGAACGATACGATGCGTTGCACCCTGTATTAACTATCGCACATTTCCAGGGCCAGCCCCCCCAGAACGCGTCAGGATCCTGAGGTGAGTCCCTACCTAGATTACTTCGGCACCATCGGCCAGGGTGGGCATCGAGAGTACATACTCAAACGACACACTGGGCCACTGGCAGATCGGAAGGTGTTGGCTGGGGACCAATTATCAGCATCCCTGGAATAAAGCTGCATAGGTACACGGTCGGCAGTATGCCAGACCCAGTATGCCAGTATCTGAATTACGTGACTCCATCATCGCCTAGTAGGGAGCCGTCCGTCCGAGTACTGTAGAATACATCACCATAGATCCGCCCGAAATTTAGTTAGGGGCCAGCCTGGGCCCTGGCCCGCCATAAATCCGCCCCCATCCCCGCTTGGGAACCGATTCCAAGTCTCCACATTGACATCCGCAGTGCGCACCAATCCGTATTTTTTGCCGCTCGAACCGCCGGCCACCGGCCAGCGGCCAGACCTGGCGTTTCAGGCGCCAACCCACCTAGGCTTGCTGGGTATAACTACCGTATACGTAGTTGGTTGGAGGGCATGGTGCTGGCATGGTGGTGGGGGTCTTCTTTCTTTCTTTCTTTCGAGAAGTAACCGAGCCTGGAACCTGAGAAGTTGGAGCACCAGAGTTGTGGCTGCGACGCTGCGTTGGACGTGGTGTTCGTTCGTTCCCAGAGGCATAAAAGTTGCCCCTCCTCACGGTAGCTGATTGGCTAGGTGGTGACATTCCCTGGCAGCAGCAGTCGTACTCTACATACTGACAACATACGTAACATGCTTAGAATAGAGTATAGGTACTGGTATGTAGGTAGAGTAGGTAGAGTAGTTGACCGCCGAGTCTCGAGTTCCAACAAGCATCGTCATTCTCATCGCCATCGCCGTCGAGCCAACCAACCAAATAACCGGAGCGCACGAGTGGGGCAGTAGTTTGTAGGAAGTGGTTGTAGGTATCTCCCTAATCCAGCAAGCGACCGGAGAATCCAACTGTTTCGATCTGAGTAGGGTTCGTGGTGTTTGGTTGGTTATTGGGTTGTTTGTTGGGTTGTTTGTTTGGCCGTTTGTTTACTGTGATTTTTTTCTCGGCAGGGTCATCTATTAAGGTACCGTACCGGATCGGCGCGTTGGGCTGGGTTGAGTAGAGTAGAGTAAGCCCACGTCGTGGTCGGGAGCGGGGAAGGAGGGGTGGAGTCCGTTGGTTTTGACAGAAGTCATCCATGCTGCCCAAGACCTCAGCTGTAGCCGTCGACGGTCGGTATTTAACAGAAAGTCTAGCACCCCTCCCCCGTCTCGCCGTGAAACTGCGTATCTAGTATGGCCTCCTGCCTGCCTGCCGGCGACGGATCGATTCCAGCATATTTTGCAGACGGTCTTTTGCCAACGTCCCTGCATGCTGGATCCCGTAGGTGGGATCGTGAGGAGAGCACACCGGGAGCACACACCGGGAGCACACACAGAAGAAAGACGAGATATGGAGGTTGATCGTCGATCCCGTAGATGATGGTCAAGAGAGAAGCAGAAGACGAAGAAGCAGACGACCCCGCCATGGCCGTCAACGTTGATGCCCACTACTAGCCACATTCGTTTTCGCCCGCCTACATGCCCTCATCTCGCTCCTTCCTCTCGCTCCGCCACATATGTGTATGTAGTTCCTTCGGCTCCCAGAGCAGAGAGAGAGAGAGAACATCGATTTATGTCGCACGCAGCCTGTCTAGACTATGGCGAACCAACGCACTCCTTTTCCTGTCTTCCCTGGCTAGTCGAGGTGAAAGCCCTGGTACCGAACAGTTCGATGCGGCGCCCCACTTTCCCAACCCATCCGCCTCGGGCCGACATGAGCAAAACCTTTCGGCTCCCAGCGAATTCCACCCCAGTTGCTGACACACCTAGCCGAGTCAAACTCCATGACTGGATTCATTTACACTCACTCGACTTGGGCAACCCAAAAAGAAAATACTATCGGAAAAGCACAGTCTACAGCTGGTGGGGATTGACGAATATACATACAAGCTTGGAATTACTCAACACCCAACATGAGCAGCCGTCATTGTTTCTGGGAAGATTGGTGTTGGAAACATATGATCGCATCCCTTCCAAGAGTATGGTATCCTTCCAAGAGTTCTCAAGGCAGATATCGACACCACTCATCATCACTCATCAACGCACAATACGACACAAATTATTCCACTATTTCAGCCCGTCTAACAACAGTACATATACTCTGAAGAACCCATACGGTATTTAGCTTCCTATCGTCTCCAGTGTACCGTTTTCGTGCTACAATACCATACATCCGACTCCCTCGCTTTTCCACTTCTTGAAAGGTCACCTCCGTACAACTTCCGCCACGTTTCGTTCCACTCTTTTACCCGAGTGAGTGCAAACTGACACCCGAGAAATTTTAGCTTGTTTCAACAGGAGTTTCCCCCTCGCTCGGTGGCTCGACGAACTAGTCAGGAGACCACTGGCTGGCACAAGTTAGGCGCTTCCTGACGCTGTCACGCTAGTCCTAGGACTAGAGTCTATCTACTCTAGCAGTGAGCGAGCTCGATCTTGAAACCCGAACTTGGAGGAAGAGGAGGAGTTGTGTGACAAACAGTACATAAGTGTGTACTTATGTCAAACACCGGTCCGCTGGTCAAATTTGGTCAAGTCTGGTCTGGTCTGGTCGCCCGCCCGCACGCCCTTTCGTGGTTCATCCGTGCTGGTGCATCCGTCTGAGCACCACGCCGAGCCTTGGGGCCAGGGGACGCACGGACTCAAGCCGTCGAACACACGCTAGTGTAGCCGCCAGCGCCGACCTCAAACTGGCAATAAAAGGTGGATCATTCCGTCTTCTAGTTCTGCAACGGCCGTCGGCGTTCGTTCGGTAACCCTCTCGCCTCGAGCGGGGGCGAGAAGCAGCACTATCGTGTAGACGGTCGTTGGTGGGGGTGGTGGTGGCGGCGGCGGCGGACAGAGAACGCCATCATAGCCAGGCCTGTGTGGAGCGTCCTCGAGGAGGTGGTCGAGCACGGACGAAAGTGTAGGTATCGTAGTGCGATGGGGACGGTCGGCTTCGCTGACGATGGATGTTATGTTAGTACCCCATATCGACAAAGGTTTCGACGGAAACACCCACCAGATGTTGAGCTTCCGCCGTAAGAGTGCCAGAGGAGAAGTTTAACGTGTAAGTCTGTTTGGCAGACACCAGCTGCCGAGTTGCCGAGACGAGACTACCAACCGTGCGATGGGCGATAGGCGACATGTGGACGGCCGATGTCGCTTGGCTCGAGATCTGGGTGGATATTCCGTGCAGACAAGAGAACGGTAGGAGATCTGAATCATCTGATGGGGGCCTTTGTAAAACATCCAACAAAGCTGGTAAGCGGAGGACGGTTCTCGCGGGAAGGGAGCGACGCGCACCTGCCACATTAACCGTATCTGTCTCCGTTAAGATCTTAGTCGCCAGCGAAGGAAGTGGATCTTCGAGAGTGTGTTTCGGGTCTTTGAAGATGGAGCACCTCCGCGCTTAGTTGAAAAATTGGAGTGTTGCACTTTCGTGCGAAGAGCCGGATGTGTTGGTCGACCGGAGGGAGACGCTCGAGTATCGACAGTCTTATCGAGAGTGGCAGAAGGACCGTAGGCCAGCGTGGTACACAAATGGTCATTAAACGTGGAGGTCAGCTACCACCAGGAAGTCAAGAATAGACGGCACAAGCGACGAAGCTCATCGACGAGCTGAACGACGGGGCTCTAGAATCCGTATGCGAAATTGGAGAGTGCCAGGAAACCATAGAAGCCTTACCGTGCAGTTTTCCATCTCGCTCCCCTCGTCGCCGACCAGGCTGGTGTGAGAACTGCTGAGGGCAGTCCCGACAGAGGATACACAAAAACGATGTGGCGATAGTTGGGGAGTGGAGGCCGGCAGTGGCCACGAAGGCACCTTAACCGATCGATGTGGCGGGTTAGGACAAACATATAGCTGTCCAGAAGGAGCCTCATGCTTCGTCGGGGGGATACGACATCTCTTCCGTCGGCAGCTGCGTCAACTCAGCTTGAAGGCAGAACTTGCTTCAGAGCTCTCCGTCGAGTCCGATTCAATCGACTCGGAGATAATCGACCATCGATCCGATCGGTCGCCCACATCACCGTGGAGAGCGAGGTGGTGGTGGTGGCGATTTTCGCACACACAGTGACAGGTCGAATATGACATGGCGGGACCTCTGGACAACAGACTCCGGCAATCATCTCAGCAAGCTACCCCCATCACCGGCAGAGTTTTATTGTGGATAAAATGATTTCCTTTCGAAAGGCTTCACGGAGACCTTGCTGGAATTGGGGCTCATGCTGGTGCCAACGCCCTTCCAATACTCCCTCCCCCCCCCTCCCCCTCCCCCCTTGCAAGTGTTAGACTTCTGGCATTCTCCAGCGATATCAGTTCTACCACATTGGCCAGCTGTTCGAGCCAACTGGTGCTGTAGTGGTGGTGGCTTGGGAAATCTGACTGCAAACCCTCGAATCAACGGAGGGATAAAGGATGCATATGCCGTCCTTTCCCACGTCGAACAGCTGATCTTTTGAGGTCCAACGGGCTCAGATAGGCAGTATCGCCCAGTCTCGCCGTCGAGCCCGCATCCAAGCTCCTCCACCACCACCACCACATCGACAATTGACGTGTGCGTCGCAGCAGGTGTTCGTAGGTGGTCAAGGAAGGGAGACTCAGCTTCCAGCGGTCTCGCGGGATTATTTGCCTCGAGCTTCTTTTTCCCACAGAATTGGCAATGTGAAACCTCTGCTTTACCTGGGCCCCCGCTTCGAGAATCCTTCGGCAAAAGGTTTGACCAGCTTTGATGGCCTATCGGATGCAGCGGTAACCAAAAATACACGTTTGGAACACATAACATCGAGCCAGGCCAAATGCTGCCACACCAAAGAAAAAAAACGAGCTCTCGGGGGCTAGCGTAGAGTGCCATGAACTGCTGGAATGCTTCCATCACCGACAATCGTTTCCGGAGTGGCCATGCGGACCCTGGTGGTGCTGGCAGCAGTGGCCGTCAGCGCGAGCACGACTCGTCGTACGCATCACATCATTTTCGCAGTGCATAATTCGAGGGAATTTTGGCCCCTGTGGCCCACGATTTACCAGAGACTTTCCTGATTTCGAGCAGACGGTAAAACCGCCGGAGTTCATGACGTGTCTCTCTGGTCTGGTCTGTCTGGACTCGGGGGCTCGATAGTCAATCATGTGATATCACTCGCTAGGATACTTCCACCGATCCCTGTGTCCGGTACTGCGGTGTACAGTGCAGAGGCAAGTGCCAGGTCTTCCTTAGCTACGCTCTTCTGCGTTGTCTAACTTGTTACCGGAAAGTTCTTTCTTGATCACAGCCTCGCTGCGGTGTGACCGATCATCGTATGAATCTTCATGCGATGTACGAGTACGTCCGTGGTTACCAGGGTTCCAGAATCAACGCCAACGCGTTAGTGAGTCGTTCCTTTTTCCCGTTCTCTTCGACGATGGATCCACTCTGATTCTCTGCAGCAGGCTTCTCCGCCAGGTGGGTAGCACTGTTAATTGTGTGCGTTTCGGTGTTGTTTTGGCGAACTCTTGTTCTTTTCTTGTTCTTTTTGTTTTATTTTTTCTTTCTTTTTTTCGTTCTTTTCCGGTTTTCTTCTTATTTTCTTTTTTTTGTTCTTTCTTTCTTTCTTTCTTTCTTTCCTTGTTTTTTCTTTCTTTCCGTCGCGAGCCCTACGCCTTGCGTCGCCAGAGCAGACTCTAGACGAAGTTCTCCCCACTACTAGTAGAGTATACGCGCACCATCCTATCAGGGTGCCTCCTGGCGCTTCGAACGACCGAATTAAAACCTTTTGAAACGCTGGCCGCATTTTGCAGACAATGATTTACTTCCCGAAACACCGCAGGCATTTTGGACGAAAGGGTGTGTGCCCGCGCTGGGGCGCATTCGGTTCGCCACTGCCACAGGTTCTGCTCGACGTTGCGGACTCGACACCATCCTTCGCAGCACATCGCATGATAAAGCTAAAAAGCACTTGTTCGCTGAAAATAACACAATTGACAGCTAAAGGCCGGGACTAGTCTCGAAGTATCCTTGCCCGTTTGCAATTGACTTCCGCCTTCCTTCACGAAAAAATGTTGTCCAGAATTCTCACGATATGGCCTTTCACCGCACGCTCGAACCAGCCTTTCTGCCGGGTTTGGCTTGCGGCCAACACCCAACCCGCACGCACGCCTCTCAACCTTCAACACGTGTAAGCAGCACGAAGTCGAGTCAAAGAAAGAAAGAGAGCGAGCAGGCAGCCCAGCCCAGCCTTCCCGTCGTCGAAGGGGCACCGCACCGCACCGTCAACAGGCCAGCACCACCAGCGAGCGAGCACCCCTGCACTTTCTCTGCGAGGCCCGGCGTCATATTTTCCTTGCGGACTGACTAAGTGATTGAGCGACTGAGTGACTGACCGACCGACTGACCGATGACCGACTGGCCGACTGGCCGACTGACCAACCGACCGACCGGGTGAGTGAGTGACGGACACTGCGCCTCGCGGGGCCCATCGCCTATGTCACTTCCCAGGTACCTCGCTTTCCCAGCGTGCAGCAGTTGCGATCCCTTGCCCCGCAAAACTCTCCTGTCCGAGGCGGCCATCGGTACCCCCGGCGAGCAGTGATGGTACATGTCAAACCGCTAAACCAGGGTCCGCACAGCAGATGCATTCCGCTACCTGTCACCTTGTCTTGTCTTGTCTGGTGCGCTTCACTGCCGACACGTCTGTCTGTCCTCCATCACCATCATCATCACCCACAGCCTGCACCACCAGGCCCCTCGGCAGTGCGAACGAAAGTCTCAATCGCTGCAGAAACAGCCAAGCGTCCCATCACGCCCGCTTGCTACCCACAGCCCAACAACAAACGCCATCACCACCCTCCCCCCCCCACCCCCCTCCCTTCGAGGCCTCCCGGATGCAATTGCACCGCGTTAGGCTTGGGACGCTTTCCGGCCTCATCCATACCAATTCAATCAGCCTTGTCCCTCATCTATATCCTGCGAACTGTGAAGCTCCACGTATGTGCAAGGTCAGCACGGACCTCATATTGACCACCGACCGTGCTCCCCCCCGCCGAGGGCCGCTCGTTCGTGCGAACAACAATCGCCGCACTACGTGCTGTGGCTTGCTTTTTTAAACTAAGCTAACACCCATCTTCAGAACTGCTAGCGATTCACATATATAAGACGGCTTTTTCGAGCTCCCTTTCGCCTATCATCACCAGCACTCACCAAGATTCCAACTCATACGCCGCCGTTCACTTACTAAAGAAACGCCACACTCACAGACAGACTCGACCCTCCCACCACAACCACCACCACCAACACCACCAACACCACCACCAACACCACCACCACACAACACCACAACCACCACAACCACCACCACAACCACCAACACCCAAAATGCAACAATCGTACGTTCGAGTAACTAAACGCGGCAATCAAGTACCGGTTGTCCCCGTCTGTCCGCCTATAGACTGTCCGTTCAAGACGGATGATGGTACGACATGTGGGTTGCGATTGACCAAGGCCTCGGACATTCGGTGAGTCTACCGAGCTAGTTACTTCCGATTCTGTATGCTGACATATCCGGAAACTAGCGACCATTTTGTGAGAGAACATGGCAAAGGGCTCGTTGCGAAGCCGTACAAGTGTGAGCGCTGCGGGAAACGGCACGCAACCCCGAAACAAAGAAACAGCCACAAGGATCAGTGCAGGAGGGATCCTGCGGAGGAAGGGGGCGAGATGGAGCTCATCAACTACCACTTGGACCAAGTTGAGAGAGCGATACAGACCCCTTCTCTCACCACCACCGAAGGCATCAACACTGCAATCGCTGCGATTCTCTGTGCAAACCAAGAGCTGAGTGAGTTCGCTCATGCTCCGCTCTGTTTTTTTCAAAGCGGTGGGACTCATGGTTCTAAACGAGCAGGTGCAGGCCGTCCGCCAGCCGCGTCCACCTCCTCGACAAAGAATTCCCCAACCCCACAGCCGAGCGCTTCTCCGTCTGCGCCGCAGCCGCCCATGCTGGAGGTGGTACCCATCGACCCGCAGCACGGCGGCCATCATCATCATCAGCACGAGGCTCCTCCGCCGGTCATTTACTACGACTCTCACAGTCACAGTCACGGCGATCCAAATCCACCCGTCACTTACGCACCCGGCTATCCGGCCCATTCCGAACCCTCGCCCTGGATGTCGGTGCCCCCCGATCCCGCCTACCCCCTGCCCCCTCCCCTCCCTTCCCACGGTCTCTTCGGGTTAAGTGCGCCCCCCGCTGACATGTATGCAAAACTTAGTCATCCTGGAACCGTATACGAACCGGTCCACGCCTACAACATCCAGCCCATAAACCCGCGCAATGCCGCGTCCTCTCGCAGGGATAACAATTAGGTAGTCTTGCAAGCGTCGCGATCGTGGGGAAGGAGGGGGCGGGGATAGTTACATGGCGGCATTGATTCGATCGCGGGACTTGGGGGGACTTGGGGCGCAGGGAGTCGGGGGAGTGGGGGGGATTGAATGGCAGTCGTTGCGGTTGTCTGTCTGTCTATCTGTTTTCTTTTTCTCGAGCACATGAGTGGAGCGGGCGGGGGCGGGGGCGTAGTTGTCGGTACGGAAGAACTGGGAAGACATCTTGATGCATCGTAATGTTTAATATTCGGAGAAAAAATATATACCTGATGTGTGAAGTTGCTGCAAAGCTCAAACAACCACGTTTTTTCTTCCCGAGGTTACACACGAACGAGGGCCGACGGGGGACGAGGCAGGCGGTTGATCATTCCGAACTAGATATACTCTACCGTACATACCGTACTCTAGACGCATTCGGATAATTTTCCTGCAAAGGTATGGTAGCTTCTCTGCTCTACTCTATGTACTCTGCGTCAATGCTTTTTGACGTGCCGCTCCCCCCCCCCCCCCCCTCCCAAGCTCTTTCTTACTGGCTCTACTCTACATACTCTAGATACCCCCCTCCCCCCATCCGCCTCCCCCCCGCCTCGTCTCCCCACTCGCTCGCCTCGTCTCCAGCTCCTAGGCGTTGGTCCTGCCGGATTGCCAAGCAAAAAAGAGAGGTACACGAGGCCTATGTAAAGTACTAGGTCAAAAGTTTTTGTACAGGGGCCGTTTTACACTAAAAATGCCCATTTTCAAGTAACCAAAACCCACCCTTCACGTGGCGGAAAAAAATCGAGTTATTACGTTAGAGAGGTATATGTTTGTGGTGTGGTGGCGCTGTTGTGGAGGTGTACAAAGACTTTTGACCTGATACTTTACCTCTCTAACACAACAACCACAGATTAGAAAGTAGTAATAATTGGCATATATCATGAATACATACTAATAAAGCTTCAACGAGACTTCCAACTCTCTAGGCTGATTATTGTATGCAAAGTAGGGTGGCTTGGCATATTTCCCTTTCACCGAGGCAGGTCATTTCCCACCATAGATACAGCAACCATAAGGTAGTATAAAAATATGTGGACCATGAGAAGGTCTCCTAAGCGAGGTAGAGAACCTTAATCGAAATCGGCGCATAACTCTGAGTTGTTGTGGTTGAGTAATGCCGTATGGGAGAGAAGATGGTGTTGAAACTGGTTTTATCGCGATAATTTTGTATGAGGGCCCCATACAAAATCTGAAATCACTCTCCAACTCGTGCACAACACCATACCATGCGCCACCAGACCGGAGCAAAAGCCGTCAGAATTCTTATATGTGATGCATTTTGCGATTCTAAAGCTTCTACGAAAGACTCGATTTTTTTCCGCCACGTGAAGGGTGGGTTTTAGGTACTTGAAAATGGGCATTTTTGGTGTAAAACGGCCCCTGTACAAAAACTTTTGACCTGGTACTTTACCTACTCTAGGTACATACCGTACATACACACATGGCATGTCTACCAATGCAAGAATTTTCCGCGTCCATGGTTGAAAAGGCCACATCACGATTTCCGGATCACGCACGTTGTGAGGGCTTGCGAAAAGAGCTGTATTGCATCTATTCTACTTACCGCTGCGTACTATAGCAAAGAATTGTCTACTCTACTCCGTACCGTCTTACTCTACATACAAGTGTTTGTTCTGCTGCCCCACAGCCGTGAAAACCGCACTCACGAGTCACATTCGCGCATATAGCCCCGCCTGCCGCAGGCCGCAGGCTGCAGGCTTCAGACCGCAGTCCACAGGTCGGCACATTGTGCGTATAGTAATTGCATGCACGGGTATAGTATAGTATGTATAGTAGTGGACTGGTAGTCCAGCGCATGCGCTTCCGTCGTCCCAGCCCAGCCAGCGCGCGCGGGAACTCTGGCGAGCGAGCGAGGACATGGCGCCAACGAACGAACGTCGTTAGCGGTTATCGCCAGCCACGACCGAACCCAGAAGTGGCTTGGACACCGTTCCACCGGTACGGCTACGCCTGCAATTCCCGTCCAATCACAGCGGTGAATGAACGCCTTGGGCAGAAATCCGCGCCGGGATGTGGCATGCTGCTTGCTCATCCGCTCCCATAACGCATGCGCGGATCGGAACCGCAAGGACTGCGGAAGATTGTTTGGTCAGTGCGCGCGCTGTGAGGTACCGGGACATCGGAAGATACATCTCCATATTGGCCTTTTTGTGAGGAGTGCTATCAGAAGCGGAATACGTGAGGATGTGTGTATTCACCAGCCATTCAAATAGACCGCTCAGGCCGGCGTCTTCGGCCATGGCCGAGGACGTACTGCCACAACCAGTCTTCTCAAATCCGGGACAGCTGTCTTGTGGGGACTCAGAGCACGGGACTGTTCGTTCGCCGACGCCTGGTAGGTGATATCTCGTTCTATAAAGTAACACCACTAAAATCGTTCCTTTCGCCTGGTTGAGACGATAACCCCGGCGATTGCATATTTGACGCATATCCTATAGACAATAGCTCGTTAAAGAGCTTGTAGAGCCTGTAAAGTCCATACGAATAACGGCGGGTAACCATCTTTCGCATCCGAACTCGCGTGGACACTGGCAGCTGCATTATCGCGGTCGACGGTGGGCGTTTGTCGCATTCACACTTCTTGGCTAGTGCACAACCCTCGAATGCGACTGTCCGATTCTTATGCTGTAGGTGATGGAAAGGCCGAATGTAAGGGTGGTGTCATGCGGATACGGCAACGTGGAAGATGGATGCGCGGGTAATCGACAGCGCCGAATGCTCGCCGGTGGAGCCATCTGATAAGGTACACCTGTACCTGGTACTTTCAACAAGGTCACGATAAGTCTTCCGAGGAGTAGGTTTATCGGGCTCGGATGCCGAGGTATTGTTTATCCACGAACAAATTTTCTGTCGAAAAACAACCGTGATCAGTAGATGCACCATATCTCCGACCGAAATCCCGTAAAAGTAAATTTAAGGCCCTTCCCTAAAAGTATGTGAAGTTGACGTCCTTCACTCTGCTGATACTGTCGGCAAGCCATCGCTCCGTTCGAACGATTTCGCATGATTTGACGTTGCTCTCCGGCTTTGCCCCCACGGGTAGGCTTCTCGATGATCCCTCCCGCCGGGCGGGTTTCCAGGCCAACCCGTCACGGTCCTCACTCGCAAGGACGGTGGGATGTTCGTCTTCAGCTAGGAGGGCTGCGGATTGCGATGGATGAGGGGTAGATCCGATCATGATTCTAAATTAGAGTCAGTGGAACCTTAAAACGTTGTAGGGAAGCACGCCTATCCTCCTTTGAAACTACTCACAACATTGGCTAGCCTTAAAGATACTCAGCATGGAGATAACCCATTGACTGACTCTACACCTTCTCTTCACCGGCCAACCGCAAAACATCGATTCTCAAACTTTGTGGCGAACTTCGCCCTTTACCGACTCCGACCGAAAGAAGGAACGCGTTCAGGAAACGTTGGGAAGGCATTACTCGGTGAGCAGGGTTCTAGCGACGTGAGGGCCGCGGGTGTGAGTATGTCGGAGAATAGGAAACTGGCAACTTAACGAGACCACGAGCTAGAGTACGCGGACAGTATTGAAGTCGGAGCATGAGCACACAGCGGCTGGGACTGGCTGGTCTGAAGGCGCCTGTCAGTGATTGCCCCAGATATCTCACCTGCTAGGACTGTTCGGGACGAAATGACAAGAATTTAGTAACTTGCTGCGATGTTTGACCGAGGCTGCATGAGTAACAAGGAAAGGTGTAACCCAGAGCCGGTGACATCGAAGACCAACACACCAGACGCGTTACTGGGAAAGGCTGGCATCACCTTCCACAGCCAACTCGGGGTTTCTGTTGAGCCCGTTTCTGCAGAAAGCTCTCGCGTCTCGAACGGGCGGGGTGGAAAAGAGGAAGCAGCTGTGGAATGCTCAACAGTTCGAGTGTGCAGTTGCTCTGGGTGGGGGGCCGTTCTGATACGGATAGCCACGACAGATGGAATTAGAAGCACGCGGGAAACGCTGGTCATCACTTCACTGAGCACAGAACCCACTTGGCAGATGTGTCGTTCATCGTATTCGGATCCTGATCGAGGGTGAGCTAAATAGCCTAAACTGACGGCGGTAACAGCGCCGATAATAGCTGGAGCTGTTTTCTTCGAGGGTGCTGTGAACGAAGACGAAATTCCCGAGAAAGGACCGGGTGTTGTAGACATCTGGGAAGCTCAAAACAAGGCAGAAGGACGGAGAGAAAGGGGTGAGGAATCCGAGTTTCGTGGCGGTAAACCTGCAACTCTGGCCAAGTACCACAAGGTGCCACAAGTGCAGTAAAAGATGCTGCCACAAGGCTTTGCGATGGTGCAGAGTCACACCCGAACTCTAGGGGGCTTCGGTGGTGGGGAGGTTGGGGGACGGGGAGTTCTGTGGATTAAACTGATATAACAAAAGACCTGAGGGATCCTGACCTCCGCTAGAGTCCTCCGAATTCAGCCGAGCCACGTTCTCAAAGGAAGATGCCTGGAGAACACTCACAGCCTCAGCAATGGAGAGGTCGGTTCCTGCGCATACGGCAAGTGCTGGAGCTGGTGGATGGATGGTCTGGGACTCCTGATTGTGCACGACGGTCAGCAGCAGATGTATCTCCGAAACAATGACTCCTGATTGTGCACGGCGCTCAGCAGCAGCCAGTCAGCAGCTGTGTCTCCGAGACAAGGACACCTGGTTTCTGCGATGGATCAGCCCTCTACCGCCCCCATGCTCCCCTCCATCCCCTCCCCGCCTGGCTGACGATCCATCTCTTGCAAAGTTTTCTGACCACCAGTGCAGAGTAAGCAGAGTCGGCATCTACGAGACTGTGAATTGGGTTATGAGGCTTGCCCGCAGTCCGGAAGTGTTTTGCAATAGTGAAGCCCAGAAGTGATTGGCTGGTGGATGTCTATGTGGAAGGCCTAGAGGACTTTTGAACCGGACGGGAGAGGAGGATTGTCGAATGAAATCCGCCGCGACTTGCAGTACGTCCACAATTGGCGGTGTGTTGCCTGCGGGTGCCACAAACCTCTCCAGATCCGGGTCACCCCGCATAAGCATGACGTTTCGATATGGTCGCGAGGAAATTGGCCGTGAGGAATGAGGAATCGGTCGCGAGGGATACCAAGTGTGTCGTTTCTCTGTGTCCACGGTCCATACAGTGCCCTCATTCATGATTCGACGCGTGCATCTCCTCTAGTCATTGAGTAAGGTACCAGAATTATGGTATGCATGAGAGATCATACCTACTATACTCTAGGTGTCTTGGTCGCCATGCCTTCCAGAGTACGTCCTCGTGGGAAAGTCATCGCTGCCGGCAAGAAATCTTCAGGGAAGAAACCCGCCGGCATCAGTTCGTGGAAACCCTGGAATCGTGCGCACAGCACCAGGCGGCACAGCAGGCGACGCAACTGGCCTGCTCGAGCTCATCCGGGAGCGCAGCTCAAAGGGGAAACGAAGCAGAATCGATTCAAACGAAGATCATGAATCCTCTTCCTGGGATCTCCCCACGGCACGACGGGGTTCTGGTCGGATCAGATGCACGATATATTGTTCGGACGATTGCTTCACGCACATGAGCCAGGGAATGTCCGCCGGTGCCATTCTGGAAACAAACCCTTGTCAGCAGAAGCATCTTCTGCACTCCCATTGGCAGTCGATACAAACCTTACCACTAAAGCCTAACTTGCAGCAGCAGGTTGGAGGATTCTACTCTAGGATGACAAACCGATGCGCCACTGCAAAACTTTGCGCAAGGGACAGGAATTCTAGCGCAGATGTAACCGCTGGGAAGCGCCCATTATCGCGAGTTTGGCACATATTCGCTTCTTCACGTATGACACAGCACTCGGCACGAGCCCTCGGCCCCCACAGATCCGCCGAAACGGGGCATTGCAGGACAAATTGCAAGGCGCAGGCCCACCGCATTCCTACCAGCCACGCAACATCGGGGAAATTGGAGAACAACCAAGCGAGACGTGCAAAGATTATTGGATTGTGCTATGTATCGGTCTTTAATTCCCCAAATCCGAGTGACCAGCGACAAATGAAGACTAGCGTGGCCGCTGTTCAATACGAGTGATTTTATGTGTTAAAGGCTACGCACTCGATGGGGCACTGCACCACTGAATAATTCAACGACAGTGGTATGGAGAGCGACAAAACATCATGGCTGCTATTGGGCCTGGAATAACGGTTGCAATCTACTAGAGGAAATATCGAGACTGAATGGAACATCGAGACTGAATGGAATATCGAGACTGAATGCTACTATTCAGAGCCTGTTTGCGCACCTACATAGTAAGTAAATTAAGTTCTCCATGGACAACTTGGAATCTTATCGCTCCTGCTGCTCGGCGTTGTCTGCCACCACCATGAGAGGAGCAATGTAGGATAGATATGGGATCAGATAAGATAGGATGAGGGGCTAGTTGGATCAGTGGATCCGAATGGTGAAGATAGCCGGACTAGCTAGATCGGGTGGCACCGAACGGTGGAGGTAGCAACAGAGGAGAGCCACAAGATGGCTCTTCAAAATAGAACCTCAACTTCTCTATCATCCTTCATTTTTGTCGTCCCCTTCCCGGACTACGTCACTCGGTCAGCGGAAGTTTCGGTTTCGATGGTAGTTGCTTCACGGTGGAACCATCACCAAAATCCGATAAAAACCAAGATTATTGTTCTTCCAAGCTCAGGGCGGATCACAGCAACCTCCAAGATGTTTCCAATACCCCATCCATGTGATTCCTCTCGGTATCCTACTCGCGAAGTGTGTCCCATCAAGGTATTAACACGTTCATTTTAAATAACTCGGATTCTCGCAGCGAAAAAAAGACTTGCAGTGGCACACACCCCCTCCGTATCAATAGTTTACTCGCCTATGGTTGAAATGACGCCCGGTCAGAATTGCAACTGAGTGAACGGCTGTGATAGACTCGGCTTACCCAAAACACTCATCAGGCTGAAAAGCTAGAACCCCTTGAATTAGCTGCTTCGCCTTGCGTCGTGTGTCTAAACTCTTGGATAGACAGTAATGCAACTTCGCTCACTACCCGCAACCACCATGCGTCAGTAATTCGGACCACTGTTAGTTACTAGCCCTCATCGTCACGGTACATCCCCGCAGCCCACACGATCACCACCACCAACGGATACCTCGCGTGTGGGTTGTCCCCTCAGCACCGCGCAGGCAAGCAGCTTATGCCGGTTTAAGGACTGACAGCGCGGGAGCCAGGCGGCTGACCGTGCAGCGAAGACGCCAAGGTGCGCTCAGCCGCCGGTCGTTTCGGTCGCACCTTCCATGCGCATTGTTCCACGACTCCACGTTTCCAACCCCGCAATGCCACTCAGTCATCTGTCTGGTCTAGTCCAGGGGGAGAGTAGACGACGGTAGAGCCTGAAGAGCGGTTGGCAGATAATAGAGTACCTGCCGTCGATAATGGATCACAAATTATCACACTCTGCTACGGGCCTATGGCTCCTAGGTTGTGTATATTACCGATTCAAACGTTCCGGTAACTAGGCCTCACTGTGATGACTACAGTAAATGTTTACTACTGCGACCTTGATGCGATGTACATAGATTATCGCGGCGGCGAAACCCCGTCTACTGCATCTACGATCACTCGTCCCCGTTGCACAGTGCACGTGCGTCGGGGCTTTCCAAAATTCAAAATTCCGGTGGCTGCACCTATTTTTAGTCTGGCCACCCCCAACTTCAAGTTCCAATTTCCAAGTTCCAACAGGTTCGCTTACCTCACAACACTCTCACCCTCAGAAGTTATCATAGAACCATCTACATATACTCCTCTCCGAATCCCGAGAGACATAACTGCTAGTTCTACTTATAGAATCCAAAGACTGAAGGCTTTTTTTCCTTTTTTTCTCCCTTCAAGCCCCGCGCGGCCCCACCTGTGCGAGGGGGCATCAGCATCGCAAGGCCCAATATAGATGTAGAGTGAGCTCAACCTACATAGATTTATACAAGATTTAACGTTTCGCCCTCCCTCCCTCCCTCCGCGGTGTGGAGAGACTCGAGAGTGCATACGGTAGCGGTGCAGCGTGGTGCGCATTTCTTGCGTGCTGCTGCAGGAACTGCTTCCCACCCCCCACTCCCCCGCCCCCCCTCCTCCTCTTCAGCAAGCAAGCATGGAAAGGTTCAGGAGATCCAATCATCAATGTTGCTGTAGGCACCGTCCGACTCGGTTCTACTTTTAGAAATCCAACAGTCATCAATCATAGATTCATCACGCCCGTGATGTATGATGTATGATATGTGCGTACGTAGTTATCGATACCGGTATCCATCGTGATTCGTGAGTCGTGACCCCGCGCGGCGCGGATGAGCAACGGGCATGGTTCTTGCCCGATATAGATTGATTGGCAAAAGCGGGTTTGTTAACTTTGTTTGTTTGTTCGTTGCGTAGGCGCTAGAGTAGTGATCCAGCAGCTGAGCAGGAGCAGGAGCGAGAGCGAGCGAGATCGCGGGATAATTCTACAGAACCTCCGCGGACCGCTGCCCCACCCCACTCGGCTCAGGGAGGTGCCGGTATGTGGCTACTTTACTAGTACCGTGGTTGGCAGTATGCATGCCAATTACCTATGTACCTCACCTCGTCGTCGAGCACCACGGACCATAGCCGCGCGCTCGCGTTGGCCGTCCTCCTTCCAAGTTCCTCCTCCTCCTTCTCCTCGGAACACACTCGCGACTCCTCCGGCTATCGAACCGGTAGTTACCCTCTAGCGGCGCCATGGCAGCCACCAAACGTCAGCCCCGCCGATGCCGGACCGCAAAAAGTTTTCCGTTTCTCCACCATGGCCGAGCCCACCTTCCCGGTTCCCGTCGCCGGTCACTGATGTATGTAGCGGGGTAGTAACTACTAGTAGTTGGACCCCGGCTAGTATGCAGGGTAGCCCGCCGACGTTTCCTTCCTCCACTCCACTACGGTACTCTAGGTACGGTGCTCTACTACTGGCCTCTTAACCGAGCGGACGATGAATTCACGAACCCACGCCAAAATAATACCGGTAGTTGGATAACTGTTAATCCATCGAGCCCTTCGGCCATTTTCTCGGATGTAACTACTTCAGAAGTATTAAGGTAGGTATTTAATGACCAAATATCACGTCAGAGAACTTGAAAGTTGACACCCGGTGCCATGCAGATACATACCGTACTTACTTACTCCACCATAAGGTTCCCTTCCCGGCCTTCTCTCCTCCAGAGTACCGTGGTAGTATGCATAGCAGTAGTAGTAGATCCCTCCCCCAATAACTAGCCGCAAACCCCATCACATCTACACAAGTTGCCCCCCATGTCTCCTCGAAGCTGCCCATCCGCCCGCGAACCCGCCAGTTAACCGTCCCCGGCCTCCATAAGCCGAGCCTCCAGTTGAACGACGGCTGGCGTGCTTCCCTACCCACCCAGGTATATTAGGTACACATCTTACATAGCTTAAATTCCCAAAGCCATGATATCCTTCCAAAATTGAGCCGGCGATATCAGAGGTGATGTGGCGTGCGCGCACCGGAGTTACGGAAAAGTATGCATCTCAGTATCTCAGTATCAGTGAGTGGCTTGTCCACTGCCCAGCGGCCGCACCGTGCAGATCTAAAAGTAGAAAACCCCGATTCATCCGTGGGCCATGCATACTACACACATACATGCATACCGTCTGCGCACGCCCACCCACGGGATCGAAAAGGCACACACTTGAATGAGTCTCCATCAACCAAACGAGACAAACGCCTCCCTCTCACCCTCCCTCCACAGAATCGCCGACGCCGACACAGACTACTTTCAAGTCTCGAATATCTATCAAGGCCAGGCCAGACCAATCTACTATCCACTCCGTTACCCGTGCGTAGAAAAATAAACAGTGCTCCTAGCTATATACTCCAGATAGGCATGTATGTGTGTAGATATGTGTTGCTGGATGCAAACGTACGGCGTCAGTGCGTCTTTGGCCATGGCATGCATGAGCATGAGCACGAGCATGATGAGCATGAGTACGAGCATGATGAGCATGAGCATGAGCGTGGAGGCGCTTCCGGGAAACGAAACGAGACGATACGAGACAGAACAGAACGGGACAGAACAGGAGTCGAAACAGAACGAGACAAAATGATAAGTGATAACTGAATACATAAGTAGGGAAGAGTGGAGTGGAGAGTGGAGTGAAAGGTCTCTTAATTCCGGTAAAGATTGGGGCAAGTGATGGGGCAAGTGATGGGACACAGTGCCCCCCCTCCCCGCCGGACGGACCATCTCTTCTTCTCCCCACCCCACACACCTATGGAGAGAATGCGACTGGATCTCACGCGATTAATCGTTAGGGTGCAGCGCACGAATCTGGCAATAGAGATGGTGGACACAGTGTGGTCGTGGCTGCTCGTGGATGCTATTAGTAGCCCCCCCCCCCCCCCCCCCCCCTCCCTCGCCAGATCCGCCGCGCAGGCTAGACACGCACTGCGGGTTGACAAGTGATACGCCAGAAGCTATCTTGAGCTCTGGCTGTGGCTCTGGCTCTGGCTCTGGCTCTGGCTCTGGCTCTGGATTCCTGTGTTCCCTGCGTCCGTCTCGCCGATGCTTGCTTGCTTGCGGGAGGGAAGGGGGAATAATCCCACCGCTCAAGCGAAGGACGGGCAGCTACAGTATACCGCGTAATGCTGGATTGTCTCCCCCTCTAAAAAAGAAAGATACCTCACATGATGTATATAGCCAATGTCATCCCATCCCAGCGGACACTAGGTACCGTACCGGTTCTCTAAGTAAGTAGTGTCCGGGGACCTTGGAAGTTATGTAAGTATAGCAGCCCGTCCATCCTTCCATTCATATCCATCCAAACAGAGTGACTGTATATCCAAATACCCAAGACCAAGATGCTATCCCCCCGTCCAGCGATAGGCACTGGGAGAACCCTATGCGGAACAAGGACTCTGGTACTTGCCGCCGTACCGCCGCGCAGGGCCTCAACCCACCGTACCGGTTCCTCCGTCTAATAGTATCTATTCGCCGAGTAAACAAACGACAGAGATGTCGCATGGAAGCCTCCCCATATCCCTCTCCCTGCCTATTGATATCGATATCGGTATCGATACTATACCTCCCCCGCCCCGCCCCCAGGTATCGATCAACCGACATCCACAGTTGCATCCCCCCCTGCCATCCCCATCCGAAAGTTCACAGTACAGTACATGAATAAGGTAGCAGAACCTCGCAATAGACTACAAAGCTCAAAGCCCAATGCCCAAACTCCAAACTCCAAACTCCAAACCACAGTCAGTTCTCAGCAGACCTACCCCCATCCGCTGCGCGTGCGGATCATAGCACTGTATACTAGTAGCATAATCCAGGGTTACCGAGGAAACGCCCGTCGCCCGCCGCCCGTCGCCCGCGGGGGAATCTGGACTCTGGACTCTGGACTCTGGGTATCTACCGGTAGAGTATGATATCTCTTGCCCCCCACCCCCCATCCCATCCGATTACCGCTGCTGGTTGCACTGCACTGCACTGTACGCATGTACGTACATACAGCGGATAGGATTCCTGATATGTTGATCTGTAGCGGAAGTTGGAGCGGACTGTTCTGTTCGCTTCGCCTCGCTCTTTACCCACTTCACATGTGCTTACAAGTTGCCCCGGCTAGATAGTAGACATCCCCTACACACAGCACACTGCACGGAAAGCCCAAGCCCAAGACCCAGACCACATCAATGGAACAAAGTATTTATACACCCACACGCCAAAAAGTTATTGACATGAAAGTAAAAGTAAAAGGTTGCTCGGAGCACCGTAGTAGGTACATAGCAGTACCGGTAGACAAGTACCTACAATGTAATGTACGAAGACATATCGGACATATCCCCCAATCCCCGCTCGATGATGATCTCCGCCTCGAGCCCCCCAAGTTCCCACCTTGTCCTCACCATATCTCCGAAAATATCCCCCTTCCCGCCAACCCAACCCAACCCAATCCCATCGTCACCATATCGAAGCAAGAATGCGCCCACACGCACAGAGATATCGATGAGACCCGCCCCCCAAAAGTCCTAAAAAGTCCAAAAGGAACAGAAGAAGAAAGGAAAAGAAAAAAGAAAAAAGAAAAAAGAAAAAAGAAAAAAGAAACAGCTAGAAAAGCAAAAAAAAGAAGAAGAGCCAACCCTTTCTCCATCCATGCCCACGATAACCATGCCATTCGTCAAAAATATACATACATACATGCGCAGCGAGCTGCAGAAAATGTTCCAAATCAGTGAGAATATCATCACCATACCAATTGCATCCATCCGTCCCTTCCCGCCAAAATACTCTTCACCGAATGAGTGCAAAAAAAAAGAATCCCCTCCCAAAAAATCGCTTCTGAAAACCAATGCAAAAAAAAAAAAAAGTAAAAACAAAATCAAAGGACCTGCACTCAAAACCGCCTAATTCGGCTGAAAGACTCGTCATGCCATTCCCTCCCATATCGTATCTAAAATAACTGTTGAACTTTCAAAGAACTAGACGTCGTACCAATGGTGTTTAGAAATAATCGCGATCCCGGCTGGGATCGTACCTGTCGTTGGGAACGACAGGCAACTCCGGGTCTATTGCTGGTGTCGCGTTATCGTCCCAAATGTGGGGAGGGCAATCGCGAAGGAACGTATCTGCAAAATCCGAAACCGGTGACAGGTCCTCCCCTCCCAGTGGCGCATCTCTGTTGGCGTTGGCATTGACGAAACAGTCGACCGGTGTCCGTGCTTGCCATGACGGATATGTGTACGCCGAGACATCGCTGTGCGTGGCATTTATGGCCTCGACAGCCACTGCCGGGTTGCGGAAAAGGATCGGAGCCGGCTCGAAGTTCCTACCCTCATCCGGGCTCTGTATGTAGGCCGGGGAGATTCCCATGGGCGGAGATTCGCGCCGCGGATAAAGAAGGGGAGGGAAGGAATTGACCGGCGCAATTTCGGGACTGCATTCCTGCATGGTACCTGGCGAGAGGTCGTCGAGGCCATACATAGGAGACGAGTCGGTGGACCCGTCGACGATGCCCATCATCGGTGTCGCGTAGGCGCTAGATGTCTCCGACTGGGGCGGCTGCACCCCGGTAGTCATGTGGGCCGGTGCTGACGATGGCGAGGATATGCGGGACCGAGGAGGAAGTGCCCGAGGGGACGAGACTTGGCTACATCTACCTCCCGCGCTCCCCTGTCTTGCTTTCCCTCGAACCGACCGGGTACGTTTGTATTCGTATCCATGAGCCTTCTCCATGTGTTGCTTCACATTGCTTTCCCGCCGACTCGAATATCCGCAATTATAGTTACAGACTTTCATTGGGGTGCTCCTGTCATGCTTGTCCTGGTAGTGTCGGTCGCGATCCTTTTCGGCCGAAAACCCAGTGATGTGATAATTGCACTTTGGAACCGTGCACTTGTAGGGCCTGTCATGGGTTTTCACATGCTTCCTACAGTCATCGGTCAGCATGCATGTCCGATCGGGATATATTCAAAGACCTAACTCACTTCAAGTCACATGCCCGTGGGAAACATTTGGTGCATTTCTCGCAGCAGTGGGACTTGGGCTCTGCTGTGGATCTTGAGGCATTTCGGCGTCGTGAGGGGCCAGGGGAGGTGGAGCTCTCGCTGGGCGCTAGTGTCGAAGGAGAATCCGGAAAATTCCCGGCTTGACTTGAGTTGCCCGACATGGTTGCAAGGGCTCGGGGCACAGTTGAATTTGCGCTTCGTTTATGTTGTTGTAACTGTGGTGTCGTGGCAATATTCACATCGTTGTAATTAAAAGGCGAGAAAGGTGGACTGAAGACGTGGGTTTCAGTTGGCGGGCCGGTAGTTAAGTAAGAAGAGGTGGGGTCATAGAAGGGATTGGTGGGATCGGAGGGATCGGTATCAGGAGAAGCGCACCCGCGGGACTGGCTTGGGGGTTGCATGCTTATTATTCCAGCGACACGGTCGCACACCGCAGCACTAATACCTGCCGATACTCTCTCTTTGGACTCCTGGGAAGAAAATGTGTCGCATGCCTTGGTTCTCGGTCTCTTGCGAGTAGACCCGGCGTCTGATGGCCCGGGCTTAGTGAGCCTTTTAAGCGGTGTTAAGCTGTGTAGCACGCCCCCTTTCGCAAGTACACTAGGAACAAGCATTATTATTAGCTTAGCGCTCACTAAGTAAATACTTAAAGTACCCCAGAGAGAATCGCATGGCAATTACCTCGTATTTCCGACGCTCGAAGTAGTGATATTCGTGGAGGTTGTTTGTCGCATGCTCTGTAGAACACTGCCCAATTCTTCTCGCTGAAGTTTGAAACGGACCTGGGCCGTACCGATGATCTTGTGCTGGGCGTCGAGGAAGTAGTTTTTGTTGTAAGGAAGATCTTGCGGACGGCAGAGGTCGGCGTCACAAAGCTGTGGCCAGAGCTGTTCGCTGCGCTCGAGGAATTCGAAGGAGAGTTGGAGATACGACGAAGGTGTGCATCCATCCGGCTGCTATTTTCAGACATAGTAAGTAACAAAGATCCATCGTGACAAGCGGGGAGGGGCGCGGAGTGGGGTTGATATACATGACCGAGTTCCAACAAGAGGACATTTTCAAGGTCTCTCAGTGTCGTTATCTTTCCATCGTCCATCCGTAGGTGTGCTTGTCGGAGGACGTTTCGAAATTCGGAAAGGGCGGGATTCTGCATCATGGGCCGCACGATATTCGCCGTGATGGTACGGTAGCCGCCATCTGTGAGTCTATCCGTCGACGCCGTGGGAGATGCGAAGCCCTGGAGAGTGCGGCTAGGACTCGAGATGCTAGGCGGAGAATTGCGAACGCGGGCGTGCTTTGTTTGGTCTTCGAACATCGGCGGCGACGGCGCTGGGAAGAGACTAGGAAACATGGCCCCGTTTACTGTAATCATCAGTTTCCTCACAATAACAAACTCAAACCAGGTGAGACAGACGCTGATCTCGATTGTCAACGGCCTTTTCCTTTCCCCACCAAGGTTCCAGCAAGGGCTCGGGGCTGCTATCGTACCCCATGAACGGGGATTGGTAGCTCATGAGATGGGCAGTTGTCCCGGGGGAAGCCTCGCAGAATCCGGAATCACTCATGAAGCTCATAGCCACGCCGACCGGTGACTGGGACATATCCGAAAAGAAGCTGGCAGAAAATCGTCTCTCACGCTCTCCCGAGCGGGCCGCAACGTATTCAGATCCCAGGGTATCCCAGGATTTCTCCTGCTGCCCGTCGCCGCCCGTCATGACGGTGTCGTCACTGGCGAAGCTCAGGCCGATACACATATCGTCTAGATCGCTCCGTTGCGTCGTGTCATCCGCGATCGTAGACACGGTATCGGCATCTATATCGAGTGGCCAAGCATTGTCGTGAAGCGCTGCCGAGTAATTTGTGATGTTCGGGAGAGGATTGGCGCGGTCATGGACGGTTCGCGATTCGTGGGATCGGGCGTTCTCCTTGGCTTGGGTTTCTTGCAGCTGCACGACCTCTTCACTTGCAAGGTAATTTCGGATGTTGGCAACATGATTATGAGTTCTGTCGTCGCCCGCCGAAGAAGTCTCGGAGCGCCATGTGGAAACCCCTTTCGATTCCTTGGTGTACCTGTCGAACCCACTGGAAGACATGGTTTGGGGGGAATATACGGAAGACTCGGCGGAAGAATTCATAGTATTTCTATTCTGTGGAGGATCTGCGGCGGCTTCGGTAACCTGGATCGGTCGACAAGTGGTCCTTGGAAGAGAGTATGGCGCCGAAGGATATGGCGACGATATATCGGTGTCACTGGATGAACAGGAGGAATGTGGGCATGTGCTTGCGTGTAATGGGCGATACTGAAGGGTACTGAAGGAAAGTTAACATCAGAGCGAATTCCAAAATAAAGACGAAAAAAAAGATGCGAGAGGCAAGGTGGGACAGAGAAGGTTTTTGTCGGCAATCCGACATGTCATGACAGGTGTATGGGGCCAGGGCAGGAGGGATGGGGGATGGCGGGGGGTATGGATAATGGGCACGTACGTGGATTCTTGGCTTCTCTCCAATTTGTGACTAGAGTCGGACTCGTCAATCTGGTGGAGCACTGTCGTAAGGCTGCTGGGGGATTCTTGCGCGTCAGTTCGACTGATGATTCGTTTCGATTGTGAACGACAGGGGCCCGGCCATAGTACAAACACCGAGTGACAGTCTGCGGCAGCAGACTGTGCAGGAGTGACAAGTGGACAGAGGCAATGCAAGTGGACGAGTAGGAAAGGGGCCGAGACAGGACAGGACAGGACAGCACGAAGCAGTACTGAAACTAGGGGAGATGAAGGAGGAAAAAAGAAACTCGAACAAGCGACGGTGGTGGTGGGGGGGTTATGGGTCTGTAGGAGGCGGGCAGGCTCTGTACTGAGTATGTGTGTGCCGTACATACTCGTACAGTTTCCTTGCTAGCAAAGCACCTGCGCAATCACGCGCATTCGCCGATGGAAATAATTACTGCGAGGGAGCGCATAGGGAAGATATGGTCTCGGTGATTGCGCACAATGGATGTGCTTCGGACCCGCTTGCGCACCACCACCACGGCCACCACCACCGAAACTGCACCAAGGCGTGGAACGAGTAAACGTGGCGGGGCACGGTGTGAGGGACGAACGGCAACGGGAGGACGGCTGCGCACCGGGGAAGGGACGAAAAACCAAACAGTGACAGGAAAGCAAAAAGGGACCGATCATCAACTCACCGCGACACGTTCCGGTCTACTGTGCTATCGATATCCATCATCATCATCGTCCAAACTCTCGGTACACACGATGCAAGCCGCGTGGGCGATCAGGATCAATGGAGCAAGCGATCTCGTTGGCTTGGGGCGGGTAGGGACTCGCAGGCCGGCCGGCGTGACCGCACACGCAAGGCTGGATAGCTAATTGGTTGGGTGTGGGTGGGTGCTCACGCACGTATGTAGAGGAAGAAGAAGAAGAAAAGTCAAGATCCCTGGCAGCTGACGTCGTTTGGCTTCGTCCGTGCGGTATCTCTCTATCGTAAAAGCTGACTTCGATGGAGGAAGGAAATAAGAACCAGAGTGACAGTCAGGCGGATAGGAGATGGAAGGAATAGGGTATTTGGTAGTCGGCGGGGGTGTATAGAGGGTAGAGTAGATGGTGGTCTGTGATATCCAAGACAACGATGGACAAATTGCGAACAGGCGGAGAACACAAGAGATCTGGGGGGGAGTGTGAGGAGGGAGGGGGAGACAAGGGCACCGAGACAGATGGCTGACTATCTACTTGAGTATAGGAATGGCGGTAGTAGTGGGGGGAGGGGGTGGTAGGTGTGAGAGGAATTCTGAACCAACGATAACGAGAGGGAAGGGTGGCTGCTAGGGAGGCAAGTAACCGGTCCGGGAAAGGTGTGAGGACAGTGGCAGAGGGATAGCTGACGGTGGCTGGCAGCTCGCTGGCACAGGATGGCTTGATGGCTTGAGGATCGTAGACAGGGCTGAGGATTAGCAATTGATATGCACAAAATGGCCCCCAAAGTGCTGGAAAACGGGGAGAGTAGTTGGAGGGAGCAGCCAATGGAAATATATAAGAGGAGTAGGATAGCGACTGCGGCACAAAACAAGGCGAAGCGGGAAAGCGGAAGGGGCGATGCGGGGGGGTGGGGGTATTCGAGGGGGGGTTGTGTTGCGGGTGCGGTCGAACGAGGGTTTTTGGTCCCTGGTGTACTGGTTAGTACATACGGAAGGGACTGTCGTTGTCAACAAGAGTTTGATGGATAGAGGCGCATACGCATACATAGTAGGACGTACCTATCTCTGGGTCTCGACGTCTGAGCCCCACAAGTTTAGCGGCATCGATGTGCTCCAATGCTCCATAGGGTTGCGAGGTAGGTAGGCGGCTCAAAGGACGGAACCCGAGAAGCAGGGGGGGTGGGTAGCGGTAACGGCAGGGAGCAGTCTAGTCCTGGGCCAATCAGCCGCCCGGGCCCAAATGGCCAAAGTTGAGCCTCCATCTAGGCAGCAGCGGCTCTGCTCTTTTACCGCCAAGACGTCGAGAGTGCGCGCCGGCCGGGTCAGGGTTTTGCGTGCATTGCCGTAGAGTAGGCGTCGTTCGTCAATCGATTTCGAACGGCCCCAGAAGAAAAAAACAAAAACAAAAATACTCTACAGACAGACATCAAAAGCGCCAGGAGCTTCCTAGATGGCTCCGCATTCCACCGGCAGAAAAAACCATCTGGTGACGCCCCGCTCTCGCCAGCTCTCTCGCCAGCCATTACTCGATGGGTGCGGTCCTGCCTGCTTGCCTCTGCAGAGTTCCACGGTCATGATGGCTGCCATCTCCTCCCTCAGTCGATGCCCACGTGTAGGATGGAAAGACAGACAGATACCCCCCCTCCGCCGCGCGTGCACCCGCTTTCTCGCTCTGGAGTCTGGAGAAACAATTAGGCATTGGACATGTACGCGATTTGTCGGTTGGTCTTCCTTGCACGGCCGGTTGCTGGTCAGTCTCTGTCGGGGCCCGCCCAGGGCCAGGCCCGAAGTGATGGCCGTGTTTCCGCATACTACATAAGGGCTTCTTGGGGTTGTACATGGGGCGTGGTCGGCGCGGGCCAGCAATTGTTGGGGTTTCCCGCCAATCGGAGTCGCGAGAGGGGCAGGTGGAAGCTACTTTAGAGATGATCAGAGATAACCATCCATCCAAAACCTTCGGGTTTGAAAGAAAAAACCAGCGTCGCTAAGGAATAGCCGGGCGTAAGAAGAATGTGCCTTGCTAAACGCCTGTGCGTTCTACGGTACGCACTATCGGTAGTAACGATGTATGGGCAATCTTCAGCACCTCAGCGCAACCATTCCTAAGTAAGTACCATGTAACTCCCCCACTGCTACCACTACTGCTGCTGCGCTAACAAAAGCAAACTCCTCTCTCTCTTGCGTTCCCTTGTCCGACTCCGTCATGGCCCATGGTCCACTGCCACCACCATGAATCCGGTTGGTTTCAACCTCTGCTCGGCTACCACAGCCCGCGCCCGCAGGGCCGCAGCAGACAGAAAACAGTCAACCCTCGAAGGTTGCTAACCGGCTCCCCCGGCCCCCCGAGGAGGAGGAAGAGGTTCCCCGCCGAAATTCAACCCCATGCTCCTGTTTTTTTCTGGTAGAGTAGTTAGTCCCGACTTAGCGAACACAGTGAGCAACTGAGCAACTGACCGCTGGTCCGGACGATTGGAAGACTGAAAAAAACTTCTGCTATGTCATAGCAACACGCGGTGAGGGTCTACCCGCTCGTAACTATGTCATGGCACAATAGGTCATACCAAGCGGATAACTTGAACAATAGTCAGTACGTACGTAGCTAGAAAATAGTACGACTCACGAGAGGAGAACGGAGTGCAGTGCTCTCCGGCATCATAGCTCTTGGGCTGTGGTTGCCGCTGGTATGTCGGCAGTGTGCAAAATGCGGAGGGGAGCGCCTGCATGCCATAGGCTACTAAGAAGTCGGGACCGCCACAGCCCACGCCGTTGATGCGGTGACAGCTTACAAGCGAGACGTTTTCCCTTCCAAAACAAGGATTAGAGTAGTTACTGTGAAGCGGGCACTCGTCATCTGTAGCTTGCACTAGTAGTTTGTTTCCTCAGGTCTGATGAGTAAAGTCGAGACCATGATATGTGCCGAATCCCACCCAGCTCCGGACGAACGACTCGATACGTATGGCTGTGTGCTGCAAACTAAACGTAATCCTCGGGACGGGAATTTTTAGAGGTTCGGCATCCGGAGAAGTCCTTGGTGGCTGGTGAGCTGGCCATAGTAAAGTACCTATGGTATGTACTGATGTGTTTGCTAAGAAAATTGGCATGATATGTGGATCGAGTGTCGAGACACAGAGGCCATATGCGAATTTGTATGGAGGATCCGGAGTATCGGGATGTTCCCACTGCGGGATTCGCAGCCGGAAGCCATAAACCTCCAAACACCCTCTTCTGGCAATCTGGGCCCCCCGCTTGCCCTATATTATAGAACGGCTGAAATACTCGTACCCAATGCATCCAGTGCATGCAATGCAACCGACGCACTCGATGAACTCACTTCCCCCATCCAGCAAGCCCAACACGACCAGCACACGCTGATCTCCCTCATCCATTATCTATCGTCCATCGTCCATCGTCCAGTGGAGAGGGTATGACGCTGCGGCGCTGGCCGCGGGATTCTCCTGGCTTCCGACAGGTTGATCGGATCGAAGCATCATTGCATCAACTTGCATCGTGAACGGTGACTCCCGGCGTTCAGCTAGAGTTCTGCAACGACATCAGCTGAAGCTGAAGCTGAAAGCCTGAAAGCCTGAAACCTATGTGCCATCCAGAAGTCGTACGAATGATGAATCGTGGCCCTCTAGGGAAGGGGGGGGGGGGTGGTGGTGGTGGAGAAAGCTTGTCTCGACTCTCGACCGGCGAACCGTTTGTGTGAATCGTGATCAACCGCCGGCGCCATCCACTCCTCCAATTGGCATCTTTGCCGCGGCTGACGCCCGTCCGCGCCCAGCGCCCTCTAGGTCGAGTACTAGTAGGTCTGCGGTCTTTGACGAAGACAAAGAAGAAAAAGAAAAAAAAAAGTAGTTGAATCCACAGCCCCGCACGCCGAGCTCCGAGCTCGATGCACCGCCTCACGGTTTTACTGGCGCGAGTGGACTCTCTTAGTTAATCTCGATTGAGAAAAGAACAGCAGTTTCGACTTTAATTGGTGCATACGATTGCGGGGGGTTAGGGGTTCTGTATAAGTATTTGGAAGAGGTGAGATTGTGCGTCCGTTAGAGGAAGGGGAGAGCGGGAGCCCAAGTTCCCTTTCTCGAGTCTCGGCACTCCACTTTCCGCTATTATGTATGCAAATCGCGATCCCGATTCTCCTCGCTCACCTCCGACAGTCGGCATCTGACCACATCTGGGTTAAGACGATCCCAAGGATCGATATGCATGCACTACATACCTACATGCAATCATGGCCGCAAAAAAGCCGTCTCACCAAGAGATGTATCGAACGGGCCAGCCCTGTTTCGGGAGCATCCTCCGACAGCGAACACAACCTGCAGCTGGATGCTGGGCCAACGCCGGAAAGGAAAAACCGTCGAGCTTGCGTGTGGCCGCTATCGTGATCAGTGCAATGCAGGTTCCGATACCCGCTCTTGGGAGACGTTGTCACGTTGGTGCCCTACACACTCACTCACTCACTCACTCACCAAGTTGCTGGTTACATAATACGGTACTGCCCCTGTATCGGCCCCCCCACGAAACACTATCCGGACATCGGGCCACCCATATGGGATATCCAACACCATCGTACCTGCTTCCGCTGTCGCAAGCAGGCAGGTGTCGCAGCTATCGCAGCTGTTGTCAGCGACCGTTCTCTATGGAGGATCCGGCAATGGACAGGTAACGGACGAGCAATGGGGTTCGACCAGTGAGATGCGCTTCGAAGATATTCGTCGGGGCTCCGCATCCCAGGAGCGACCTGCATACGCAGTACAGTTGGATACCGTATCATACGCAGAGGTATGATTAGTCGTACATATATTGACATGGTCCCGGTGCGTTCTCGAATCTCGACCTCGCAAAGTCAAGATCTTGGCCCGCCAGCGGCCACAGCCAATGGTTCTCAAGTCCCCCTGGTGCCAAGATGCTGGAATGCGGAATGCGGAATGATGCTGATGCTGATGCTGACCCTGAGCGGCGCCCGCCCGCACAACTCCGATGAAAGAGAGACCTCCCCCATCATCCATCATCCATCATCCATGCACGCAGCATGCAAGTAGAGTGTGTATAATATGTACAGTATCTAGACTCTAAAGTAGTACTATACTTGGATGTCGAACCAGTGGTCCGGTGGATCAACAGGCACTACATAGACGCGAACCCCCAAAGTTCCAACCACGGTGGTGGAGAACTTAAACCCCAGGGTCAACCCATCCATGCCTCCATCCACGCATCCATCCATCTAACCCACAGTTTCGCTCTTGGTCCTGTGGGCCCTGGGGTGGGGTCCATGTCTCGGAGGTGCTGTTTAACTTCTGGCGACTCCAGACTCCAGAGTCCACCGGCTGAACCTGAACTCCTGAAGCCGAACCGTGCCATACCTACTAGTACCTGACATACGTTTCGAATCCCGTTTGTATGGCCGCCGTCGACGATCCCCAGTGGCGTGGGGAGTGGAGTTGCGTGCGCGCGCATGCGGGGCTGAAGGATCGTCCGAAGGAACAATAGCGCCGACTTCGGGCGGGAGACATCGCACATCGCACATCACCGACGAGAGAGGGGTATGAAGTAGGAAAGTAGGCGCCGGTGTCGCGTCGTCGTCGCCGCCGCCCAACGCGGGTGCGTCACACACAGCCGAGCAGGAAGATGTGCGCGATACAATATCTACACAGTTTAACTAGGTGGATATTTACATACATGTGGTGAAGCCGTGCATCCTGCAAGAGGCCTCGCACAATTTCCCAGCTCGCACATCGGACAAATCATCGTCGAGGATCTGGACTCTGGCGGGTCTGACAGTAGCACTTTGTTCGCATTCCGCGCGCGGGGCTCGCGGAATAGGTATGTACGTTGTATATAGGTGGTACAATTGTACAGTGTACACTTCGCGGCACCCGAATCGTCTGGGATGAACGCTGAATCGAATCGCTGATGCTTCTTCTTCACCCCCATGGCATCGGTAGATCCCCCCCTCCACCCCCATACAGATCGATGGAGTTTACACCCCGACGACTGGCGAACGAGAAGAGCGTTAGGTTAGGTTGGCCATCCTCGTCGGTGAAATACCTAATACAGGGCAAGGCCAGACCAGACCGATTAAAGTTATCCCGGTTGGGCAGCCGAAAGGAAGGGAATGGATGGGAATGGAAGGGTCAGCCGGTCTCTAGTCTCTTGCCTCTTGTCTCCACTCTCGGGGAGGTGGAGGGGATGGCCAAGTGTTCTAGAAGGATGTAACCCCAGACGCCGTGTAATTTTGCCGCCTACCAATACCAATGGCAATACCAATACATACCTGCAGTGATAAGGCCACACACCGCTACTTAGGCACTCTAGTAAGTCAGATCAGGAGTGGGAACAAACAATAGACTATAGTATGTAAGTAAATCTGTACCGTTACGACGTGTCGAGTAATCCATTCCCTCTCCTTCTCCCTATCCTCCTCCTTTCGACTGGGCAAGCCGGGTGTCGCGATATGATCTGCGGTAATTATTCCTAGCTAGCCAGCCAGCTGAATGGGGGGTGAGTACGCACTCAACCCACCCATGCTGTCACCAGACAACCTTTTTGATCCTTCACCCATTTGTGCATTTGTGTCACAGCCCGCCTGTCTACCTGCCTGTCCGCCCCTCCGCCCAACTCCCGAGCCAACGGGAGTAAAGGAGAGCGGACGGCAGTCTGCGTGGGAAACTGGAAACGCGGTTTTTTTCTCTGTCAAGCATCAAGCAAGCTTAGGTATGTAGTTAACACAAGGGTGGGTGGTCGTCCCCCCCGACTCTTAGTAGGATGGATGGATGTAAGCGTTCCAATCGCGGAGCGACGAACACTGTCAGCCATAGGTCGTATCAGAGCGTTTGCTCTTCTCACCCCCCCCCCCCCTCCTCGATGAGCCGTCGGTATCAGATCCAGAGTGATATAGGGTGGCTACTCTACCATCGGCTGGTGTGGAAAACACATGTAACTACATTTAGGGTCATGTGGAATGATTCGATAGTAAGCAACTTCCGACTTCCGATCTAAAGCCTTAGTAGGATACTCAAAGCAAAAAGACCCCTTTTCCGGCAACTACGTATGCAGGTTAGTAAAACATTAACATTCCAGCCTGCCAGCCTCTTGGTGTACCGGTAGTAGTAGGTAGGTAGACCCCCACTACCACTATCCCTCAAACCGTCGAACTCGTGTTATTCGCCCCAGCCGTCACATTGACATCTCCGGCTTACCGAGCTATGTACCTACTTGCAAGCGCCAGGGCCCAGGAGTGGCAACAAACGGGCGGACCATTGTGATGTATATACTACTATACACAGACCCAGTAGAGCAAGAATAAACTACTGAAACACAGGGTGTGTGTGCGTGTGTGTATGCTCTGCTCGCGCGGCGGAAATAAGTATGTATTTAGCGGCGTTCGCAATGGGGGTATCATGTTCTCAATACTTGCCTGGAACAGCCATGTCTGATGTCTCTGGAGCATCGGTGCGGACCCACTTCCCACTTCAGATTGCTATATGCACGGACAAGGGATAACATGAAAGTTTTTTCGTTTCGTTTCGTTTCGGGACATGGCCAGTCTCCTGAATTTCTTCCATCTCTTTGCTTTCTTTGCCAGATCTACTACCAACTACTTCTTATTTACGTGGTCACTCTATTCCCGCCCCACACGAGAACAGTCAGCGATGAGTGGCTAATAATCTTTCCGAGACAAGTGCAACTTCGGACTTCGGACTAACACGATGCTACCAGTAGAGGTTGAGTGATGCGCAGCACAGAGCACCGTAAGGGATGCCGAGCTCGAGCTCCTGATTTCTAAACCGACCCATGATCCATGGCTCGGCGGACCACTGCTGCTCATATCATTGTATGTACGTATGTAAGTACTGCGCGCACCACCAACATCGGATCACTAATTCACAGTCTCCCACTACATCTCTTATTTCCTTATCACTCTAGCCTTGTAGGTAATAGGTATCATACATACGGAGGAAAGGAGAAAAAGAGCTTCAGGTATTTCGAGCCACTACACACCGGGACCCCACCAACCCCCCCTATAGTAGTACATACTTCCGACGGGGTTGCATTTTATTTTACTCTCTTTCCTCGTATGTATTGCACATAATGTAAAACCATGGTCGTTGGCCACCGTCCAATGAACGAGCATTGTAGCCCCTTCTCCTCCTCCTCCTGAGTACTCCACCTCCTCCTCAAGCCCTCGAATCCACTCGGCATTCCGGCACATTACCTTATACTTTGTAATTCCCCTCCCCATCACGACGGCGATATTCCCGGTAACACGAGCTCTTGCCCCCGCATCGAGACTACTATGTAGCCACTGGCTCTTCCAGTTCGTCGGGGACGAATACGGTATGCATACCGGTACATACTTGCGTACGGCTGAGGTTTCCATGCTACATACTCGGTAATGCGAGGCAAAGACTACACGTCTCCGATAGAGTAGAGCCCGGTTAACGGCAGGAACACAATAGTAATGCTCCGGCCCTTGGTTATAGTAGCTGCAGTGCAGGCGTCTGAAAGTATAGTAGAGTAAGTACCTACGCAAGTGGCTGGTAGGTCGCGAGTGATTATTAGTGATTAAGCCGGCCACGTCGAGACGTCCTGGAGGCGACGGCGAAAGCCCCGAGGGGGGGGGACTGAATAGCACATTAGGAACAAGGAGCGCATGTGATAGGATGCAGCTGGTGCAGCACTACACGCGCAGCAGGAAAGACGGAAAGAAGGACAGCTGCGATTTATGATTTCTCACGCGGCCCGGCTCGGTATAGTTCCCTCGCCGTTTCAATTTCCAAGCCCGTTCGACGAATGCGTAAGGCTTCCGTCTCGTTTGAACTTTGGCTCCGCTTGGAATGCACTACACACATACAAAGGTCGCCATCGGATTCCGACACTTCTTTCTAAGCGACGGACATTTAGGAAACGTTTCGCCTCCGATTGGATTTCCGTGTGGAGAATGTTCCAACTGCCTAGTCGAGATGTCAGGGGAAGTACTCTCACGTGGCTTTCTATTACTACCTCGCCGCTCATCCGTAGTGCTTATGGGAAACCATCAGCCCGACTCCAGCTTACAAGGCTCAACCGTAGATACGTAGTTACAGTAAAACTAAAACCGGTTTGCGGTTGATCCTGTAGTAGGTATTCCTGCCGGGTTCGAGAACCCGCGGTAGAACCACTGGGTCAGTAACCGTGAATACCTACGCGATTGTTCACATGAATATAGTGTACACGATAGAGGAAGATTGCCATCCTACGATGGAAAGCTGGACAAGTGGAGGTTCGCAGTGGCTCAAGAACTGCGCACGTTTTAAAAACGACTATCTATAGTAGTCCGCGCACCGTTGCCTCGCGTACCTGTTCGAGACAGTAGTCGTATGTACCTACATACTTCCATCGTTCCATGTCAGTTCAACTACCTACTGTCCTTTTCTGTAAGTTTACCGAAACGAAGCATAAGAGAATTCATAAAGCGGCAGGTGCTACTGGCCGAAACTCAGAGTGATGTACGGTGCTGCCACCTTTTGCGGGTTCCTGTTCCTGGTTTTAATTGTTACCTCGTATGTTCTCTCAAGGACCTCTGCTTGGAGTCTGAATATCACCTTGCGATCGTGAATACCGGTAACAATCTCAGCTCTCTTGCCGCCACAGCCTCCTCGCCCTTTCCTTTCGGTCCTGATTCCTAAGTCTATGGAAAAAAACCCCGCTGGAGGAAAACAAACAAGGGCCCAACGGTAGTTATCCGCAGTCCCGACGAAAGCATATCTGTTTCCTTAGGGTTCTGCTTAGGATTTATAGTGTTGCGAAGATACTTTATAATACATGCGCAGTCAGGAATGCACGCGCAATAATGAGCATGAGAGACGCAGGCCTCATGATCCCGGGCCTGTGACCTGTCGAATTGATAGGCTTAGCGACAGCCTCGCAACACCTACTTCTCTATAGTGATACTCTCGGAGCTGGTAAGAACAGCTGTAACCGTACGATATCGATCACGTACGAAATGTTTCGAAACAAAAGCCAACGTTCGGTGGAATTCGAGAATGCCGAGAGAGAGAGCCGTACGCTCGGCGGCCCCACCACTGAGCGCCGCGGAACGAGATCCACAGAGGCGGACTGAGTGCGGATGATCAGGCTTGCACGCTATGTTATGTGCCGCTTAACTACGTACCTAGGTCGTAGTGTCAGCATGATCCGATCCTTTCAGTTCAGTTCGGATGCGAGATATGAATTGTAGTTGTAATATGACCATCTCGCTAGTTAGACCACATTCCCGAGACATGCTTATTGATACATACTCTACATACATACTCTAATTGCCCTCACATGCGGGATCGAAAAAAGGGTTCAGTCTACGGAAGGAACCGGTCGGTAGGACCGTCGGCCGGCGAGTCCGCATACGGCATAATTCAGGCACCCAGCGGCCGGCCCAACCAGATTTCTCCGGCAAATCTCGCCCTTGCATCATCGCCACTGTCGGGGAGAGAGAGAGAGAGAGAGAGAGAGAGAGATCGATGGACTGGTGTGGGAATAGCATGTATGATAGGTACTCTAAGCGACCTCCGGATGGAATCTTCGGAGCCAAGTACCTACTCTACATATGCTGGCTATGGTTATGGGCGCTGGTGTTGAGAGGTGAATTTCGGGCCGCGGCAAATTGCGCTTTATGCACAAGAACGGGTAGATATAGGACTACCGAGCACGTGGCTGCATAACAGCCGGAGCAACGGCAGAAAGTTATATGTACCTTGTAGTATAGGTAATACTAGATTATCGCTTCGATAGCAAAAGAAGATAAAATCAATTCATATAACCACATCCGGCCGCATGGTAGTTACTCTAGTCCGCAATAACAACACACTTTTCGGGGGTGTGCTCCAAATTCGCCCTCGTGGGTCTCCAAAATAGGTACACGTCTACTCAAAACTACATCATACTTGTCCTTTCGAACTTCACGACAGCCTACCGTTTCCATTACCTCCCTTGGCTCGCCTTCCAGGGGCTTAAGTAAAAATGATGTTGGGCTGATCATAGGCCATAAAACTATTATATCTGCACCTTGCCAATGGTTGTCCTCGGTTGCGATGTCACATCTCGTCTTCTTCTTGTTAGAAGGACTCGTGGAGGCGATTCACTGGAACGATCTAGATGGAGAGAAGTGGTATGTTTGGGTTTGAGAGAGTGGGAGAGAAAGAAACCCGAACTTGGACCCGCTACCGCACCGAACGTTCCAAGCATTCTCCACCACTGGTCCTCCGAACGGCTAGTGGACTACTCACAGGAACACACTCGTTCCAGCACTTCTTCTTCTTCCTCTTCCTATTCTTCCTCCTCTTCCTATTCTCCTGCGTCTTCTTATTCTGCTTCCTCTCCCTATTCTTCTTCACTTCCTATTCTGCTTCCTTTCCTTTCCTATTATTCTTCGTCTTCCTATTCTACTTCCTCTTCCTATTCTTCTTCACTTCCTATTCTGCTTCCTTTCCTTTCCTATTCTTCTTCGTCTTCCTATTCTTCCTCCTATTCCTATTCTTCTTCCTCTTCCTCCTCCTCTACTTCCGCTCTGGCTTTCTTATTCTCCATCCGCTCCTTTTCCTCCTTTTCGTCTTCAATCCGTCCCACACTCTCTCCCACCGTGACTTGCCCGTAGTAAATAACCAAATGCCACACCTTCACATCCACAAACTCAACTGTATTAGCCGCAGGTACAAGTCTCATAAAAGCTATAATGTTTGAGGATACCTATCAATACGTTTTTTTTGGCACGATTTCTGGGCCCTAATGTCATTGGTCGACAATGCTTCCTGTCCTTGCCGTACATATTAAAGCCGGTCACTAGCGATCATTCGCCCGAGTATCCACAAAGGCTGCAACTCGTGACATCGTGATCTTGTACAAGACGAGCCTGTAATTCGCTTTCCTATACACAATTCCAAGCGGCGTTTTCCTCATTTCCAAGGGCTCGGAATCCGGCGAGCCAACAGTGGTGACTTCTTTTACCAGTGAGATCGCATGACCCAAGTTGCGAGTTACTTTACAGTCAGGGTGAATAGCCGCTACAACCGCGACTATACTGCACTTCAGCATTCGCCGGTGATCTTCTGGGAATATACTCTACCGATTACTATGTTCCAGAGCCTAGGACTCAAAGGAAAAAGAAAACAAAAACCTTGGAACCTTTACGAGTTTCATCCCAGCCGGACGCGCTCACATGCTTCACGATGACTTCTGTTTCTGAAAGAAATACAGTTTCTTGCACTCTAGGAATACAACGCATTTCGTTTTCATAAATTCCAAGGACTTGGTGGACAGAATTACCACCGAAAGAAGAAATACGACAGGAAATCACAAGAATGGCTAGATCCTTTTCGACAAGTTATAGATACTTGGGATTGGCACGAAAGCTTTCAGCCCAGGAGCTATCGTCTACACCCAGCATACCTAGGTAATCCGTCCTCCATCATCAGCCAGGTCGGTTTGTTCTGCCCATGAGTCTGGTCACTCGGTAAAGGGGCCTTGTGGCACGTCCGCTCCGTCAAGATCAGAAACATCAACTGATCCTGCTTCGCGATTGCTGGGCTAGTCGCCCCCCACAATGACCATCCGATTCCCGTACGGAATGCAGGTGTGTGCCCCAGAATGTATGTACTGGTTAGCAATCAAGGTGGAATCGGGCTCGAGTTGGGCACATCTGCAATCACCACCGCTCAGTCGGTAAGTGGGCTGCGGAATAACGAGATACTTATCAGGTAAACACGCACATAAAGGCTGGCATTGAGAGGACATAGATGTCATGTACTCGGGTTGTGGCGTCGGTGTTGGTCCGCAATCGAGGCGGAATTGGGCCCGAGTTGGGCCCATATGCACCACCGCTCAGTCGGTAAGCTGGCAATGAGAACACAAACCATTCAATTTCCATAGACAAAAGATCGCTTCGGTTTCGCAGTTGCGGATCAGAAGACCGGAATACAATCATGAATCATGATACTCACTCGTCGACGTTACCGCTCCCCGTTGTGAACTAACACCGAACAGGAACACGTCGGTGTGAGAGGCTCCCCTCCACCGGTAAGCGGCGCTTGATTATACCGCCGTCTTCCCGCCTTTTTCCTGGAGTCAATTGATCGTGAGGTATTCCAGCTGCGCCGTAGAATCAGTCACCTAAAGCCCGCGCAACCAACACAACACAACCGTTCATCATATGATCGAACGATCGTAGAAATGGCCTCCCTGCATAAGCAGATCCTCTCCATCGACCCACAAACCTCATCTATTAACCACTGGGACCTCAGTCCACCTCATCGCTACTACCTCGAGGTTCGGATTAATTCACATTAGAATCTCGTTCGAGTGATAATCTGACGGAGTGCCCATTCAGATCACAGTCACACACACTGACAGGCTCACGATCCGTAACGCGGCAATTAGCCACCCCGCCGTCGATGTAGACGTACTCGCCCACGCAGACGGCGGAGTAGGCCATAAGCTAACAGTGCTGGTCTTTTATCGAATACCCATGGAGGTTAGGGCGGGTGCGACGGCTCAGACGAGGCAGAGAGAGGTCTTCTACTGTTGCCACGACGATGACCCACGAGAGTAGAACACGATCAGAAGCGGTGGATCCATTGTTCGCTGAGTTTACGTTTATTCCCCGCATACGTGAAGGAGATGTCCCGAAATTCAACGTTTTATTTCCCCCTATCCTATCCTATCCATCCAGCCCATCCGTCTCGTCCCGTCGCAGCATCAAGTCGCAGCATCAAGTCCCATCCCTTCGCATTTATGGACCAAAGAAAATCAAAAGCATTAGAACGACAGTAGCAAGCAATAGCGCGAACAATTGCGATCACATTTTTAGTGACGCAAGGCCTTTAAAGGTGGAATCATACATGCAAACGCGCAAACGAACCGAAATCAAATTGATCAGCCAGTGCCATATTTTTGTTCCAACGAAAGCCGGGCTCTACAATCCACCCTTTCTGAAAGTGAAGGCAAGATAGAATCCTGCACTCATCGTTAGCCACAACGCATCCCACGGGGGTAGAAAAGGGTAAACTCACCACACGCCTCCCACTCATCGTCGCCGAGCGCAAAGCTACCATCACGGTTGCGAACACCCATACGCTCACTGAGATGCCTCATCTCGGGTTGATCTTTCTCCTCCCTCCAGACGTCATGGAACGGCTTGCGATATTCGAGCTCGAGCCCGTAGTCCTCAGCGATGCCACGGAAAGCCTCCCACGGCACCACATACTCAGGCACTTCCTCGACTGCCTCCTCAAGGAAGAAGTTGTACTCCCAGCCCCACGGTGGACGGAAAGTTCCGGCCCGAGGAGGCGGTTTAGAGAACTTCACGCGGTATATAGAGTTGCCCCATTCCTGGATTCCGTGCTCCGGGTTCTCGGGGAGGGTATCTCTCTTGTCGGTTCCGCGGACACGTGCAGAGATCACATCGGAGGACGGAATGGTGCCGATGAACCTCCCGCCAGGCTTCAAGGATCCCGACACGTTCTTGAGCATGGCCCGGCACTTTGCCTCGGTCTCGAAGGCGTAATGCATGCAGAACATCATGCTGACAACGTCAAAGCCAGCGGGCGAAAGGCGGGGATTTCCCCGTGATCCAGGGCCAACATTAGCGTCATAGCCGATGCGTTGGACGATCGGAATCTTGCTGAGTGGGTTGGTCCAGCAGTCCAGGGCGTGGAATTCCGCGAAGAAGACCGGATGGCCTCGGCGACCACGTCGTTGGTCGGAAAGCATGCTGTTGTATCGGTCACGGGCGTGCGCGATCGAGACATCTGCCGAGTCGACACCGAGGTAGAAGCCCACCTCTTGAGGGGCTGATTTCCACTTGAGCAGGTCACCACCCTTACCGCAGCCCATGTCCAAAACGACGAGGTGATCGTTTGGGTTGTAGCTGGGACGACGGGGGTCAAAGTCGTCACGAGGAGAGAACTTCTGAATAAGCGTGCTCTTGACCCAGTTGTTGAAGGACCGCAGACCCTTGATTTTGCTCGACTGTCGCCATTCCTTGCCGAGTTCCTTCTTATCGTTGTAGTGCGAACGCACCACCTCCTCGACACGTTCTGGGAGCGCCGGCTTCGACTGCTCTGCCTCACGCTTCTCAACGGTTTGCCGCAGAAGTTCCTTTTCCTTCTCGGTAAGACGCGAAGATGTGCCAGGACGCTTGCGTGGGCGTGGAGGAGATGACCTACGCGAGGGAGGAGGTGTAGGGTCATCATCTTTCGGCGCGGGGATTATCGGCGGCGGCGGCGAGTTGTAACGGTACTCGCGATCGCGGTTGTCGCGGCGACGAGGAGGTGCGGAGGATGACTGTTCATCGTAGCCCGCACGACGCCGCTTCAAGGGAAGTGGTTGCCGATCCCTCTCATCATTTCTGCGTGTCGGCGGCGACGCTTTGCGCTTGCGCGAGGGAGAGACGGAAGATTGGGACGCGGCACCACGGGAGGGCGAACTGGACTGAAGAGGGGATCTGGGGGGCTCGCGGACACGGACTGCTGGAGGCGAGGACTGGAGAGGGGGTGCATGTTGCTGCTCAACGGGCTGCTCAACGGGCTGCTCAATGGGCTGCTCGGCGGGCTGCTCTGCGGGCTGCTGTGGGGGAGCAGGACGGGCTGGCGGAGATGCCGAGATGGGGTCCGAGGTGAAGATATCTCGAGCCGGATCGTAGCGGTCGCGAGTTGGCATTGTTGGTTGATGCGATGTTGTAGTTGAGCTGAGGGTGGATGTTGACCAGCCTTGAGATTGACGATGGGTTTCACACTAGAGACTGGCCACGTGACAAGAATCTGCGACGTTCAAAAATGCATGACGTTAGCGGTTAGCCTAGGATTCCATTAGTTAGTCCCATTCTCTGAGACCAGAACTCTCAGACTTATCGGAAAGGAAAAGCCCCGAGCTCAGCAGGGAGGCTGGTACTCTACTGTACTATGTATCATAGCAGTAGTACCCCTACAGCTCTTGCCCTTCAGCACGGTTTTCCTCTGGATTGGATGGTTTGGATTCAACGGAGGAAGCAGACGGGTGACCAAAGTATCCGCACGGCAGCCAAAAGCACACCCAACACCGGCGGCGAGCCGGTTGGGGAAATCCTCATGTGATCACCAAATTGATTGGGAAAATCTGTAGCAAGTCGGGGAGTGGCTGTTTTTCTAGAGTCTCTTCCCGGCGCATGTATGTAGAGTACATAACATGAAACGACCAGGTAATTCTTGAAGCGGCGGTTTGGTAAATCCTGGGACAACTGGTCATATGTGCATAACTTGAGAACTCAACAGAGCCGCCCGCAGTGGTAATACCTATCTCCAAGGTACATCATAGCCACATATTCCAAGATGTGATGTTGGATTCCGAATGCGGAGAACCGTCGTGTCAAGATATTATTGTCGCTAAAAGGTGATTTCTCAGCCGGCTTACGGCCAGTGTGTGTTTTGGCCATTATGTGTTGTCCGGAAATCTTTGTCGTCCGCATGAGCCATGAACCTATGTGCTGTGCGGACGGTATGCAGAGTACATATGGTCGGCGCAGGATTCATCCCTACACTGGTGCCTATGCGGGAACCATATGCAACGGTAGCTCATGACGCGGACTGCCTCCGAGATTGAAGATAGAGAAGAACAGGATCCTGTTTTTTGGCGTCGGTTGCCGAGAGATTTTCCCCCTAAGTCGGGCCCACCCAGGATCCGGCCTAACCCATGTGGGATACCGAAGGTGGCCAGGAAGACTTCCAAGTTTTCTCGACGACCCAAGTTCCGCTCCGAGTCTCGGTTTCCGGCAAGTCGCCGCGACACCACGCGTTTACGCCACTGCTTTTTGACAGCGGCCTCGTTTCTCTCGAAATACACACATCCACACCGATCTCCCGGCGCAGGATATTCATCCGGCGCAGGTCCTGTATGCAGAATTTTTGCCGTGTGGCGTTCACGACCGACGAGAAACACCTGATGCCCACTTTCGTCAGTTGAGATGATCATCCACATCATGGAGCAGAGATAAAGTAAAGGCCTAAGCAGATACTCTATCACAAAGTAGAATGTTCACCTGCATACACCTACTGATTTGGTCCAGGGATGAACGCCGCTTCTCAAAACATCCCAGGACGGACACAGAACAACTTCTGTCGATCATCCCTCTTACCGATACTCTAGGTCATGGAGATCCACTCTTGGGCGCTGTCCCTTTGCTTGCGTGCCCATCTCCTTGCTCCTATCATCCAGCCATCCATCCAAAGGGGTCTCCCTGTTGGCATCCGTATCTCGATCGGCTGAGAAAGCAGAAAGGATCTGCTAGTGTTGACAGCTAACAGTAAAAGATATGCTGTTCAGCATATCCCTCTTTTTCCCTCACTCCTCAATTCTCCATCTTCTGTCTTTTCTCTCACCGAACTCCCCCTTCGTTAAAGATTCCCCCAAGACCTCTGCTCCCTAGATCTTCAAAACTCTGGATAAACCACCGGTAACGGAGCTCCCGGAACCCCCACAAGCTAGCTGTCGCTAGCCACTGTACATCGACGTCACGCTCATTTCGAGCGCTCAATCGGCGTTTGCCTTCTATCCAAATCAGCCCTTTTAGAAATCCGCTGTTCCCCTATACCCGGATTTGATATTCTTGTCGTTGATCATAAAACCCCTCGGCTCCCCCCGAATTGATGTCGTTGAAGCTCAACTCGCACTCCTAAATGTCGACACCTACCACAGAATGGGAGAGATCCCAACTAGCATACCCAACCGACCTCCAACGTCCGCCTGCCTTGGACACCTCAGGACGGCCATACACCGGCGGAAACGCCAATGATCGATTTCCTTCCGAGAGCACGGCCGGAACGTATGCAGAAACCCCAACAGCCCCAACGTCGCCCACGTTAGAAAGGTTGCACAAAACAACAACCGGTGGCACGGCCCGAACGGGGAGATATGGGTCGAGCGTCTACTCGCCCTCACGGGCGAGGGAGGAGGCCCACCGACCCTTCGACGATCTGGAGCTCATGAAAGCCGAGCGAGTGGCTTCCAAGAGCTCCAGAGACATATACCGAGCCAGCAGCAAAAGAGACAGGGATTTTGCCGCGAGGCCAGACACTACATCGGACGTATTGGAAGAGGAGACGAATCCAGTGCATAAAACTGGGAAACCATGGAAACCTCCGACACAGCCGGCCACAAAATTTGCGAAACTCTTCAAGAAGGTAGGATCGGCCCAGTCCAGTCCAGTCCAAGCAAGTCCACGGATTCAAGACTTCCTCCTTCTCCCGCTTCCCCCGAAACATCAATGCTGAGAGAGAGGTATGTAGGTTCACGAATCATCGTGGGTGGTACGGTACTTTACGTACATTGTGCCGGTGGCGTTGGTGTTGCTCATCCCACTTCTAGTGACAGCAATTCGGTATCCCGATCATACCACCGGAGGGGTATACACCAAATGGTTTATGATTTGGCTGGAAGTTGTCTGGTTGAGCTTATGGGCTGGAAGAGTGAGTACTCCAACATTTGATGGAATAAACCAGTTATTAATGGTAAACAGATCGTCTCCAAACTTATCCCATATCCCGTGGGGATTTTCGCCAGTGCGGTCACCAACGGCAGTAAGAAGTGGCGAGACATGGCCCACATGCTAGAAGTCCCAACGACGCTGTTCTTTTGGTGGCTCTCCATCTATATCTCCTTCCTGCCAATAATGAAACACAACCACGCGGACGGAAACACCGATACCCAGTACTGGGAGAAGAATGCAAATATTGTATTGTTGTGTCTGTTCATCGCCACCACCTTGAACCTGGCCGAGAAGATCATCATTCAGCTCATTGCCATCTCCTTCCACATGAGGACCTATGCCGACCGTATCGAGCTCAACAAGTTTCAAATCAGCAGTTTGGCAAAGCTGTACAAGCATGCTAAGCAAATGGAGAGAGACTTTGGAGAGATGAACGAGAAGGTTGCTCAACGTAACGGGGCTGTGACGCCAAAGGTTGCGTTGCTGCAGGCCAGACAGGGTGCCCAGCGTGCGTTCTTGCAGATCGGAGACGTAGTGGGAAAGATTGCGGGTGATTTTACTGGCAAGGAGGTCAACTCCAGCACCTCGCCTCAACAAGTGGTTCTCACTCTGCTTCAAACGACAGAAGGAAGCAATGTGGTCAGTGGCTCTTCTGCCTTTGTGGGGGTGAATAGGTTCGCTAACCTCCTATAGCTCGCTCGCCGGCTTTACCGCTCGTATGTTAATCAAGACGAGGAAAACGTGCACGCAGAAGATCTGTTAGGCGCATTCACCGATGATGAAGAAGGCGAAGCCGCATTCTCAATGTTTGACCGCGATCTGAACGGCGATATTTCTTGTGAAGAGATGGAACTCGCATGCGTCGAAATCGGTAGGGAACGAAAAGCCATCGCGGCAAGCTTGAAGGATTTGGATAGCGTTGTCGGCAAGTTCGATGACTGCCTGACATTCATCGTTGCGATCATTGTCATTCTGGTCTTCCTCTCTTTGATCTCGAAATCGACGGCTGGTAGGTGCACCCATTTCCCTTTCTTCCGCCGGACAGTCATTAACACTCCGCTATAGGAGTACTCACTTCCGCGTCAAGTTCAATCCTAGCTCTTTCTTGGCTTTTCTCGGGAACGGCGCAGGAATTCCTTGCGTCCCTCATCTTTGTCTTCGTTAAACACCCGTTTGATGTCGGTGATCGGTAAGTGATGGTTCATGATTAGGTGCTATGAACCCTGTCTAATCAAGTGCTGAACAGAGTTGATATCTACAACACCGGAGCCGGCACGATTGACACTTTCTACGTCCGAGAAATCGCCCTGATGTACACCGAGTTCAAGAAGCTGGAAGGAGCCATCGTCCAAGCTCCCAACTCACTCCTCAACACTCTGTTCATCCTCAACATGCGCCGAACCGGTGGACTAGCCGAAGCCATACCCATCGTGTGCAAATTCGGCACGACACTTGCCCAAATCGACGAGCTCCGCGAACGACTTTTGGAGTTCGTAAAATCCGACAAACGCGAATACCAAGGCAAGATCATCACGGAGCTTAGGGACATCCCGGACATGCACAGCGTCAAGCTCAACGTGGTATTCTTCTACAAGAGCAACTGGCAAAACGAACTCGTACGTCTGCAGCGGAGGAACAAGTTCATGTGCACCCTCATGTGCAACATCCAGGAGCTCGGCATCGAATCGCCGAATATGAGATGGCCTGGACAGAAGCAGAGCGCCCCGATGTACCTCAGCAATGCTCTCCCCGAGCAGTTCGCGTCTCCTATCCCCAACCCCTCGATCCCCCCGCCTACTTTCGCCGGCCCCTCCGCGCCAGTCGATGACTTCCCCAATGCTTCCGACAGCTTCTTCGGGGCACGTAGAGGCTCAGCGACAACACTTGAGCGTGGCGGCTCCATTCGGGGCCGCAAAGTCGACTTTTCGCTTGGTGTGAAGGACATGGTAGCCATGGACGATAGTGGTGACGTTTGGGACGACCGACCCAGACGGGGACTAGTTCCATCGAGCAGTCTCCGCCGTGTGATCGAGGAAGAGGAAGCAGAAATAGCAAAGACCACCAGCAGGAGAAGTAACGAAAGCCACGGGAACCATAGCTTCCTGCACCGGAGAAGGACCACTAGTACGAGGGGTGGTAGTCGAGAGAGAGGACCGCATGATGAGGAGCTGGGGCTCCCAAGGCCGATGCACAGCAGAGGCAGAGGGAACTCCATCGGATCCCCGCCACAATCGGCGCAAAGTAGAGTCCATGCAGTGAGCTCGCCGCCTATGCCAATGCCTGTGATGCCGGTTCCACCGCCGCCGGTGACGGTGACGCAGAGTACGCCGAGGGAGGAGGTTGAGATGAAGATGATTTAATGAGAGCATCTGGGTGAATGATATCGCATACAGCATTATGGTCGGATGATTAGGCTTAGATTTAGATGTTTTTCTTGTATTTACCTTGTTTTGTATTCAGGGGCTGGACCCATGTACTGGTTCTTTGGGGGCATTTAATAGTATTTTTGCGCGCATTAAACATTGTTACCTATCTCAGGCGGTTCTGTTCTGTCTCTCACGATGCTGCCGGCCCTCTCCTTACTCCTCCAATATCTCCGCCGCACGTCTGTCCGCCTCCTCAATAACCACCACGTCCTCCCAGTTCATGAAGGCCCCAAATACGAGCCCTTTCCCAAACAGGGCACGGTCCTGCCAACTGCGGTGGTGCCAAGAAAGCCGGAGGTAGCCGGGTTGCATCGTGGGTCTGTGAAGAGGGTCACAATCCATGTCCGGTTGCGCCATCTATGTAGCCTGTCGTCTTCAGTTGAGCTCAGGTACTTCCAGCCACCAGATTCGTGAGCTGTCGCCACGAGTGAGATAGCATGAATGGAATGTGCCTTTTGCACGCCAACTGTGACGCCGGCGCAAACAAGTGATATACTGGTAAGCCAAAATGCCTTTGGCTCTTCTCTCATTCCTATCCACGTTAGGTCGCTAAACTTGCCCTTCACTTGCCCTCACTCGACCCCCATGTAATAATGTTATCCCTGTTAAGCGAACAACTCACAATCGCCTGAACAACAAACGACTAAGCCAATCAACCCCAGTCAACCCCGGCCCCCGGCCAAGACCTGCAACACAGCAACGAACATCTCGTCTCGTCTTCCTTTCACCTCCATCCCCTCCTCCCCTTCCGCGCCCCCAATAACATCCCCTTACGCCTCTTGTTCTACGGATCTCCCCCATCCAACCTCTTTTGACCGTTTACACTTGATACGGATTCTCTACCATCATGAGGGGCGAAGTAAGTTCTTCCTTAATCTCGTTTTATTTATCGCCCTATCAAGCTCAACCTCAATCGTGGCGTGTCTCGCTCGCTTGTTGCTTATCATATCCGTTCTACTGTTCGCGGAAAACTTCTCCCGGTTGCGCGCTTGAGCTTACCCCGGATTTCTTCTAGATCTGCCATCTACACATCGGTCAGGCCGGAACCCAGCTGGGTAACAGCGCTTGGGAGTTGTACGTGCTCTCCCCCCTCCTTGTTGCTGGTCGCTTCATCGTGGTAGGTGTTGTCTAATCGGCGCAATGGACAGGTACCTTTTGGAGCACGGCTTGAAACAGGACGGTCGCCCCGATACCGAAAAGGTCCGTGGGGAGGGCCAGGACAATGGGTCGTACGAGACATTCTTCACTGAGACTGGCAATGGAAAATACGTTCCGCGATCGATCTTTGTCGACTTGGACCCGTCGGTAGGATTTGCTGTCTTGGGATGCTGAGGCGGTTCGCCGGGGGAAACACAGAGCTGACGCTTTGAACCCATAGCCCATTGACGAGATCCGAACTGGCTCCTACCGACAGCTGTTCCACCCTGAGTTGCTGATCAGTGGTAAAGAGGATGCTGCCAACAACTGTATGCTGCGAAACTTATACCTCACGCTTTGCGCGGTCACACAATTTGGACCCGAGATGCTGATTCGCCCTAGATGCCAGGGGTCACTACACTATCGGAAAAGAGCTTGCCGACAGCGTTATCGATCGCATTCGCCGTGTCGCAGGTAAGCGAGCCCCACACTCCACCTAATGGACGTGTATATTGATACAAGACGCGCCTAGACAACTGCTCCAGTTTGCAGGGCTTCCTGATCTTCCACTCCTTTGGCGGTGGTACTGGTTCTGGTTTTGGTGCACTTCTCTTGGAGCGCCTTTCCACCGATTACGCGAAGAAGTGCAAGCTTGAGTTCGCGGTCTACCCTGCCCCCCGAGTTAGCACTGCTATCGTCGAGCCCTACAACGCCGTTCTCGCTACCCACAGCACCATCGAGAACTCCGACTGTACCTTCTTGGTCGACAACGAGGCCGTCTACGATATCTGCCGACGCAACTTGGATATCGCCCGTCCTTCATACGAGCATCTCAACCAGTTGATCGCTCAGGTCGTCTCTTCGATCACGTCGTCGCTGCGCTTCGACGGTGCCCTCAACGTTGACTTGAACGAGTTCCAGACCAACCTGGTTCCCTACCCTAGTAAGCTCCCCTTCCTCCGGCTGTCAGCGCTGGAGGTGTGGTTGGATACTAAAGTCTCTCGCGCATAGGAATCCACTACCCGCTCATCAGTTATGCGCCAGTCATCTCTGCGGCCAAGAGCTCACACGAGTCCCACAAGGTCTCGGAGTTGACCTTCCAGTGCTTTGAGCCTAACAACCAGATGTAAGCTTGCTCTCAGACCATCCGCGATTATTAGCGCTGACCATACCTTAGGGTGGTGTGTGATCCCCGTGCTGGTCGTTACATGGCCGTGGCCCTTCTCTACCGTGGAGATGTCGTCCCCCGCGACTGCACTGCCGCGATCGCCACACTCAAGGCCCGCTCCACTTTCAACCTTGTCGATTGGTGCCCGACCGGATTCAAGCTCGGAATCAACTACCAGAAACCCGCACACGTTCCCGGAGGAGAACTCGCATCCGTCGACCGTTCGGTCAGTATGCTTTCCAACACCACTGCCATCGCCGAGGCCTGGGCGCGTCTCGACCACAAGTTCGACCTCATGTACTCCAAGCGCGCGTTCGTGCACTGGTACGTCGGTGAGGGTATGGAGGAGGGAGAGTTCTCAGAGGCCCGAGAGGATTTGGCTGCGCTCGAGAAGGGTTTGTTTCCTTTACTCCTTTACTATTTAAACTAAGCAAAACTCTGACACGAAATTACAGATTACGAAGAGGTTGCCAGCGACTCTGTTGCTGAGGAGGAGCCAGAATACTAGATTATTCGTCAAAACTACTCTGCAACCGTAACCTGGTTTATCGCTGTTCTGTTCTGTTCTGCTGGCGTGGTGTACTTTCTCCTTACTCCGTGTAATGTAATTCAGCACTGCAGTGCATAGCGTTGTTACTCTCTTCAACGGAGCTGGCGAGGAAGGAAATTGTCGATTTGGTTACCATATCAGTGGACTCGGAGAGTGTGATATCGTGTGTCCTGGCATCTCAAAGGCCATCTTTGAGAAGCCAAAGCACTGTACCTATTGTCAGTCTATGAAGGTATAGGCGTCACCCACAAGAATCACCCGTCTACCTGCACGCCTGTTAAGATAAATCCGATCTTGAATCTTTATATAGTATAGTCCATCCACCATTTCCACTCCATCACACCGATACTTGGTACCAAGAGGACGAACCCCGCAGGCAAATGACACAAGCAAACACAAGCAAGCAAATAAAACAAGAGAAAAAAACAAGCCAAAACTAAACTTCTAAACCCCTATAAAGCCAACATTCACAATGCATCCCCCTCCATAGTAATCCAGTCCAGTCCAGTCCAGTCTGATCTCTCGCAGCGAATTCTCACAAACACATACAAACAGTAAAAGTAAAACACGCACGCACAGAACACTAAACGCAAAACATAACAGAAACAGAAACACAACGCTGCCAAATAGAAAAAATAGGTATCTACATCGTATCTTGATCGTAACCGGGGTTGGGTGGGTGAGAGGTGTGTCTCTATTGGCTAGGATCACTCCACTGCCACGCCGTGAGCGCGGTAGTGTAGATCATGACGGCACCACCGAAGACACACAGTCCACCCTCGATGACCTTGCTCAACCAGCCACGTCCGGGGTAGGCGCGCATGTGCAGCAGCGGGGGGTAGATGTAGACGAGCGGGATGCACGCGAAGGATCCGATGATGGCGACGAACTTGTCGAGGTCGTCGGCGCCGCCCCAGGCGATGAGCGCAGTGGCCATGACTACTCCGAAGCGGAAGAAGTTCTTAGTCCATTTCACCTTCAGGTTGTATTTTCCACTCTTGGGGAAGATGCCGGTTTCCATGATGCGGATGGCAGGGAAGAGCTGCAGCGGCGTGGAAAGGAGGATGGCGAGCGAGTAAAGGAATTGGACGGCGTTGACGAATTTGCTGTCTTGCGGGAGGTTCAGGATCACAACCGTCTTGGTGTCGGAACCGTAGGCGGCATAGCACATGGCGCCCATTGATACGAAGATGGCTGTGATGATGACCATTACTCCACCAAGAATCTTGGGGAACTTCTCGGGGTGCTTCATGGTTTCCTGGATGGGGATGATGAGACCAATTCCCTCGAAGGTGAAGATTGCGGTGCCGATGAAGAGGGTCCAGCTTGAGGGATTGAAGGCGACGATATCTGCGACGCCCTTAGTCGATAGCGTGAAGATGTCAAAGTAATAAAGGTAAACGAGTCCGAGCATGATGAACAAGTCGGCGATCAGTGCTGTACCACCCAATTTGGCCATGTCACGGATCATCGAGAATGGTAGGAAGATGATGAGTTGCATCAAAATCAGCCATTTGACGCTGATAAGCTTCTCGCCATGTGTTACCGCAACTGTGGCACGTATTAGTTACCAGTCCTGGTCAGTGAGAGACTGCGAGGAGAGACTCACGGATAAACGCCTGCAAGTTTTCAGATGTGAAGACAATGTATGCCGCCGCGAAACCGATCTGAGAGACAACGATCGAAGTGAGAATCAAAGACCGCATCTTCGGCCCATATAGTTGGCCGCCGATATCTGAAATTATCATCAGCAGGTATTCCACGCGAGAAGTTCACACTGGAATCAAACCTCCAAAACTTCCTACAACCCTCAACCTGGTCCTAACCAGCAGCACAAAGCAGTAATAGCTCAACGCGCTGACGAACAGCAGCACAAGATTCGAGAACAACATGCCACCGTTCAGATATGCCTTCGGCAAGAACAACACACCAGTTCCGACGAAACTCTTGAGCAACAACAGTATCGCCTTCCCACTCCCCGCCGTTCCGGTCGCAATCTTGCTCGGCCTCCTCACAAGACTCATCCTTCTACTACCCATCAACGGCTGAGATTCGGTCTCCTCGGGAGTAGCGTCCTCCTCGTCCACCGGCTCCCACCCTTCATCGTCCTCTAGATCCTCACCGGCGAAATGTCCATGCAGAGTCAAAAACTCGATGAAATTCCTGGTAAAGAACCCACTTCCCTCCGGTCTGAACCCTTCATTCGTCGGAGGGCCCTGCGTCCTCCTCAGAAAGTCCCTCCGGAACCCACCAATCGATTTGATATGATTGATATCCTCGGTCTCGTGCTCTGGCTCAGGCCGCGGCAAGTGAAAGCTCATGGAGCGCCCCCGACGCGCGCCCTCGGCCGTCTGATCCACATAGCGATATATTGGGCGTGTAATATCACCGCCCAGGAGCTGCAATGACGAGAACTCCTCATCCGAGCCGTCGCCATCACCACGTCCGGACGCCGCATCATCATCTGTGACCAAGTGGCGGCGCACGATCTCGGGGTCCTCGATGGGCTGTCGCGAATCGAACGAGCCGTAGTGTATACTAGTCGGTCTGCTATCCCCAGGCGCGCCGTGGCCGCCCCCGATTGAAATCGACGGAGTCGCGAACCGTGGCGGTGTTCCGAACCGGGGAGGTGTCCCGAAGTTGTTGAACTGCGAGAGGAGATCGCGGGAGCTCTGGCCGGTTCCTTGGATCGGCGTGCCGGTGCCGGAGCCGCCCTGGAGCTGCGAGGGAAACGCGGAGCCGAGCACGGGAGATCCGAGGCGGGCCGTTGCTTGCCGTTGCGAGGGTGAGGCGGAGCGCGGTGGGATGGGACGACCCGAGGTGTCGGAGGACATTGAGCCTGGGCCTCCCATGACTGTATATAGAGAGAAAGCGTGAAGGAGTTAAGGAGAGGATAAGTTATGTGTAAGTGCAGGAACGGGGGGGTGGGATTTGGGGGAGTGGTGTTGTTCTATGCAGGAGGGTGAGTAGAGTAGGTAGGAGTTGGAGAGCTTGGGTTGTTGTGCAGTGAGGTTGGGGGCAGAAATGCGCTAAGTCAGACAGCAGGAACTCGTGACGGCAGAGCAGATGAGCGAAGCCGGACAGGTTAGAGCGTGTTCTTATTATTCAGCAAGAAAGAGAAGCCAAAGCCGCTAATCACGAGAACCCACTCACTCCGCATTTTCCACAGACCTGTCTTCCTAGCACGTATTGAAGGGTGCTGACTCCTGAGGTATGAAGCAAGTAACTATTTCCTGAGTATGCGATCGTGTACCTATCGTATCCCGCCGAAAATTTCAGTTAACCCCCTCGCAAACCACGACTTCCAGTCCCCGCTCGATCTTCAGGCACGCGCCCGCAGCGCAGGCAGATAGGTAGATAGATAGAGTACGCGGCAGATACGGTAACATTTTTAGAGAGCTTCGTTTGTTTCCCCTCTCCCCCCACTGTCCCATCGGCGCATCGGCCTTCGGAAAATCTCTGCAAAGACAAAAGAGGCCTCCATCGCGACGAAACAGGATTATTATTTTTATTTAACTTTCCTGTCGCCGATGCAAGTCCTTGTTGGTGGTGTCTTTCAATTCGTGCTGCAGATGGATAGATAGGGCGATGAGACGCCGAGTCGGCACGCGCTGAATCGTTATGATCTCATCAGGTGAACGGAACCCACAGGCAGTTACGACTCACTCAACGTTGTTTGTGAAACATAACCATCGTGTCCACTGTCCATCCTCAAAGTTCAATTATATATCCCACACACAACACACGCGACTTCACTCCCTCCGGCCTCGGAAGCGCGTTTTAATCGACGCGCGCCGGCGCCTCATGATCACTCGGGCAAGAGATGACGTTTACCTGGAGCTTGAGCATTTCTCGCGGCATCGGGCAGAGAAATTCATGACATAGAGACGACCGTAAATTTTCATATTCAAGCTGTACAAGTAAAAAGTTGGCTGCTGGAGAATCTCATGCCATCGAGGGAGTCTGAGATGGTGAAGCTGTGTCGTGTGCTATTTGCAGGATAAAATAGTCGTAGCTATTGGTATCGTGAGAGCTTGTGGAAGTACCGTACACTGGTATCTAACGTCTGATCCAGTGCCAGTACGGACAACCGTTGTAAAAACGAATAGACAGCTGATCATCTTATGACCACTTGGAAGTTTGGAGAATAGAATACGATCGATTAGAAGATACAGGTCGGCGACAAGAGTGTTCTCGAGAGTGGGACGTCCTACCGAGCAAATCGGAATCAACAAATATCACAATACGGCCCACTTCTGGCTATCATATTCCCCACCAACGTCCACCGATCAAAACCCCACATTATACATACATCCATCGCTACATACATCCCGCTAAGACAAAGAACTCCGTTCACGAAGCCACATCAAAACCGAACTATCTTCATAGCCGTAAACAAAAAGGAGAAAATACACTCGGTGTATGAGATCATCGAGCGCGTTACTACCTCCCCGAAAGAGGAAAAGAAGGTACAGGAGAAAAAGAAAAAGAACAATCAAGAATCAACGAAATACCACCATTCAGTAGTTACTCCGTAACCCGTCCCCAAGCGAAGATGAATGCTGACATGCATGCATACACCACAAACATAGATCACAAGAGAAGAGTTGTTGATTTGAGACGTTTAATAGAAGTAAACCAGCGACGCAGCGATGCAGAGCACCAAGGCGAGCGGGGAGCTAAGCTGGCCAGCGGCGTTATCGGCCGGATCGGAAGCAGCGGTGATGGGCTCTTCAGTGCTGCTGGCGGAAGCGCGGCGAGTGGTGGTCGAGGAAGGCGAGGCAGAGCCGGAGGCCTCGGCGGACTCGGACGCAGTGGCGGAGCTCGACTTCTTGGTCGCCGTGGAGGTGGTCTCGGAAGAAGAGGTGGCGCTGGTGGTGGAGCTAGACTTGATGCCGGCACCCTCGGACTTGATCGTGAAACGAGGAGAGTAGTTGGTCGCGGAGCCGGCAACAATCTGGATGGAGTAGTCGTCGTCACCCTCGAGCTCCTTGGGAGGAGTCCAGGTGTATGATCCGGTGTTTTCCGTCTCTGCGCGTCATTGTTAACAACCAGCCCCCCTGGTTTTGTTATAGGGGAGATCACTAACCAACGATCTCAACGACAATGTCAAGGTTGTCGGTGTCACCCTTCCTCAGGATGAGCGTAACTTTGTCACCATAGTTGGCATCCCTAAGATCGCATAATTGTTAGCGATATGCGATCGGACAAACGAGTGGCTAAGACATGGCGCGGAGATTTATGATGGAATGATGCCTGCAATCCAGATCCCATCTGCGATTCCGCACAGACTATAAAACGTCCGACCGTCTCTCTCTCATCGCACGACGCTTGCGACACGAAGTCACACCATTCGACGACAAATCGCGGTAAGGGCTAAGGAAAATAGACGCTCCTACGTACCACTTGATGGTGAATGGCTGCCCGGCCTCGAGAGCGACATCACCCAGAGGCTGGCGAATGGGGTTGGAACCTCCAGAGACCGAAACACCGGAAACGGTAGGAACCGCAGCCGGAGCGGTAACGGTGGCTGGGGCGGGCGCAGCAAGACCGTAAACAGTCGAGGCGAAGGCGGTCAGGGCAACAGTGGCAGTGGTGAAGAAACGCATTGCTTTGTTTTGTGAGGTATTAGGGATTTTCTGAGAGAAAAAGAGTGTGTAACGCTGAAAGCGATGGATTTGTTGGTGCTGCAGGAAAGAGTGACTGAGCAGTTGGATTGATGAACGAAGGACGAGGAGAGGATGGAGAGGAAAGGAAGAGAGGGGGAGCGAGAGCCGTTGAAAGAACGGGGTGGTGGTAGGATAAGTAGAGCAAGGGGCGTCGGATGACCTCCTCCCCTTTTCGCACTTTGTGTGAGGTCACTCGAATCGCTGTGCCTTTCTGCTGCCCTTCCTACGGTATCCGCCTCTCACTCCGCTCGCTCGCTCGCTGTGGTCGAGATGTTTAGCCGCTTCGCAAATTACACGATGCCCTGGCGAATTGAACTTAGTATTCCCGACAGGGGTTGGCCTCCCACTCTAGCAGCAGAGATGAGTTTTAGCCCCCAATCAGGAATCACGGGGAGCATATGACTCGGGCCCGGGTGGCACGGCGAGTCTCGAATGAGAAGCTCGACATAGCTGATAAGGCGCGTGGAGGAGAAGGCATATGTAAGGAAAGTAGGTGCTTGGGTGGAGCAAGTTGCGAGACTCGAGCAAAGCAGTTCCGCGGCGGGTGCGGGTAGTCGGGAACAGAATTCATCGTCGAGGCGGGGGACGAGGGACCCCTCGTCTATTTGGGGTTGTGTACCTGCGTCGAGTCCACCGAAATCAAATGGAGTCGGTCTAAGCTAGCGCGGGACTTTTGGGGGCCGATTGATGACCAAAACCGTTACAACCTGTGGCGGCCATCTCGCGGTGCATGGAGATCCATGGCCAATGATGTCGCCACATGGAAGGAACACCGCAGTCCTGCAGGGCCGTTTGTACCATATATACTTGTACTCTGCTTACTGGTATTTCAGTTGTAAGTATGCGTCCGTACGGGTTGTTTTCGGAATACGTTGTTTCCAAAATTCTGCATGGCTCCGACACCACTGTGGACACATCGGATGGTCATTCCAGAAACGCGGAGTCTGCGTCTCAAGCAAACCTGTAACCTTGGCCGCTTCTGCTCGGCTTTCTGCCTTCGTATGTATTGTTCTGAAGGACGGAAGGTATCAAGTGTTACATACCAGCGACATTTTCACCGCGCTGAGGAATTCGTTGCGACACGTAGACTCTTTGACACCCGATTTCAACCGTCGTCCTTTCTGAATTAGGCCGTCCTATGAGCTCATGTAAAACTTTGGATACAAGTATTCCAGATACTCGCAGTACACGCCGACATCGGCCGCCTGGGATATCGGCATGAGTTCGGCTATGGAAGCTACGCTGCCATGGCTCCGTTTCTGTAACCCCCGTGCCGTCCGTCGGCCTGGCCAGTGTCCCGGTTGATAGTAGCGCGCGTTGAGCAGTCATGGTGGAACTAACTGCGGGGTTCAGAAGTTAGCATGTTTGTGCAAATATAGTTGGAGGAGAAGTCTTTTGTGCACATAGATAGCTTGAGGAAAAGTGTCTTCTGTAGAGTGAACGTCCGTAACGCAAATGGCATAAGATCCGTTTTACGGACGGATAAGGCAACTTCGGCGGATGGTCCTCAAGCACCATATTGTCGCCAAGTGTCTGGAATCGAAAATTTTGCGTATCTGTTGGTTCCCGAGGTTCACCTGCCCGTCTTTAATTATCATATAAATGGTATCCAACTTTATGCACGCCGTTGGCCGTCTCAATTCACGGCCCGCCGCGATTATGGGGATGTGGCTCCGCATAACGAAACACAAACCCGCCGAAGAATGGAGGCTCGGAATTGGTGTGTCTCGGACACGATTTCAGCTGTGCGAATAAGACGAGAGAGAGAGATAGAGAGTACGAAGGGAATAGAGACAGACGGTTGAAGCTCAAGTCAAGGCTTCCAGTACTCTACATGGGTTATGCAGTGTGCTGAATTAGTGGTTGCGATTCGCGAGCACTGACGTAAAGAGCGGCTGTGTCTCAGATAGGGCGAGGTTACGTGGAGCCATCCCTGAGCCCCACTATATACCTCCCATTTGCGCATCACCACCGCCAACCCCCCACCAACTCTCCACTGCCTTGCAACGACATTGCGATGTCTGAATCAGTAGCTATTGCCCCATCCGCTGGCAAAGGCAACGGCCTATTCGCCAAAACTGCCTTTGCGGCAGGCACCGAAGTCTTGACCATCCCCGCTCCACTTGTCGTGATCGCGGATGACGCCCACCTCTCCGAGACGTGTGCCCACTGCTTTACATGGAAACCCGAAGGCTCCATCCACAGCTACTACAGCTCTGAGACACCGCTTCAGCAGTGCACCGGCTGCAAGACTGTCAGATACTGTTCTAAGGTACTGTTGCATTCCTGTCGCACAGTCCCCCCGCACTCCCTGACCGCAAGCGATGAAACCAGCGTATAACATAGTACCTTCTTCCAACAGGCGTGCCAGCGCGATGATTGGAGACTTGTGCACAAGAAAGAGTGCGAAATCTTCAAGAGATTACCTCATGTGCTTCCAGGCTCGGTGCGCGCGCTCAACCGTTTATTGCTCCTGCAACCTTCGCTTCCTGCCACCACTTGGGCCGCATTGATGGACATGCAACACCATGCCGCGGACTTCCAGAAGCTTGAGCATTGGGAGATCATTGTGAACGGGGCCAAGGCTGCGCATGCTTTCTCGCAGACTGGGTTACCCGAGCCCATGGTGCTGCGGTTGTACTGCACTGTGAGTGCCTGCCGCATCGTCATAATACCACTGCTTCACACTCCTGATACACGTGGATAGATGCTCGTCAACATGTTGACATTCTCAACGCCCACACTGGACCCCATCGGCATGTGCTTTGACCCCACAGCGGCGATGGCAAATCACTCCTGTCAACCCAACGCCTTCATCGTATTCTCCGGACGTTCCCTCCACCTTCGTAGTCTCACCGACATCCCCAAGGATACGGAGATAACGATTGCCTACACCTCCACTACCGATCCCTCAAGTACTCGACAACAGGAGCTACAAACACGCTGGTACTTCACGTGCACATGTCCGGTGTGCTCCATTGGCCCCTACGCACTAACCGACGTCTACATCTGCCCCGCCTGCAAACGCACCAGCATCCCGGACGACTCTACAATGCAATGCCCCGCCTGCAACCACCAAGCGAAAGCATTCTCCATGCCGAAAGACCTAGATCTAAGCTTCCTCTGGAGAACCGGCTACCTCGAACCAACGCGAACCCCACTGCCAACGATGCACGAAGAGACTATGCAGCGGCTCCTGACGGAGGGGGATTATAAGGAGGCACTGAGACATCAAATGCTGCTGTGTTCACTCGTGTACCCGATTTCCTACAGGCAGCCCCATCACCCTGTGCGCGTTACTGCGGACTTTGTACTCATCGCTCTGATGCTGGAGGTGCTCCACGATCCCGGCAATGATTTGATACGGTACAGTATCGACTGGGCAAAGGTGGTGTGGGCGGGCCTGCAGATGGTGTGTGTTGCGGTCGTGGGTAGTCATGGTGAAGATTCGGGATTTGCCAGAGCGGTGCGGGAGAAGCGGGATGAGGTGAGGAAAGACTTGACGAAGGCTGGCTTCGATTGGCTGGACAAGCCGGAAAAATATCAGGGCGAAGTGAAGAAGTTGAAACTTTTGGTTAATGATTTTGTGAAGGAGTTGAAGGAGAAGCCGGAGAGCAAAGTCTCGGCGACACTGGAAAGGATGCAGGGAGATAATTTCTATTCACCGAAGGCACGTGAGGTGCTAGGCGGAAGGGGATACTAAAAGTATGTAGTGGGCGGAGAAAGAAATCTTCAGCGATCTGTAAGTAACGGATATAAAAGTCGGTTCTCTTTGTCATTTTAGATTACGAAGCACGAACCAAGAACCGAAAGTCGCGGCGGGACGGGGATCATCAATTTATCTCGCACAAAGCCTATAGACTGGATCTATAGTCGATTTATCCTCAGACACTCATAGGTTTTGTACGAGTGACTATGGATGATGATGTCTGCGCACATCTCACTCATTACCACCTAATGGCAACATCAATTTCACACATGCATATCATCGTTCCCCGCTCATCCTTATGTCCTTAAGTTATGTTCCAAAGTCTTCCCCCACAGTTCTACGTGTAACTCTATCATTTTCACAAGCAATCGCTTCACACGCGTCACATGCCAGCATCGGTTCACCATCTGGCGGCACCCTCGCCTTAGCCGACAACCCTGGTTCCCGTCGCAGCATCTCCGAGCTGTTGCCGCGCCTTCGTTGATCATCGAGCCATGTACTTTCCAACATCTTCCCCACAACTCAAACCATACGTTCTCCCTTCTATCTTCACCGTGCGAATACTACATAGAAGTTACACCTTATCCGTCTACGTCGCCGCGACATCTTGTCACCTCCCACGTGCAAGCAGCGACCGACTCTCCATAGAAACAGCCCACAATGTCGACCCACATGGAAGCCTTCCAGGTTCGGCTTCCTCCAGCTCCGCTCTCGAGGCTTCACTAACCCCCCCTTCAGGCCGCCGCAACGCGCTTCATAATGGACCCTTCCAACCGCGAAGTCCTCACGTTAGTCAAAGGCCTTCGGAACGGGCTCGTCTACGGCACCAAGATCCGCTTTCCGCACGCGCTGGTGATGGTGGCGCTGTTCCGCTCGGGAACGGTGCGCGAAAAGGCGTCCACAATCCTGACGATGACGAAGACGCACGCGCGCACGCTGGGGCTGTTCGTGCTCACGTACAAGACCGCCATGCTGGCGCTGCGGCATCTGCGCGCCGACAGGAAGGAGATGGGCAGTGATAGCTTCCTCGCGGGACTGCTGGGTGGTTACCTCGTCTTTGGCCGCGGGAAACAGTCCAGCGTCAACCAGCAGATCGTCATCTACGTCTTTGGCCGCGTCATGTTGAGTCTGGCGAAGGTGGCCGTCAAGAAGGGCGTCGTCCCTGATGCTGAGGGAACTATTTCGGCGAATGCCTGGCCCGTGTTTGCGAGTCTCAGTTGGGCTATGGTCATGTGGCTGTTCAGGTGGCATCCGGAAACGGTACAGAGCTCGCTGCGGAATAGTATGGTGTACTTGTACCAGAATGCGGATCATTGGGATGGGTGGAGGAGCTTTTTGTGGCATAACACATAGACGGGAGACGGGGGCGTTTAGATGGTTGGGAGATACACTGAGCTGTAGCACTATTGTCATGGGTTTTTCTTGGGGGTGTTGGTTTGCGTTCTGTGGATGTATATTATTGTATCATCATCTTGTTTTTGAATGCTTTCCTCTGAATACCATCGTGACCATCTTTGCCACCTTTCCTTGTTCCGAGCTTTCGGCGGTCCCTGCAGGCCATGCCCAAACTCTTGCATGTGCCCCATCCCTTCAACCATCGCGTGACGTCAAGTCTGAACGGGTAAATGGTCTCTTCCCAGGACCGGCCTAGCCCGTAATCCCTGGGAGTTTGAGGCTCTTCCAAAAGTTCTCGTTAGCGCCAAAAAAAAGCAGCGCAGAAGAGTTCAGTCGCAGATCTTCACCTTCGCCGAACTTCAACTCCACCACTCATTCAACCTCACGACTCAGCGCAAACAGGCAGAAATGATTCGCACAACGTACCTCCCCCCGTCTTTTCTACCTGTCGGAGCAAGATTGACGTCCCTGTGTATAGCAAGCCCAAAAACGCTCGCTCGAAGCGTGCGGCCGACGAGCGCCTGCCGAAGCTGACGGAGAACCAAAAGACCACGCTGGTTCTGCGGGGCACGACCGCCAGCGAGCTGATCCAATCGGTGTTGACGGACCTGCACGCGCTGAAGAAGCCAGCGTCGATCAAATTCAGCAAAAAGAACGACATCCGGCCGTTCGAGGACGCCGCGCCGCTCGAGTTCCTGTCGGAGAAGAACGACACCTCGCTGCTGGTGCTCGGCAGCAGTTCCAAGAAGCGCCCGCACAATCTGACCCTCGCGAGGACGTTCGCCTATAAGCTGTTGGATCTGCACGAGTTTGGTGTGGATGAGGCGACGTATCGCAGCCTGGCTAGCTTTGTCGGTGAGAAGCCCCGCGTCGGGATGAAGCCGCTGCTGCTGTTCAGCGGTGATGTGTGGGAGCGCGACGAGACCATGAAGGCGGTTAGAGCACTGTGGATCGATTTCTTCCGCGGGGAGGCGGTCAGCAGTGTGGATGTCGAGGGGCTGCAGTACGTGCTGTCCTTTTTGGCGACCGAGGAGGGCAAGTTCCATGTGCGCGGATCGATGATCAGGACCAAGAGGAGTGGGCAGAAGTTGCCGAGGATTGAAGTGGAGGAGGCGGGACCGAGGCTGGATTTGACTGTGAGGAGGGTGCTTCCGCCTTCCCCCGAGATGTTGAAAGAGGCGTTGAAGACGCCTTGGAAGCAGTTGGTATGTTGTCACCCATTCACCTTTGCGAATGACGGCGGCTGATGAAGTACAGACCAAGACGAAGAAGAACATCTCCATGGACATCATCGGAGACAAGATCGGTCGCATCCATACCGGCAAGCAGGATCTCGACAAGCTGCAGAGCAGGAAGATGAAGGGACTCAAGAAACGGGGTGCCGACGACATGGACGATGATGCAGCCACCCTTGTAGACGACGTAGTGTCCGAGGCCGAGGAGGCTCCTGTTGCGAAACCGAAGAAGGCGAAGAGATCATAGACGGATGGGACGAGAAGATAAAAAAACTTAATGTCGCCGTGCGGTTTCCTTTTCATGTTGGGTATAACTTTGCTTCTTGTTTCATTGTTTGCTTGCTTGTTCTGTACACATCTATGGAGTATAAGGAATTCTACCAAAAGTCCTGATTTTTTTCTAATAGCCGACCTATCCATTCCTAACGCCTGCTCAATCTAGCACAACCGTGGTTCCTTTGTTTTGCTTTGATATCAATATCTCGTCATCTACCCACTCAAGTGTTCTTCACAGCTGTCTACGTCTGTGCTACCCCTTCTGGGCCGGCAGGATCTGCTGGTGCTTCACCCGCTGCTTCGGCCGCCTTGCGGTTCTCGATCAATCGCTGCAGATTCCCATCAATATTCAACCCATGATGATATTAGTGGAGGGCGACTCACCAGAATGTTCCTCAGCAATATCGTGATCGTGACCTTTCCGATAGCAGGCACGTAGATCGACGCCTTCTCCTTGACCTCCGGATCGAAATTCTATACTCCATCAGCGCCGTCCCTCCCCGCTCACTCGACGAGATTTCATACCTTCTCTGACGAGAAATTGATGCACACAGCACCCGACTTCAACAGGTTGACGGGGAACTTGTAGTTCTTGCTCGGCACACCAGTAATGACCACGTCGCTGCGCGGCACCACATCTTCCAGCTTGTCGTCCACATCATGGACATGGTGCATGGTCCTCTTGATTCCCTCACCCCTTGTGAACTTCTGGACACCGGTGATATCGACACTCCAGACATCGGCGCCATCATTCGCCAGCAGCGCCGCCAACGGGCGTCCCACGATCTCCGATCTGTTGACGATCGTAATCGTCCTCCCGAACAACCTATTCCCGTAGGGGAGAATGGGGTTGTACACGCCGACATGCTCGAGGATCTTGATGACGGCGAGGGGCGTGCACGGCAGCAGCGATTTCTGCGTCTTAGCCGCGTCTAGGAACCGGCGGTTTTGGTACATGTTGAACAAGTAGCGGTGGGAGAGTCCCTCAACGTCCTTCGTGGGCACGGTGAGCTGCTGGAGGTAGCTATCCTGCATCGTGCCGAAGACGGGGAAGTAGATTATTATGCCGTCGATCGCCGGGTCCACGTTTGCGCCGAGGATGGCCGCCTCGAGGTTGTCCTTGTCGAGGGTTCGGAGCTCAAAGGCGAAGCCGCTGTTCCTCGTCTCAGTCCCGCGCCTCCTCCGCGAAACAGTGGGGGAGAGAGGGGGAGGGCGGTTACTTGTCCTCACACGTCTTGCCCGTCCAGTCCGCGTACATCTTCGCCGCGGGATCGGTATTGGCCAGGAAACCGACCAGCAGCGGTTTGCGGCCCAGCGTTGCGAGCGAGCCTTTCACCTCCAACATCAGCTTGTTCGCGACGGTGCCTGCGAGGACGACCTTGCAAGTCGCTGGTGGCGGCGAGGAGGGGCGCGTAGGTTCCGACATGACGTTGGGGTGTGGAGGGCTGGTGGGGTGCACTTGTTCTGTTGCGGTACGGTGACGAGCGCCTGGACGGTGGGACACGAAAAAGATTTTGGTGTTTTCGTGGTGGGGTTGATTCTAGGACATAGTGGGGCTGCTAAGCCGCGTTCATTCACGCTTATTTTTGTGCGACATCCATCTATTAGCGTAGAATTACTAGCTGATCCAAGGTTAACTACAGCTTGACGCCGAGTGCTTCTCATGACTGTTGGCTGTGGGTCGGCTGGTTCTCCACCAATTGACTTCGAAAATGGGGTCGTAATGAAGTTTTATTGGCCTGAATGGTGTTCACGACATTATTTGGCGACGTGTGAAGAGTCCTAAAGATCCGGGAACGAGAAGGCAGTGAGGGATGTCACTAGCCACACCTGGTAGATCTGAAGCCACAGCTACACGAGAGGACGTGCGGATCTGGGGAATACGCACGGGCAAGGAGACCACCACAGCCCTCGACGACGATGAACATTGGGGATGCTCAGTGCACACATCACGGAGCACGGTCGCCCGCCTACTCGGATATGTATGCAGAGTAGGTAGAGTACACACACAAACTAACCCACACGTAGGTATGTGGCTGAAGCCTCGAGCTGAGGAAAAACGGAGGGGTTTGTTCACAGAATTTGAATCGCCACATGCGCGGTGAACTTGGCTGCGTTTCGTCTTGTCGAGGCTGAGAAAAACAAAGACTCTACCGGTACTGCCTATTCTACCCCATGCCCCTGACAAAGACGCAACACGAGATCAAAAGACCTGTACATACCCGGATAACTATGGCCCTCGAGACTGGAACCGCTTGAGTATGTACCAGATCTGGTTCTACTATACCTAGACCAACTTCCATTGGAACTTAGAGTTCTCATGGATGAAAACACACCAATTAACTCTTTTCTTTCTTCTCGCAAACCCTTCTCCACAGCCTCAGATACCCTAATTCCGGCTGTCCCGTATTCGAAAACCTGATACAAGCACCATGCGTCGAGCAAAGTCTTGGTTTGGTTCGTCCAGCGGCTAATATACACTTTCAGCCCGCCATGCGGTGTAGATAAGACAGGCGGTGCTACCTGTATACATACTCTACGCTACGGTACTCTAGAGAGTCAACATGGTGTCGATCCCCCGCAAGCTGGGTGGCCGTGAATTGATTGCTGGTGTCAAGCGTACCGGTGACGGCTGACCGAACTATGTAGAGTACGATCTTCCCGCGCCCCAGGGATCTAGTCCCGGGTACGATGGCATTTGGGATTAGATAGGTATATAGGATAGTTGACTATCGATACGGTATTGCGGGGATTGTGGGTATTGATGTTTTGTCTTCTCTGCGCGCGTAAAAGCACTCTACTCCAGAGCTCGACAACCGTGGCGTTCCAGTTGTCAGCGACCCGCTTGCTCTCCTGCTTTCGCCCATCATTCCTTTTCCCCAGCCGCAACATCTCGGCTTCGTTCCCTCTCCCCCACATCGGAGCTTCATTGTCTAGTGGGTGCGCCTCGTGAACAACGCTGCATGCGTGCATGTGCACAATCTGCAGCACTAAACCTGAGCTGTGGAAATGAAGATGTATCATGCTTGGCCTGTGTTACGTAAATCCCAAACACGCACTCGGACTGGACGATTAGACGAGAGCGAGCAAAAGCATGGATTCAAAATACCACTGCCCAGGCACCGTCAGCTCGAGGAAATCCGTGTATGTAGGAGGCAGGAAGCGGCTTCCTGCAGGGGGTATGCCCACTGGATGGCATGCGGCAACAACAGCAATCATAGCAGCAGCAGCAGCAGCAGCACATCAAACTGGCACATCCGGGCGTTGTGCTAGGGACGGGTCTCATATATCTCCAACATCTCCTTCAGGTATGGAGGAAACGAGCACAAACTCAACCCACAATGTATCCACCGCTTCTGACCCTTCTACTCGTGTGGGTCACCGCCGTGGCGGCAGCCGAAGACCTCCGCCTCGTTTCCCCCGCCGAAATCCGGAGCACCCGCCGCGACCTCCTGGGGTACTCGATAAAAGACCAGTACTGTTGGCTTCTGGCCCATTCCGCCGTCCGCGTGGGCAACTACGTCTACATTGACGGCGGCATGGCTAAGTACCGCGTCATGATGGATCGTGAGCCGGTCGGTGTGTGTGATCTGAACGGACACACTGTCAGGTTGTCGCTCGAACGGGATTTCGATGTGGATAGTCCGAACCTCGAGGTGATGGCGACGAAGGGCACTGAGGTCCCAGTGGCTAATCGGGGAGCCTTGTGGGTCGATGGAGAGGACCTTCTCATTCAGGGCGGCCATTTCTACGACTCTGCGATGTACGTTTGTGTTGCTTGCACCTAATTCAGTTGACTGATTCCACAGCACAGCTGGAATACCTCGACGTGGTATAAGAATAAGACGGATATACCGGATTATTCCATCTGGCGTTTCTCCCCCGACAAGCAGCCGCAGGAAACTCGGTGGCAGGAGGACAACTTCCTTCTCGAAAGCGGCCGATCGGCGGTCCGGCCCGTCGTCAGGACCGTCTCCGGCGCCGCAACCTGCACCGATACCGAGTGTTTCTGGTTCGGGTCGGTTCATCCTCCTGTGCTCTTTTGATACTTCTGGTTAACATAGGGTCCGCTACAAACAGAGGTTATATTAGCTCACGCACATCTCCCGATACACCGCTGAATTACAGCCTCCCCCAGCGAGGCATGCTGATATACGACAAAGAAACCAAGACGATAAAGAACCAGACCATCGAGGGCTACGGCACCGAAGAGGACGGCTATCAATTCGGCACGATTGATTGGATCCCGGGGAAAGGCGGGAAGGGTGGATTATTGGTTTCCTTGATGGGGGAACGCTCACTTATCGGCAGGGCCAATACCACCGACGATGATCTGGACGGCGTGGGTGTCAGCCTGACGCATGTGATGGTATACGACTTGGTGGGAAGGCGGTGGTATAATCAAAGCACCGATTACCGAGGGGAGCCTCTCATCAGAACCCGTTTCTGCTCGGTGCTAGTTTACGACGAGGAGCGGGACGTCCACGAGTGAGTATCCATGACTGTGTTCCGATTACTCGGTAGCTGCTAAACCGAAGTTGTCTCTTTATCTATGGCGGCCAGTCTGTTGCTGATGTCACAACCGGAGTAAACGATCTCTATGTGCTCTCAATGCCCGCCTTCAGGTGCTTATCCTTACCCTGATAAACCAGTCATTATTCTGCTTGCTGACCGAGCGGTGGTTTGCAGATGGGTCCAACTCAAGCCCGAGTCCACTACGATTGCGAATCAGTACCTGAGATCACACGTCTGCATTCCTCATGGAAGTCAGATGCTCATTATCGGGGGCAGCTGGCCCAGTAATCGTAAAGGAGAAGTGGACCAAAACTCTGAATGCACATCACGGTTAGTCAATGTGATCGACCTGAACAGAGCGGATATAGTAAGCCACCCTCCTCCCCTTTGATGGAACTACACACCACTAACACACGGCAGCAATACCAAACCAAATTCCACGCAAAGAAAACTCCATACCACCAAGCAGAGCGCATCCGCAAAGAAGTCGGCAACGCAATCGAGCCCATCGCCGCAGGCTGGGCGCACGAGGGTCTTGGTGCGATCTGGCCACGGGGGTCACGGAACGTCGAAACCACCCCCTCCCCACACGCCAAAGGGCCACTCGCTCCCCGCGCTATCGCCGGCATTGCCATCGGCTCCGTCGCCGTCCTCGGCGCGATCACCGCCTTCGTCTGGTGGTACAGACGAAGGAACAGGGCAGCACCTTATCACGGCGGGATACCGGGAGTGGATCATTCGCCGGATGACGAGGACGCATCTAAACACGGCGGGCTACCGGGAGTGGATAATTCGCCGGATAGCGAGCCCGAGCCTGGTTTGAGGGGCGCCGCCGCCCGTTCCCCCAACCCAAGGTGATACAGACTGGACTGGTGGTCAGAGGGCGAGGTTGGCGGTTGTCTTCGCCAGTACTCTGCGCACGGATGAAGCTTAATGTAATGAATACCGTATATATTGAGAGGCGGGGCTAGTTGAACGGCCGGGAAAGCCGGTTACTTTCAAGGTCACTGTTAAAATCACCCGTCAAACAGGACTCAAGAAGTAGACAATGCCGTCACGAATCTCCTGGAGTTGCAATATTGTCGAATACTGCACCGTATTCTTCACAAAGAGGCCTCTCCGCTCTCTCGATGTCGAACCCAGAATATTCGGTCTATTCGATACGTAAAATTTCAGTTTCTAGAAGGGATGCAAGATGGTACTTACTCATGTGCTATCACCCCGACTTCAAAAAAAAAAGGGTTCACGATATGTACTTCGTGCCCTCGTCAATCCGTAAGTCTACTAGGTACCTAACTAGCATCAGCCAAATCGTACGCCAGTCTATCCCGGCGACCTCGTTGTCTCGTCGTAAGCAGGTAACCGTCTGTCGAGACAAAGTCCCTCACTGATCATTGCTACCAGAGGCAATAACCGACTTGATCGTCCCAGGGATCTCCCCAAGCCGCTATTGCAGCCCCCCTCATTCGTACTCCGACCCTGAGGTGAGTGGGGTGAGCGAGGTGCGAATGGAAGAGTGAATGGCGAGGTGAATTACTCCACCACTGCCACTACCACTAGCCGGTAGCCATTCATCCTCAATGCTCATCTCGATTCTTCATACAGCCTAGCGAGTGACAAACAGTGAAAAAATCAACATTGCATTCGACCTTAATAGATCATGGCAGATTACATATCCCTTTTCCACCCGGCTGTCACAGAGCGTTGGCTGCGAGCTTGATACCGGTCCCCTATCGCTCTTCGCCTAGCCTCCCCTCAAGTCAAACCTCAACCCTCCCTACTCAACTTCGACTCCCCTCTCAATCCTCCCCACTCAACCTCGACTCCCCCCTCTACCCTCCCTACTAAACCTCGACTCCTCTATCGATCCTCCCCAATAAACCTCAACTCCCCTCGGCGAAACAAACACCTGATAATCAACAGTCTGCTACATAGTAGATGCATAGAGTGATCCGACATGATCCCCGCTACTTCGGCACGTGACCCGGCACTCGCTCGCGTCTCCATTGACGTAGCTATCCATGTACACGACCCAACCCAAACGACGACCCGCGTACACACTCTGCAAACAATGCCCGCCCGTCCACCAGCACAAAAGAAGAGACGCACCATCGTCGACAGCTCGGACGAGTCACAGCCCGCTCCAGCTCCCGCTCCCGCCTCTGCTCCTCGCGAAACTCGCGCCTCAAAGCCAAGGGCAGCTACCCGTCGCTCCACCACCACCACCACCGACACCGCCAGCACCACCACCACCACCGACACCGCCGCCGCCGCGAAACCACAACCCGCGAAAACGAAACCCGCGAAAGTAACACCCCCACCTCGGAATCCTGTGAAACCGAAAGCCAAGAAACTCACGGGCCAGTACAAATCGCTACACAGATTCTTCGGCGTTCCGCAGGGAGGAGGGTTTCCTGCCGCCACCCCTGCGGCGCCGGATGCATCGAGTCGGCAGTACACGCCTACTGCATCGCAGCATGAAGATGCCGATGATCTGATCGAGGATATTTCGGAAGATGATGAGGTGGTGCTGGTGCCAACGAGGCGGCGGACGGGAACGAAGGATGGATCGCTGGAGAAGCACCTTGTTGTGAGTAAACCTGGGGTTACCAAGGGTTTCGGACATTTACTGGGGATTAAGGCCCCACCTACGAAGCAAGAAGCTCGAACGACTACTGCCGCGGGGGTGATAAAAGCAGATAGACATAAGGCGGCGACCACTGCACCTGGATTACTGCCGCCGGAAGATACACGCACATGGCCAGAGAGGTTTGCGCCCACATCGGTGGAAGGGCTGGCATTGAATAGAACCAAAGTGAAAGAGGTTCGGATGTGGCTGGACTCTGTTTTCGAGGGGGGGAACCGGCAACGCGTGTGTGTCTTCCGTGGCTCGGCGGGGACGGGGAAGACGGCTACGTTAAATGCGTTGGCGAAGGAGATGGGGATTGAAATTCTAGAGTGGAGGAATCCGAGCAGTGGAGCAAGGGGCGAGGAGTATGGTGAGGACGGTGCGTTCTCGGCGGGCTTGAGCGGTCTCTTTGAGGAATTCGTGGGGAGAGCGGGAACGTTTGGATGCTTGGACTTGATCTCGTCGAGTGGGAAACCAGTATCGACGCAGTCATCACAGCCGTCAGCGGGGGATGATCGGAAGAAGAAACTTATCCTGATTGAGGATTTCCCCAACACTCTATTTACATCTTCGCCAGCGCCATTGCAGTCTTTCCGACATACGATCAAATCATTTCTAGCATTACCACCTCCCCCGGCCGAGGCACCACCGATACCGCCGTTAATCTTGATCATCACAGAGACCGCGAGCATAACAGGGCCAAACTCATTTACTGCGCATAGACTATTATCACCAGAGATCCTCCTCAATCCCTTGGTGAAAGAGATCGCCTTCAACAAGATTGCACCAACATTCATGTACCGGGCCCTCACTGCCATCATTGCTCGGGAGTCTCGGCTGTCGGGGCGGAAATTCGGCCCCAGCAAAGCTGTTCTGAGCACGTTGTCGACTAGTGGTGACATCCGTAGTGCAGTGATGGGCCTCGAGTTCCTGGCTATGAACGGTGATCTCCCTGGTATGGGCTTCACGATGCCCCTGACGCAAGCGAGGAAGCGCAAAAAGACAGAAGAGCAACCACTCGATGATGACGAACGAAAGATCCTTGAAGCGGTGACCCAACGTGAGAGCAGCTTTGGTATCTTCCACGCCGTTGGCAAGATAGTCTACGACAAACGGTACGGCGATGACCTCGGGGATCCATACGTACCGCAACAACCTCGTCCTCCCCTCCTAACACTCCCCTATCACCCTCGTGCCCCGCGCATCAACTTTGAAACGTTCATCGATGATACCGGCACGGATCCGCAAACCTTTATCGCCGGCATCCACGAGAACTTCCTCCTCTCGTGCAATCCCCGTGGCCTCAGCTGCCTCCCCACCAGCGACGAAGATGTCCTCGACACAGCGATTGCCTGCCTCGACTACCTCTCGGACAGCGACCTTCTCGCCTCCAAGGGGTTTGGCTACGACAACGAATTCTCTGACATCCGCTCGGACGAGATATCGTTCCACACAGCCGTCCGCGGCATCATGCTGTCACTCCCCAGCCCCGTTAAACGCTTTATTGAACCGAAAGTCAGCGCGCAGAAAATGTACTATCCCACCGCGACACGTCTGTGGAGGGACCGACAAGATGTCGGTGATGTCGTGGATTGGTATGTAGGAAAGCAACGGGCGATGGCACCTTGCAGCGGAGGAAAGAGGGAGGCGCTCGAAGAGCGGATGCCGTTTCAGGCTCTGATCGAGAGAAAGAGGCACTATGGTCCTCGTGGAGGCAGTTTTCTAAGGCAGTCGCCGGATCCGGCGACCAGCAAGGCCCTCGAGCGTGTCACGGTTTTCAAGGGCGTTAGACAGAGCGACGAGCCCATGGAGGCGGAGGAGGCGGCCGAAGCCGAGCAGCCGCGCGGTGGCAGGTGGAAGAGGAAAGAAAAGAAGACCGTGACATGGGCTGAGGATTTGATGGGGCCCGAGCTTGCAGAGAAGCTGGTGCTTAGCGATGATGATATCGAGGAGTTCTGAGAGAGATCTTTATTCTAGTACGAGTTGCAAGGTGCTGGCGTTTGTTTGAATACATTTTCACTTCTCTGGACGGCGGTCGGGGCTCTGTACTACAGTATTATAATAAAGTATCCGGTTTTTTTTGATGGGCTATATATTGTACACTACACACTGTTTTCGGCCTTGATTCTCCTTCTGAGCTTGACCATAAATCCGGACTGCCTCACAAACCAATGGTTAGACAGCTTCCACTCGCTCTTGGGATCCGCCAGAGTAATCTACCTCATTCGTCAGCAACGCCGCCGCCGCCGTCTTCTCACGCCGAGCAGAACATACCTCGTAGTCCCTCAGGATCTGCGGCACAAATTTATACATCTCAAGCCTAGAGATGTTCTTTCCAATGCAGGTCCTGGCGCCCGCTCCAAACGCGAGAATCCTGCCATCCATCCTCTTCTTCGATTCCTCGTCCGCCTCAATCCACCTCTCAGGTCTCCACACTTCGGCATCAGCGCCAAACACACTCTTATCCCTGTGCACCACCCACGCCGACATCCCCACCACCGTCCCGGCCTCAAACCTCCTCCCGCAGATCTCGCGTCCTCCCGCGGGGACAACGCGCTCCAGCATCATGCCCACCGCCGGGTGCAACCGCATCGCCTCGCGGACCACGGCGTCCAGGAACGGCAGCTGCTGACTCTGGTTCCAGCTGACTATTTCGCCCTCCGTGAGCACTCCTTGGGCCTCGGCCGCGGCAATCTCCGCGAGAAGCTTCTGCAGCGACGCCGGATTCTTGAGCAAGAAGTAGAATATGGTGCGGAGCGCGATCGCGGTCGTGTCCGATCCCGCATTCAGATTTGACACCGTCCATGACACGATGTGGCTCCGCGGGATCTTGTCGGGTGCTTTCTGGTGCGCCTGCACAAATTTTGTTAGGAAGTCCGGTCGCGGCTTGTCTGCCGAGGAGGAGGAGGCGAGGTGCGATTCCAAATGCTTCAGGGAAAAGCGCGCGACGTAGCTCGTTGTCGACGCGAAATGCGCCATCAATGGGTTCTTGCGCAGGAGGACATCTAGCCAGGGGAGTTGTCCTGCCGAAGGGAATGTCAGCGTGGACTCTAAATATGATATTCTGGGAGATGTCGGTGCGCCTCACCGACTAATGCCGCATACTCGAGATGCCGCTCGATCCCCGCCATGACGCCCTCGACATCCGTCCCCGTATCCAAGAAGCCAAGGCGGTTCCCAAACGTCAGCTCGCCGATGACGTCGAACGCGAAGAACTGCAGCCACATGCCCCAATCGCACACGGCATCGTTGGTAAACAGCTCGTTCATGCGCTTCTCAAAGCAGCGGATCGTGGAGTCCACCAGCGGCTCGTACCCCGTCAGCGTCGACTGCGAGTACATCCCCGCCACTGGCCGCCGCAACGATGTGTGCAAAGCCTCGGATGTCGTGTTGAACATCCCCTCGATCGATTGGCCGTTCGACATCGTTTGCTGCACGGGATAGAACTCGGACTAGCACACACACCTCATCAACCTCCCGCCCTCCCCCCTCCCACCAGCAACATCAGGAATCACCCCAATTACCTTAATATACCCCCTGCCGACACCATACACCTCTGCAATCCCCTCCGGATCGCTAATACTCACTAAATTCGGGCCGTAGCGAACAAACGTTCCATGCTTCTCATGCAGCTCGATCAGCGTGCGAATGCTCTGCTGCGACCACTGGTCGCAGAACCGGTACAGGTTCGAGACGCTGGCGAGCCAGGGGCCGGGAATGCCGCGGGTGGAGGCACGGCCGTAGCGGGTGTAGAGAAGGTAGCCGCCGAGAACGGCGAGCAAAGTGGCGAGCTTGTGTGGGAAGTCGATAGCTGCTGACAGCAGCGCGGGGATGTGGGAGGTGATCATTGAAGCGGAAATGGGAATGGGAATGGGAATGCTTCAGCCCGGGAATGGCGGGCGTAACTAAAGCTCCCTCTGTAGAGCTCGAGCTCCATCTTCTTATATCCCCCCCGTCGTCTTGTGATACATACGTGACATAATCCGGATATGGCGGCCATGCAGTCCACTTACTCCACCATCCCAGCACCCCAACTTATATGTACTCTACATATTGTACTCCACATATGTAGGGACGGGAATACGGGGGATCGGTTAAACGGGCCCAGCCCACGTGGATCCCCCGCCATTGCCGAGCACAGGGTTATTCATAATCGTTGTAAAGCATGGAGCCGTGGTTGGCAGATATACACAGGGTACACAGGGTATGTAGAGTAGAGCGGAGTGCTACAGCTCTAGAGTACAGGCGCTGCCGAGTGCCGACGACGGGTACGGGTACGGGCAACTGCTGGATGGAATAATTGTCCCGGATGGACAGACAGACAGACAGGTGTCGCGCGAGTGAAGGTCCTTAGTTTTGGTTTATTTAATCGCGATTGATCGCTCACGACCTAGGTACCATAGTTCTCTAGTTCATGGCAATATACATATGTATGCATACACTCCGTTTCCATATCCACAGTCCAACCCAACTCGTCTACGAAGAGGTCTCGGATCTTGAAGTGAGAGGATCGCCAACTGGCTGGCTCTTCCACTTTGGCCTCCGTGATACCGCCACGCTTTGGGTATGTACATAGGCAAGCGAGGGTTGGGGGGAGGGGGGGGGGGGGGGGGGTGGCACTTAGCGGCCTGGTTCCGTATTGGGCCGGCGCGAGTGAAGGGACGACCGATGATCTGTCGGGGGCAACTCTAGTTCGAGTGATAGGTATGCTACGCAAAAGGCCGAGATTTGGTACATATGACCCATCTCATCTGATGGCGGCGGCTTTCCGGTGGACTATTGGACACGCTAATCCGAGAAAGGCATAATTCAAGCCTGCTTGTTCGTGAATAATGGGTATCAAAGGCAGGATCTACCAGCGACTGTGAAGAGATGCAACCGAAAGGCTAGCTATCAAAAGTAATTATATAAGAACAAGAAACCAAGTATGTACAAAAGCGGTCTGCCTAATTACCAGAACAAGTTTAGTCTGTGGGCAGGACTCGCCGTGGTGTTACTCCCTACAGGCTACCACTGTCTGTCTGTCTAACCAACGACTTTTTCACCGGCACCTCCTCCGACAGCGGCGGCGGGGGCTGCAGCGACCGGCTCTTCCTCCATCTTCTCTGGCTCCGGGGATTGCACGATTGCCTCCGCCGTTCCCTTCGAAGATGGTGATGCTGCATCGGTCTCCGCCGCCTCCTCCGCCTCCTCCGCCTCCTCTTGCCCGGACTTGGCCCGTAATACTGTGTTTTCCTTCGACTCGGCCTCATCCACCCATTCTTCGCCTTCTTCCCCCTCCTCTATCCACTCCAGCTCCTCTTCCTCTTCCTCCTCCTCGTCAGATTGTCCCTCCAGCCGCGGTTTCCGTGCAACCATGACATGCCTGGTGGTGATTGTCAGAACCGCAAAGCACGAACATGCCCAGCGGAGGAACTTACATGTCGAAGTAACCGTGCACAGATTTGCTCTTGACCTCGTTCTCACAGTCCTGAAAGAGCTGCTTCGCATCGGCCGGGCTCATGCCCAAAAACCGTGTGAGCAAGCCCAGTCCATACGCCTCAAAGCCAGTTTGTATCCTGCCCATAGTTAGTCACACCGATTCCTTCCGCAGTCCCGCCTAGGCAGGCAGGGAGACAGGACAAGACAACTTACATCAACGTCATCCAATGGCCGAGCTCTTTCATTTTCTTATCGACCGGCCAAGTTCCCAGTGGCAACTTGACGACGTCGTCGCTGAGATCGACGAAGCCGGCATCTGTGAGGAATTCCAGCGGGTCGCCGGCCATTGTGAGCGGGCGTCCGGCCATTTTGGACGCTTTGTTGGCTAGATCGTAGAATCTCCAGAGCTTGGTCTTGTTGTGGTAGGAGTCGTCGTCGGATGCTATGTTGAATGTCGGGCATTCGAAGATTTCGATGTAGCCGCCGGGCTTCAGGGCTCTAGGACCACCAGCTGCGTTAGTTACTTCCTCGTGTCAGGGTAGGGTATGGAAGGTTTGGGAAGTGATCGATGCATATTCTCGACGAGTCCTGCGGACTCTCATCCCCTGTGAGAACGAAACAGAGTGCCAATGTCTTCCTTTGGCTGTAGCTCGGAACGGACTGGAATCAAACACTTACGTGAACACCTGCTCGATCAGTCTGGGCCAGTCCTCGGTCGACCCCAGCATTCCGCGGATATGGACGAAGTCAAACTCGCCATCAAACGTCCAGTCCGACTCGGCATCGTCCACAAAGAACTGCACGTTCGGCGGCACCCAGCCGGGCTGAATCGGCGACAGATCCGTGCCGATGATGGAGGCTTCCGGATACAATCTGTGCACGCACGCAAAAACTGCAATCAGCCCGGGACCGAACCGAGAATCAACTTGCGTGGTATGTTCTGTTCGATGTTCTTTGACACACCACCGGGCGGGAAGAGTGAGAGCGAGAGAGAATGGGGGCAGACTCACTCCGCCATGTCTATTGCCCAGATCCCCGTTCCCGTGCCCACATCGAGGATGTGTCGCGGCTTCCTCAGCGGCGCCAGATGGAGTTTCCCGCCAAGCATCAGCGAGTAGATGTGATGCATCATATCCAATCGATCCTGCTCGGCCTCGTCGTTGGGCAGCGCATACTGCCCCGCCCGGAAGCCATGGTATCTGCGCCCATTCTCGTACTCGTACTCAAACGCCGCCGACCCGATCGACGTCGTCTCGGAATCCAGACTGCTGCTCCCGCCGCTGTGGCTCCACGCATCGCAGTCGTCCACCTCGCTGTTGCTGTCCACTTCCAGCTGCGGCTGAGCCGCAGCCGATCGCTGCAGAGGCTGCCGCCGCAACGGCGCTGAGGACTCGCGACCACTGCTGCTGCAATAGTCGCCTTCGTCGGCTGAGCCGTCTTCGTCGTCGTCGTCGTCGTCGTCGTCGTCGTCGTTCTCGGCCTCGGCCCCGTTCTCCTCCCCCTCCCCGTTCTCGTGCCCGTCCTCTTCATCCTCATAGTTGGAATCCACCTCCATCAACGCATCTTCCGTGTGTTCTGTTATGCGTTCGGCGGAGTCGGGCATGTCGGCGATTGGGCGAATCGATGGTTGTCGAGGGGACTACTCGTAACAGTTATAGATAGTAGATGGATGACTCGATTCTGGGTGAGGGTTGGGTGGGTTGATAGCGGAGAGGAGGGGTTGTCGAAGCGGGCGGGACCAGGCTGGTTCGATGGCGGGACATAAGTACTCTACTCTACTCTCTCTCTCTCTCTCTCTCTCTCTCTCTCTCTTGGGGGGGCCGCCCCCATGAGGAGGCGGGGTGCTGAGGACCTGCATGCGCGATGCACGATGGCATTTGCGATTGGCCAGGGGCTGGGGGACGCGACCCACGAGGTGGAGTCTCGGTGTTACCGTGTTGAAATAAATGTAGCCCCTAGTACGCACGGACCGTGACGCTGTCCCATCCCTCCATCCATCCATCTGCTCTCGAGTATAGTATCATCATGGTATACATAGCATCATAATATAGCAGGTATCATAATAGTATCCTAATAGTATACCCAGTAAACATACCCAGCATACCATACTCTACATAACCCAGTACATGTGCGCTCCATCTAACCTGAGATCATGGCTTACTCCGCACACTTGTCCCGGCCCTGCCCTTCCCAGCACGGACCTGCCTTGCCAAAGCTTGCAAAGCTTGCGTCGTCTCCCTACCCGCATCCACGCCCACGGGTACTATGCGCTTCCCGCAATTAGAGCATGCCGTTACTGGGTTAGTCAGCTGTGTCCGGCTCGCTGGAAACGGGGCCACCCCACGCTGAGATTACACAGAACCATGCCTACGGTCCTACCTGCCGCTCAGCACATGGCGAGAAATCACATCGTGCCGCACGGGAGCACGCACACACGCCCCGCACGCATCCAGTGGAGGCGGGCGGGTTCCCCGTACTGCATCGCATCGTACCGCATCGTACCCTACCCCACGGTACCGTAGTTACCGTGCCGCACATGGCCAGGACCCAGACGCCGCACTGCCGCAGCCAGCTAAGCAAGCAAGCAAAGAACGTCCATGGCGGTGGAAACGAATCAGACCCCCTTCATATCCCAAACCCGACACTCCGGTCGAGGTGGGTAGAGTAGTTACCCACGACCACGAGGAGCGGAAAGTAAAGAACTCTACTCTACTCTGGGTAGCCACTAACGGGAGCACTTCCACTTGTCATGTCCCGGCCACGGAGGGACCGGTAACGGGAACGGGAACGTGAGCCCTCCCTTGAACCGCCAACCTTGCCATCGCGTGCCGCGTGTGCGGAGGGAGTACTCGAAAGTCGAAACCCCCCACTATATTCCAGTCCCTTCGCATCCTCCTCCTGGGTCCCGGGTCTTCATGTCCCCACCAGGTCTCCTCTCGCACACACGCACGCACAGGCCCACTCACTCGTCCATTCCACATTCCATTCAACCCGAACCCCACGTGAACCCCAGCAAACATGCAAACCGCCTTCCTGGGCCGATATGTAAAACCGGAGCACCTCCGATCCCGGCTCACCGCACCTCACTCTTCCCCGCCTAACTCATCCCCCCACACAGACACGACCTTTACTACTACTACTACACACAGAGTACTCTACCAACAATGTCCACACCCGCCGGAATCGAAACACTCCAGCGGATTCTCGCCGCGCTGCAAGAGCTGCGCACCGCCGTAGCCGCGGGACTGAACCCTGAGGTTGCAGCGCGGCTCGATAGTGTCGTCGCCAGCAGGGCCGATGAAATTTTGCGGTTGGGGGTGAGGGAGGCGAAGAGGGTGCAGATGCAGATGTTTTCGCAGAAGAAGATGGGGGAGGGGGGAGGGGGGTACATGGGGCAGGTAGCTGGAAGAGGGGAGGACAGAGAAAGCTAACGACGACCGGGTACTTGGAAGTCTGGGAACTGAATGATGAATCATACGATATTTGGAGTTTGGGGTTTGGGGTTTGGGGTTTGGGGTTTGAAACCGAACGGCTACCACATCGCAGGCCACATCGCAGCGCAGCGTAACTTAGCCATGGCCTAACGTGTAGAGTAGAGTGAGAGTATGTACCTACCGATGTAACGTGCCCGCTGCCCAGTGGCAGCAGCATCGGCCTCTTCTCAGGAAGCATTTCGATCGGAAAGCTGTACATATATGCCATAGGGCCGCAGACATCCGACCCTATCCGCGCCGCTGCTGGCTGGAGAATTGCTGCTACTTGCTGCTACTCTAGCAAGCCCCGTCCGGAAGGGGCGGTACTATCGCAGTAACTATGGGGGCACTGTCGGCCCAGGAGTCCAGGACTGAGTGAAGTGGAGTAGGGTAGAGTAGAGCACCCAGAGCAGAGCACGACAGGCACGGGCACGGAAGACGCAGAAGGTGCGGTCAATCTCCGATGATGCTACAGTGCTACAGTGCTACGTTGCTACAAATCACGGAGCGAGTTTGAACGCTTGAACGCTGCGCGCGGGCGGCAAGCCCGGCGTGGACTCTGTGGGCACTGTGCAAGCTGATCTTGTGATGTGAAAACGAGCTAGGTAACTGAGGTAGAGGCTGCGCATGTATCCAGTAATAGGGTGAGTGAGTGAAGGGCACTTCTGGCCAGCAGCCAGCTCCGGCTCGCCCCGTCGTCGTTGGTGCATAAAGGACGGTCCCGGTGAAACTGTTAACTGGGCACCCCCGCGGCCTTGTGTTCGTTGCTATCCCACCACGCCGGCGCCGGCGTACTCTACTTTGCTTTGCTTTGCGTTGCATCTAACCGAGCAAGGCCAAGGGAAATCCCGTGAAACGGAAGCCCCGTACTCTAGAATAGACTCTCAGAGTTCCCTTACCGGATCGAGAAGCTCTGGCGACAGTAAAATCTTACTTACGTTCGTGTACGGTGTAGCACCTCAGCCTGGCTTCGTATCCGTAGCATCTAGTTGAACTGTTCTGAAGCACCTATGTAGTATGTAGGTAGAGTAGGAGGTAGGTGGCCTGTTGATAGCGGCGAGCGGTGATAGACCGGTATGCAACCAAACCAGGTGGCCGAATAGGTAGCGCCTGTGGTTACAATTCTTCCGTCGCTCAATAGCTCGGTCTCGCGAACCTCCCTTCTCCCCAGGGCCCACACACATACACGGTGACCCCAGAAGAAATACATATCTGCGTATCATATGTACAGCAGAGGATTAGAGTTGCGGGGGGTTCCCCATCCTCGGACTGTACTCTACATACTCTTCCCCCGCAGTACTCTACCTAGCCCAATCCGCACCAAAAGCTAGGACTTGCCACGTTGAGACCTGCTACCTTGGGCACTCCTACGTATGCCTTCGTATAGGTAGTGGTAGTGGTTTGGACGAACGAAAGTCGCAAGAATGCGGTGTAAGTTGTACTGGTACCATGGCCGTGGAATCTTCAAGGAAGCCGTGGGTTGTAAAATAGATGCACACTCTTGTCACGACTCACGACCCACGACCCACGACCCACGAGTCACGAGGCTTAGGCAATGGAAGCCCGGCGTCCTCTAGAGTATCTAGTTCGATGGGTCTAAGGTCTAAGGTAGTAGTTAAGCACCAATACCACTGTGGCGGAGCAAGAGGAGGAGGAGCTGTCGATGAGAGGAGGATCTGTCCGGTGTCGGTGAGAGGAGGAAGTGAAGGAGGAGGAGGAGCTGTCGGCGGGAGAGACCGAACATGGTTAGTAGTGGACATCAACGTTGGCGGGGATCAACATTGGCGGCCATGGCGGGGTCGTCTTCGTCTGCGTCTTCTCTCTCTCTCTCTTCATCATCTATAGAATAGGTAGACGATCAACCACCATATCTCCTCTTTCTTCCATGTGTCGAATTCAGCTATGCCCCACACTTTCCGAAGGGAACTCTGCCGGCCTTCCGGCCCCAACACGACGGGGGATGCAACCAGTCTCGTAGCAAGCCTTGCTGATCCGATTAACTTCTCCTCCTCCTCCGAGTTGGCCGACTGACCGACTGATCGACAGGTTGACAGACCGACTGCCCGACTGCCCGATGTTCGACTTATGTATCGATGTAGAAGCTGGACGCGAGTACATACGGTGGCAGAACAGCACGGCATCCACCCACCATCCACCATCCGCGCTGAGTCCACTGCTAGCATAACTATCGGGAATGATATGTCATCACATGTATGTACATAGGTCCGCACCACCAAAACGGCAACACGCAAATCAAGGTCCGGAGAGCTGCGGCATCCGACTTCACGAGCGTTCCGTTCCGTCAACCACCGTTAGTTAGCCCATCATTAGCCATCATTAGCCCATCATTAGCCACCGTCAAGCTGCAGAGCCAGGAGCGAGGAGCGAGCTATGTTAGTTAGCTAGCGCATCCGCAAGCAAGCCAAAATGCTGGTCTGATCTGGTCTGGTCTGTTCCCCATCCCGAGCTTCCGTCCGCTGGTTGGAATTTGGAAAAGCTTCCTAGCATCACAGACAGCGCGGTGGATGCGGAAGCGGGAAGCCACGAAGTACGTACTACCTATGCTATAGCGTGATAACTTCGGAACCCCTTCCGAAGAATGAGACCAGAGTACCTAGTGGCCTTCGCCCGACGCCCGTCGGCTGCGGCCTGCAGTCGGTTATGTACATACGCTAAGGAATCGCAATTCAACTCGCTCGCTCGCTAACGCGGATGAGGGGCTTTACCGACGATTGTGTCTATGCATTGGACACACCGCGAGGTGGAGACCCCGAATAACGTGCCTATGTACGTGTTTACCGGCTTGCTACCTAGTTCGGCTACAGGGTGGAGGTGCTAGCTAACTATGTGGAGGCAGAGGGATGAGGGATGAGTGCACAGGTTCCATTGTGAATCATGATAGTTGTCAGTTTCAACATCGGTCACTCGGACAGCGGGTGATATTCTATGCCCCTGACATTCGATTATTCGCTACGACAGCGCGTCCATACATAGACTCGGACGCTACATAGGCCTAGTTAAAACTTAACTATCCTCTCTCGTCACCCTTGCACAATCCCCGATCCCGACTCCCGAGCGATTCAATGCTACTAATAGCACTAGTTATCTGCTTAGTTAGGGGGCCTCCTATCATAGCAACCTAACGATAGTTACGCACCTACAAGAAGAGGCCACCTGTGCAGATTTCAGGAAACCGCAACTATGGATTCTTCGCAATCAAACCATCTGTGGATACTCGGATACTCCCTGGCGGCGGCCATTCCTAACCTGAATCTTTCCCCGCAGCCTGTGCTTCGACTACGCAGAGAGAGCTAGGGCGACGCTTCGTTTGGAGACTCGCTTGCCAAGGCCGCGACGTCAAGGGCGCTGTCGCAAGAGCTTGGGGCCGGTGCCGGGGTGTCGGTAGTGGCCCGTAGATACCTATGCGGGCTGCTGCGACCTTCCTACATCATACCTACGAGCCTACTGGTAACTCCATATCTATGACCTATACGAGCTCGCGAGATTCCTGTGATTAATATAGCCAGATTACTCCATACATACCTACCTGGAAGTGGAGCGAAAACGACCGCGTCGGATTCAACAAGGGCTGACGAGACGTTTGTAATAGGTATCTTAGGTACATAGTCGGCTCCGGACTGACAGAATTTGCAATCGCGTGGGGCAAGCAATGGAAATTCCACAGTTGCGGTAGGTAGGCAGGTCTCCCGGAGATATTGGCTCTTTTCAGATAAAGCTGCGGAGAGGATCTATCGACCGCCCCCGGCCGGCGGCGCCCCCCATCCCCGGGCCCGGAAAGTGAGAGCTACCCAGTAAATGTCTAACTTTTCGCGGAGGGCGGAATATATATAACTGACTCAGATTCAGGACCCAGAACGGCGGACCGGGCCCAAGTTGTCACCGTTCTGCCATACATAGGTACACGATCCCATAGCCACGGAGACTGGGTTAGTACCGCTCTATCTAGTTACTATAAAGCGACTTTCTTGACGAACTGAAGATTTTCCACGTGATCCTAGAGAAATCCTACGCTAATACTATTTACATGTTTAAGCATATATGGGCCATGGCAGCTTTGTCATAAACCGAAATCCGAGCTCCAGTTGCGAATCCGAATCACGGATTCGTGTAATTCAGGCCGACGATGATGCAAGTCGTCAGCCACCGGCGCAGTCACACAGGTCTCTGGATGCAATACCGACGCCACATATACCCCTCGCATACGAGTTGAACATCACCTGCACCGGTTGCACAGATGATGGAGAACACGACCTCATACATAGCCATCCTTCTCCTACGCGAGTTCCTTAATCCTCACCTCCTCACCCCCTTCCCCACTCCACTCCCCACCCACCGCCGCCGAAAGTCATGACACAGTCGATTACACCGTGAGTATATCATTTCTCGCATGTCAGCGTGCGCGCTGCTTGGGACTGCCCGGATCGGATGGCTCTGCCTCGTGGGGGCCTTACCCTTGCGGTGGATCTCCCCCCTCCCCCCTCCCCACGTCTCGATATTTGCTCGGAACGTGGCAGCGCCGTGGCAGGGTTGCTTCTTCATATACGAACAAACGCTCGGGCCTTCTTCCATCTACCTACCACTCTATTAGATACCCTGGCGGTAAATTGTGTCGCGCGCTCGGTACCGAGCGTCTGTCTCGCTTGGCTGATGGCTGATGGCTGATGGCTGATGGCTGATGGCTGATGATAATGGTGGTTATCTCAGAGCAAACACGGCGGACCGACTTGGAAGTCTTGCGCCGGAACTGCTGAAGGGGATACTGGACGAGCTCTCGATCCTGAACCTGTGCACTCTATCCCGCACCAGCCGCGGCTTCCGTCGCTACGTGAGCCCGCTAATCGACCACCAAGTCTCTCAGCTGGACGCGGACACTGTGGGTCCCATAATCGACCTACTCATTGCCACACCCGGGTCTACGGCATCGGATGCGCCGATCGCCGACGTCCAAAAAATCTGCCTTAACCCCACGCTGCGGCGTAAAATGCTCGGGTACCAGGAAGCGCGCGCGCGCTCGGTGGACACCAAACACGTCGGCTCCCACAAGTTCTACGGGTTCCTACGGACGCTCGTCGAGCGCTCCGACTTTGCCGCGCTATTCGCGGCCGCAGCGGGGAACACGCGCGCGCTGCAGCTGCTCGCGGACACGCACTGGGCACCCTACCACGGCGTGCTGTACTACGCCGCGCGCTGGGAGCTGGGCTACTGCAATCCGTTCGTGCCGCCGCCGGAGGCGCCGAAGGAGGAAGTCGACTACGACAGCTACTGGAACCGGCGGGCGCCGCGCGGCGAACCGCGCTCGCCCGGCGTCGTCGACGTCGTGCTCCAGATGAAGCTCCCAGAGCGCTTCCGACGTGCGCTGCTCCACGAGCAGGCGCCCTGCTTCCTGCCAAGGCAGGCTTACGGCAGAGGCACTTACCGCCCCTGGCCTCTCAGCGGGAGTAATCTGATCCTCCGCATCTGCTCCGCCGAGCCGTCCGATAGCGCGGCCGCCGCGAGGATCATAGGGAAGATGCTCGCGCTGCTCGAAGACGCCCCGAGGGACGACTGGTGCGAGTGTCTGCACCAGTGCTTTAGCTACTGCGAAGTCCCGCGCTGGGGCGAGGGTAGGGAGCCGAAGATCCTGCTGGCTTGGTGGAAGTGTTTGGCGCCGCGTGGGGGGACGGAGGAAGGTTTTGAGGGTGACGGTTGGTACCCGCTTACGAGACGACTGTGCTGGAGAGGACTCGGAAATCATTTCTGAACAATTACGAGGCCAAATTGATCTTGTCTTTCATACCAGTCCGGTGTAGCTGTGTATTTTTTTCTTCGAGTGAGTTATGGATACTTCTGTGTAATCAAAGGATGCGGGAGGATTTAGGGTAGCGATATGGTCTCGGTATGGTATTTATGCACGCATAATCAATTGTGTCAAACTTTGGTCGCCCGGAGTCGTCGGCACGAATAAGGTTTTGCGGTGGAAGGTCGAGTCTCGAGACCGAGTCTCGGCGGCCGCGACAGACTGTCGACGAGTACCATATGGTTACGCACACACACCTCCGACAACCACACCAACCTTCCGAAAATGCCAAGACTATGCGTTGGCACACCAAATGCCCCGCTCACTTTGACTTCAGGATTCATGTGGCGTGTGTGTCCACTCTTTCCGACCGCGGATTGAGTGCCCCGACCGACGAATTCGACGACGATGAGCATGAAGCGATAGAGATCAATCGAGCCTCGGTCCCTGGCCGGAGAACTGCACCACCACGGGTGCTACGTCCGAACCTCTGAAGAAGTCTCACCATCGCTTCCCCGCACATCATCATCGATTTCAGGCTGGCCTTGGGTAAAACCCCGATCTCGGGCATGGTCCTTGGCCCTTGGGTGGCCAAGTAAGATATGGTGCCTAGATAGAGCGCAGTGATCGGGGCGGGGCGCCGCACCTTAGGCGGCCGAGGACCGACCCGTCCGTCAGTCCGAGGCGAGGACCTGACGGACAGATTTTACAACCGTGACCCGTCTTTCCCAGGCTCGGACTGCCCGGCATTTTGACCGTCCGGACTGGACGATGGAGAACATACACTGCATCTCTGCGATTGGCTTCGTTAAGGCATATAGTAAATTCACGCGTTACAAGCTATCATTCACATGCACGATTGAGTTCGGATGATTTTAGCAGCGTTTCACTTCACGAAAAACAGTCTATTAACAGGTTCAGTCAAGTTTTATTAAAGAAGAAGTAAGATCTAGGAGTGTGTTGCGATTCGAGTCAGTCGGTAATCTAATCGTAGCATTTTCCTGTCAGATGTAACCAAATGTAACCAAATCGACTTGTACCACCAATCAGAAGTTCTCCAAGTTGAAGTGAACCTTGCGACCGCGGGATTTGCTGCGGTTGCGAGGCGGCTGCTGGGTGGCGTCGGTAACCTTGAGGGCATTGAGGCGCTTCGTCAGGTCTTCATTCGAATCCGCGGACCCGAATTCCTTGCTAAGCATCTCCCTGATGGCGGCGCGCTCGCGCTCCTCTTCGGCGTCCTGAATGGCCTTCCTCGCGGCTTCCTCCTTGGAATTCTGCTCGTCCTCCATCCTTATGAACTCGTCGTACTGCGTCTGTGCAAAGTGCAGCTGCTTCTGGATTTCGGTGATCACTCGCTGCTCCTCTTCAGCCTGAGCCTGAGCCTGGATGGCGCGCTGAGCGGCTTCATCGTCTGCAGCTTTCTTGAGAGCCGCTTGCTTAGCTGCCTCCTCGGCTTGCTGTTCCTTAGCCGCCTCAGCCCAGCGGCGCTCGATCTCCGCTTGCTGCTCCTTAGCCACTTCGACAGCCCAGCGGCGCTCCATCTCAGCTTGCTGCTCCTTAGCCGCTTCAGCCCGGCGGCGCTCCATCTCCGCTTTCTGCTCCTTAGCCGCTTCAGCCCAGCGGCGCTCGACCTCGGCTTGCTGGGCTGCGACATTCTGATTGTGGTAGACAGCGGAGTCGGTAGCCTCTTTGTGCGCAGCTGTGAGTCTGGTGATAGCCTCTTCCAGTGCCTTCTTGTGTTTCTCGGCCTCGGTAGCGAAAATCTTAGCCGTGTCAGCCTTTGACCTAGCCGCAGCCTTGTTGAGTTCATCAGCGATAAACTTGGCCGTGTCGGCTTTTGCGGCGGCTTCGATCTTGGCTAGTTCGGTGGCCAAATGATTAGAAAAATCCTGTTTAGCAGAAGCCTCGGCTTTGGCAAGCTCCTGCTGGTAGACTCTGCTGGCCTCAGCTGCGGCAGCCTCGGATTCTTCCAGCTTCTTGAGCAACTTGGCCTCTTCCTCGAGTTTATACTTCAGAGTTACAGTGGCCTCGTCAGCATCCTGCTTAGCCTTCTGAAGCTCCGCAGCAAGATCGGCCTTCTGTTTGGCTTCAGCTTCCTCCTGGAGTCTCGCCCGTTCCGCCCTCTCAGCGGCTTCCCTCTTAGCCTTTTCCTTCCAAGCCTCGATTTCCTGGGCCAAGAGCTCCTCACGACGACGATCGCGCTGACACAAGCTGCACCTGTCGCAGCACTCCATCCGGTCTTCATCTTCACTGTAGGAAATCGAGATACCGCAGACGGAGCATGAGGAAGTTTGGATCTGGATACTAATGTTCCCACCGGCTGGATTCGAGAAAGACCTACGTCCGCCTTGGTCGTAGGGCCGTGGGTTGGGGTCTAATAGCGACTAGTGGTCAGTATTCAACTTCATAGAACCAATAGGCGAGTGACCAAAGGTTTTGAACGAACCTGGGAACGAACCTGGCATAGGCTCCCTCGGATGAAAAACGCAGGGCGGTTTCGCGAAGCCGCTGGGGATGAACGGCCCAGTGTGAAGAGGCTGAACAACGAACTGAGGTTGCCTATCGCCGATCGGCTGCGCATCGGGAGAAACAGGGAAGAATCCGGTGGTGGACCAGAAGCCGCCCGGCATGCAGCCGACTGGGGGCAACGGACCGACATGCTGAGCTCCCATAGGAACAGCGGTGATTGGAGCTCCCTGAGGAATCTTCGCATGGGGAGATGGGTCCACACAGACCGGTGGTGGGTGGTAGAACACCGGAGGTGGGCGCGATTGTCCTGGGCTAACGGTGAGGGATTTGTCAGCACCGCATTGTTGTTTGCGTAAGCTCGGAGAGGATGAGAAATGAGAGGGAGGACCATACACCGTAGGTTGTCTCACAACCACGGCAGGTTGATGATAATACAACGGCATGATGGATTTGTGCTGCGAACGGTATACAACTGGCCGAAGACGGATGCGGAATAGAGGGGGAGGGGTGAGAAGGTAGTGGTGGTGTGGTGGTGGTGTGGTGATGATGGTGATGTAGTGATAGAAGGCGGATGTGTGATTGGGGATATGTGATTGGGATTGGTGATTGGGATGTGTGATTGGGATGTGTGATTGGGGTAGGGCTCGGGAGATCGTGGTTTGCTGTGGAGTTTTAGATGGGACGAACCCTAACTGCCGCCAACCAATTGCAAGTCTAACCGGAGTGAAGATGAGTAGGTACGTAATTCAGTATTCTTATGCAAACGGCGACGATCGTGATGGTGACCGTGGGAGGATCGTGGTTGGCCGCTGCAACGGGAAGCACTAGCGCGTTCACTGCCGCGGGATGCCAATCACTGCCGCGGGATGCCAAGGCGATCGTCTAAATGTGGTAACAGACGCAGCGCTTGGCGAATTAGAGCTTCCACGCGGTATCGAAGCGCGCCACATGGGCACAGCGAGTCCGTCTTGCTTTCTTAAATTCCATCTTATCCTACGCTGACTCTGCAGCCGCGCGTGCAGCAGCCCGCATTCTGGGGCTTGAGCCGCACTTCGTCTATCTACCTAACTGATCAACGATGCAACTGCCATATGGCATGCGACGCTGCAGAAACCCCCGATTACGTACCCACACAAGACGGCATCACACCACTATATGTCCCCCGGCACATTAACAACATACCATACTATTCCATGCTCGACGTGCTGGCAGTTATTCACTTTTGGGCTTTTTCCGGCGGTTCTTCTCATAACAAGCAAGCACGTAGGTGCACACATTCTTAGCTCCCCCACGCTCGGCCGCCCAGATCCCCATGGAAGAGCCCAGATTCTACGAGTGCGAGCTGAAAATCTTCCTCAGTGGCTCCTACGATGCAGTGAGCTCTGGCCTCCCAAGACCGAGCCAACGGGAATTCAACTGCAAGACGGCATGTTTCGCATTTTTTCCTGCGCTTTGCTGTCACCGCGCGCCGGCGATACCCAATAGATGTATAGACTGCGCTGTGTTGTCTGGACTCACCCAACCACAGTCTTGACTGCGATAGATGACGGCGTTGTACTGCAAGATTCCTCACAGGAGTGGGGATGGCACTAGCCAGAAGCGACATCTTCCATCCTCTGGACCCCGCACTAACCAACTACCTACTTACCGGCACTCCGAGAGAGAGAAAAAGGTACTTGTGGACAGCCGTCCTTTCGGTATACAGAGAAGTCCTTTCTTTGCTTGCTGGATTTCGACGGATCCTGCCACGGAAATCTGTCCCGATCGCAGGAGATCGGGGCACTCCCAATCCTCGTGCTATATAACAGCCTCTATCCTCGTTCCTGTCTTCTTTCCCACCCACTTCGCGTGATTTCTACTGCTGGCCGACCACGGTCCATTCCGTGATGGTAGTGTTGCGTTATAACCTGCGAACGACACTTTCCGATCTCCTGGATCTCATCCGAGGACGCGGGGGCGAGCCCTTCTGCAGCCGCGGCTGCATTATGAACCGGATTGGCGCCCCAATTGTAACCTGCCTTACGTATCCTTCGCGCTCGCTCGCCCAACCCTCATACATACCTTAACGTCGCGGCATCTCCTTGGACCTGGCAGACACCCTCCGTGTGAATGTCACGCACACGGGGAATAATATCAGCCATTGGAAGAAATCAGAGAGAAAAAGGCTTTCAAGGCTAGGATGGCGGGGATGATCGGCCGGACGAGATATGTTTTGCCCCGCCCACCCGCCGGTCAATCACCAGCACGCAAGCTTAGGCATGTCGATTAAGCCTCCGAACATATAGACCAGTCATGCAATCTGTTGCGGCTGACCACAGCGGACGGACTAGCCTGGAACGTGTTGAATTCTGGTTCATCGAAGCATGCGCATTTAGAGAAGAAGAATCCTAACGCAGCCGATAAGGTGCATGCTATCGACTGTCGGAGCCAATTGGACCAGTGATTCACCAACTATGGACCACACAGTATGTACGTACTACATGTAATCTGATATCCACTGGTGACGCAACCGCGCTCCGCACCCCACTCGGAGCTTTAACTTGCTGTTCAGATGCACTTTGCATTCCGGAAGATCAACTCTGGTCGCGGATGTTCCCGTACCCGTGCAGACCGGCATCGCCAATTCAGACCATACGGCGCCTGCGTTTAGAGAAGGGTGACACAAACAGCCTATAGGACCAACATATGACAACCTCCGCAATGCACCAGAATGAGCTTGGGTCCAGGTGATTGGTGCCCGAGGTTGCTCCTGTGACCTTATCGGGGGTGTTCATTCGGCGCCGACTGCTGCTGTTGTCCCTTCCGACGCTACTATACCCCGGATTTTCTCCGTCCATTGGTGTGCGCACAGTTGAGATGCTGGCCACATATCGCTATCATAACACGACAAACCCTGAGAGGTATGAATCGCGCCCCTTCCATTGCTGACAATTGCTAACAAACCCAACCGGCTCAATTTAGTCACTTTGGAATGCAAGCGTCCAATACCGCCCCGTGTCAGCACCTCTCTCCGAGTCCATATATGCACCTGTTCGAGATGCATACCCAGATCCTACAGATTACAGAGGTCGGGGCAACCCTCTTGGTCGACTCGTAGCACGCAACGGCCATCCTCGAGCTTTCTTTGAGGATTCGTTCTCCCGTCCGGGCGATTCTCCCAGTGTCTCGGCAACTCGTCCAAGTGGGGGGGGGGCTTGCCGGCATATACACAAGAAGACCAACTAGGCACTCACGGAAAAAGAAAGCACCTGCGTGCGCACGTGCATGCACATGCGTACATCGACGCAGTGCAGGACCAACCGCCTCAATGATCCGCCATTCAGCCAATGCCATCGAACCATAGCGGCAGAAAGTGCTAGGAGTGGTGTCTCGTGCCTAAAAGCTCCCCCCAATGGTTCTATGCTGCGGGATAACGCTGCATTGGCTTTGCGTGGCCCCATAGCACCAGATCTTGTCTATGCCGTCAGATTGCAGATGCGGGGTTTGGGTTTACCAGCTGTTCGACAGGACTAGAGCTGAAACCGTGGGCAGCCATTCGATGTGCAGCCAGTCCCTGCAGAAACTCCCCCCGGTTACGCAAGGCATGTCCACACCCACAATCCACATCACCTAGGTACATCTCAGAAGGTCAGAACATCGGCCGCAGAAGCTGTAATAACCGGAGATCATCAGTCGCAGAAACCATAATAATCAAAAGTAGACTGTTTCCACCGAGGGGTTGAGTGACTGCCGTATGTACCATGATCATATATTGACATATTCACTCACGAACTCGGCCCGGTCAGGATTTGTTGGAACAATTTTTCAAAATGCAAAAACAGACACGTAAGAAGCCTCTTAGCAGTTATGTGTACGACCCTGCCCACGGCCAGTCTGAAGGAAAGAAAAAAACAGCCGGTTATGCAACGAGAAACAATTTCTGATCATGATCTAATGCAAAACAGGCCTCAATCAACGCAAATGCAAACAAAAAACACGTGAATTTGATCCGTCGTATACTGGTATTGCGGCCGTGGGTATCGTTAGGTGGGTTCGCACTGACGCAGCTGGGTGGTGGAGATGCAATCAAATGCATACGGTCCCACAGTTGGGGCAGCACTAAACAGTTCGGATTAGCATTTCGACTACGGCCTTTATACGATCTCGATCGATGAGATAGATACCTTTCCTCTAATGACCCACTGCTCCGTGCCTTCCTCGAGACATTTGGGGCAACGGATGCCAGGAATCTGATTCTAAATTTAGCCGAGTTCTCAACGGAGTGGACTGAAGGATGCGGAATCAACAGTTCTGCGGCCTCGTCCTGTACGTGAATATGTACAGGAGTATGGCCGCGGACCGTGGCACGATTTTGGTAGGATATTGCTTGTAGTTCGCAGGATCTGACCCGTTCGAGTGCATCCGGAACGGGAATCTGATCACTCAGGCCGGTGATCGTTTTTCTTCCCGTCCGGGATGACGCCATTCCCATCAACGTGGGACAGCCATGATCCTGCGAACTACACGCCAACACCCTACAAACATCGTCCTGGGAATTCGGCCCCCACCCTCCTCCCCCTCCCCCGTCCCCACCCGGGGCCTGTTCATCCCTAATGCAGTGTTCTAGGAGTGGCGATATCAGACCACTTACTCCTGTGTGGCCTATCGCGTTTGCCTCAACATCCCAGCCGATGATTGACTCAATGGAAACCGCTTGCTCGAAGCAATCGAGGTGTCCCATGGACTCGGATTCGAACGAACCCGGAAACATAGCGTCGGTAGTGGGGAACATCTCGAAGTGATGGGATTTCGGATTTTGGATTGGGGTGAAGCTTGGAGTGGAGGTGCCCGTGGGGTATATACTGAGGTTTGTATACTGGTTATACTGATCGGTAGATAGCGAGTTGTTTGGAGCGGAGGGGTAGCTGGTTGATTTTGCTGAATATCTTCGCTGACTCTGCTGGGCCTTTTATAGATCAGACTGATGGATTGTCGTCCAAGTGGAAAACCGGTCATACCGGGAAGGATTCCAGAACGGGGCACAAATTAAAGACATAACTCGAGTAGATGGGCGAGGTTATTTCTCCAGGTACCTCCCCCCCCTCCCTCCCTCCCCTCCCCTGTCGACTCACAAAGGACCGGCGCGGATCATTCTTTGTTTTTTCTATATTCCTTTCTCCGCTCTATGCTCTGCTCTGTCTACTGTTACGCCCTCACCCGCTCACCCGCTGTGCCAGCGAATTCGTTTTTTTCGTCGTCCTCTTGCTCGTAGGGTGCACTGATCTCCCTCGAGGCGCAAAGCCGGCGCTATCTAGCTATTCCAGCTGGTCTGGATGCCGAGTCATGGGCTCACACATCGATTGCGAGCCTGCCTACCCTGATTTACAATTCGGCGGCGCAGCTATGTGGTTTTACTATTCCCGTTGCTGTCGGCTGTCTCCAGCGGTGGCCGTCATCAAAGTGGGTGGTGCGCGCTTGGGCCAAACGCTCGGGCCAGGGTGCGGGTCTATCGATCGATTGGGGAGGGGAAACAGCACTACTACATGAGAGCTCGAGTCGGTATAACAGAGAGAATGTTTCGTAGCCATTTTCGGCGGCTAGTGAAGTACCGATGTCTGAGCTTTCTCTCTTCCCTCTCCCTTCTCACTTCTTACTTCTCACTTCTCTCTCTTTTCTCTTCCGTTGCGGTTGCCCGAAGTTGCGGGCTAGGAAGCCGATGAGCCCATCCACCAATTGCGAGCTGAGGCCTGCACGGGCTTCTCGTGATGAGATGGGGCTTTACCGGTGGCAAATCACGGAGGCCCCGCAAACCGCTCGGTGGGAGAGGGCGAGTGGGTGCGAAGGGAGACATGTCTTTTCTGATGCATCGTTTTGAGGCCTATTCACCACCAAAAAGTCTGATGGGGGGGGAAGAGATAAAGACACCCAAAACCTTTACACTCTTGGCGGGGGAAGAAGACCACAGAGGCCGCAGAAACCGACCATGAGGACTCTAATCGCTTTGTGCTATGTGATCAAGACATGATTCACATGGCAACAGAACGAGATGGCTACTACTCACAAGGCCGGAAATTTTGCGGGCCCCCCTGCAAAAATATGATCTGAGATTAGATCAGTGGCTGAGAATGAGCAATTACCCCTATGTGAGATAATAGATTCTACGGTTGAGCCACTCGAAGCCACAGATCTAATCTCAGATCATATCTTTGTAGGGGGGGCCCGCAAAATTTCCGGCCTTGTGAGTATACTCTACTCTCCACAGCTCTGGGGATTTGGCGCTTCCTGGCTCGAGTATGGTAGATACCGGACGTCGCTCACTTCACATGACAACGTCCTCCACCACCACCAACAGCTCGAGACTACCACCAGACTAAGGCAACGCATGGGGAGTCAATAAACCTCGCAAATAATATTGATAACCGAATGCGATCTGCGGTGCGTCGCCCCCAGACTCAACCAGCCGGCTGCAGTAGCAGCACGCACATATCTCTGTCATGTCGGTTGTATTTATGCTGCTGCTGAACGATTCGTGATCGATCCGCAAGATGGGTGGGCGCCAGGAGCAGTGAAGCATGGCCCTCAGCTGGGGCGGAAGGTCCCATTCACTTGGCTACGCTTAGTGAGAGCGGCTTCTCCAATGGAACTGGCTCGAGACTTCTTCACCCCTCGGACCTGTTGCGGTGGTGGCTCGCTCGCTCACGCACGCACGCAGATTGATCCCAGCGACACACGCCCTTCTGCTCCACGCTCTAGGGGGTTTTTTTTATATAATGTTTTGTTTTTTACATTTTTTTATCTTTCGGGCTTCGCTACCTCCGCTACGAATGCGGTGGATCTCCGGTGGGGGCCAGCGATTGGGGAGACGACTGGAACTGGGGACGACGTGCGGCGGGCTTGGGGAATGGAGCTAAGCTAGCTTTGGATACTACACTGTATTGTACAGTATTGTCTCCATTGCGCTGCAGAATCATCGTCGAGAGGGAATCGTCCCCCCACACAGCATGCGGTAAACCTCCGTTCTCCGTGTCTGCACCGGAGAGTTAGCCATTTCGCTACCCAGTAACCACACACATGCATCCAGAACCACGGTTCATCGCTATGTATGCGGGTTAATACAGTAAGTTACATACAGTGGTGGGTTCGGCTAAAACAGCGCTAATGC